ATGACACTGTAATATTCAAAACCAATCCTCAAAATTGTCTCACATGATTGTGAGGGCTGAAACGACCCGTGATTTCTGTTTGCAAGCTGGGGATCCAGGGAAGCTAGTGGTATAGTTCCAGTCCATGTCTGAAGGCCTGGAAACAAGAGCACCAACGGTGTAAGTCCCAGTCCAAGGCCAAAAGACCAACGTCCTAGCCCAAGCAATCAGACAGGGAGATGGAATTCTCCCTTTCTTCTCCTTTTGATCTCCTTAGGCCCTCAATGGATAACATTACACTTTGGGGAGAACCATCTTGTTTACTCAGTCTACTGGTCTGAATGCTAATCTTTCAGGAGTGCCCTTATGCACATTCCCAGAAAAAAATGTTCAACCAGATATCTGGGCATCCCATGGACCAGTCAAATTGACACATAAAGTTAACTATCACAAATATCCAGGAGTGCAATTTCTGGGTTGTATAATAGTTATACGTATAATTTTTAAGGAAACTGCCAGAAACTAGTTTCTAGAATGATTATACCAATTTTACATTCCCACCAGCAAAGTATGAGTGACTCAGTGTCTAGTTTCTCTACATTCTTGCAAGCATTTGGTGTTGTCAGTATTTTCTACTTTAACCATTGTGATAAGTAGGCAATGAAATCTCATTGAGGTTTTAATTTTCATTTACCTGATACCCAACGAAGTTGAACATTTTCCCCTCTATTTCATCAGTGAAATATCTATTCATGTATTTTGCCCATTTCCTAACTGGATTATTCTTTCATAGCTGGGTTTTGAGAGTTCTTCATATATTCTAGATACAAGTCTTATTTTTTTTTTTTGAAGACTTTATTTATTTGAGAGAGAGAACATCAGTGGGGGTGGCGGGGAGGGGCAGAGGGAGATGTAGGCTCCCTGCTGAGGTTGGATCCCAGGACCCTGAGGTCATGACCTGAGCTGAAGGTAGACGCCCAACCAACCAAGCCACCCAGGCACCTCTAGATATAAATCTTTTGTCAACATATGGCTTGCAAATATTTTCTCCCCTATATTTATGAAAACTTTCTCCTATTAGCTGGATTTGAAAGCCTGCACTGTCTACTTCCATATTCTCCAATGATGACCTTGAAGCCATTTAGTTCCGCTTTATGAAAACCAATCTTTTTTTTTTTTTTTTAAAGAATTTATTTATTTGACAGACAGAGATCACAAGTAGGCAGAGAGGCAGGCAGAGAGAGAGGGGAAGGGAAGCAGACTCCCTGCTAAACAGAGAGCCCGATGCAGGGCTCTATTCCAGGACCCTGGGATCATGACCTGAGCCGAAGGCAGAGGCTTTAACCCACTGAGCCACCCAGGCGCCCCAGCAATCTTCTTTTTAAAAAAATATTTAAGTCTTTCAAAAACTATAAAAGAAAACCAGCCTTTTAAAAAAAGATTTTATTTATTTATTTGACAGACAGAGATCACAAGTAGACAGAGAAGCAGGCGGTGGCGGCGGGGGGGGGGGGGGGGGGGGGAAGCAGGCTCCCCACTGAGTTGGGATGCGGGGCTCCATCCCAGGACCTGGAGATCATGACCTGAGCCAGAGGCAGAGGCTTAACCCACTGAGCCACACAGGCGCCCCCCCCTTTTTTTTATCATCACTATACTAGTGACCCAAGAAAAAGCAGTATTGCATGTGATTCCTATCACAATTAAAAGCCTATTGTGTACCAAGTACTCAGCTAAGATCTAAGGGTATAGAGATGAAAAGATGTCCTCTGGGTGGGGTGCCTGGCTGGCTCAGTCAATGGAGCATGCAACTCTTGATATTGGGGTTATGAGTTCAAGGTACACAACAGGTGTACAGGTTACAAAAAAAAAAAAAGTGTCCTCTGACTTCAGAAGTAGTTTAATGAAGAAGATAGAGACTAGACCAAATAAGGAATAGACCAAATATTAACAATCTAGCATGCTAAGTGCCAAGACACAGTTTTTCCAAAGTACAACTATCATAAGGGAAGCATCTAAGATTAGGCAGCTTGGGTAAGTCCTCCTGCAAAATATCTTTCAAACCCAGTTTAAAGAAACAAATCCTTTCCATAGTTTACAGCCGGTCCTTTTCCCATATTGTAACACATTTTCCAACTCTCTAAATTTAGCTCTACCCTCATAACCCTCATAAATCAATAAGAAAGGCATAAATGTAGAGAAGGAGCTTTTTTGATGATTCTCTCTGGAGAGTCCTATATGGTACTTATGTTTGTGTGTGTGTGTGTGACCTGGCATTTTTTTAAAGGACTCTTTCTCCCGAGTGTGGGACTCCAATTCGCTAGTGCAAGATCAAGAGTTGCATGCTCTAATAAGGTGTCTGGGTGTCTACAGCCTGCTTAAGATTCTCTCTTTCCCTCTCCACCCCGCCTCTTCCTTTCCCTCTCTTAAAAAAAAAAATAAAAAGGATTTGCATGCTCTACCAACTGAACCAGAGAGGTGTCCCTGGCCTCTTGGGGTTTTACAATACCTACCACCTCCATTTAGCCCTGTAACTGTCCCCAGATGGATACAGTCCTTGCAATATCTTGACCCCTTTTCTGTAAAATGAGGATAATTGGAATGCCTGATTCTCGGGATGTGAGGGTTAAATAAAATGATAAAATAATGCTCTTGAAACAGTGGCTGGTGGATACTAAACATTAACTAGTGTTATTATAATGAAGCTAAATCCGTCTATGTTATCTCTAAGGCCACCTTTCCCATCTCTTAAGAATAGGGCTAAAGTTACATACAATAAATTGGAAGAAGGCAAAGGATAACATTGCAATTAACCACCTTATCTAACAAAAGGTGGCTATAAAGATATCCTGATGTTACTGTGGATGCTGAGTAGAGTTATTCTCAAATAAATAAAAAAAGTGCTAGTCATGATCAAAGTTCTGAGGAAAACAAAAAGGTGATGAATGCAAACAAAAGCCCAAGATAAGAGTAGGGCATCTAGTTCAGTGGAACATCAGGATAACTCACTCTCACTGTCTCAGTATACAGTTTGTCTTTCCTATTGTAAAGTCCCGGTAAGAAGTGACTGATCACTACATAAAAGAATGGATTTTTTTTTTTTTTTTTAGATTTTATTTATTTGAGAGAGAGCGTGCGCACGCTAGTGGGAGAGGGGCAGATATAGAGGGAGAAGTGGACTCCCCGCTGAGCAGGGAGCCCCATGTGGAGCTGGATCCCAGGACCCTGGTATCATGACCTGAGCGAAAGGCAGATGCTCAACCAACTGAGCCACCCAGGCGCCCCCCAAAAGAATAGATTTTAATGTGATGAATATCACCTCATCTAATTTTTACATTGTAATCTTGTCTTTGCAATATATGCTGAGTGCTACAACATACTCATTATTTTAAAGATAAGGGAAATGAGGCTCAGAGATGCCAAATCCCTAGCTTACCCAGGATCACAAAGGCATTAAGGGTCACGACCTCAGTGAATCTTGGAACACTGAAAAAATAAATTAAAAAAAAAGGGGGGGGGGGTCAAGACCAGGATCTAAACCAAGCTCCGGCCCACATTCTTTCTCTACACCAAGGAACCACACTTTTTTTGGCTTCCTTCCCTGACTTCATTATTTTTGTCAACAATCAACAGCATGAATCATTTATTTATGATTGCCCTCATTAAAGTCAATCTTCTCACTCATTTAGGTAAAGATGTTATTTTTTTCTTATTAGTACGAAGAGACAACGGTTAACAAGAGTTTTGTTCCTATGGAAATGATTCTCAAGATGACAAGATTGAAAACATTAAACCCAGCTTAATATAAAGGGCCACAGTTGAAGTTTGTGAGGACATGTCCATATATCCATAAAGAAATTTTTTCTTCTTCTCACTACTTACATTCATCCTTCTCTTGGCTTCATCACTGCCAGTCCTGACAAAGACAATAATTTACACATAAATAACGCCTAGAACTTTGTTGTGCAATGCGGTAGCCACTAGCCACATGTGGCTACCAAGCCCTTGAAATGTGCCTAATTCCAACGGGGACATGCTGAAAGTGTAAAATACACAGTGGATTTTGATTAGTACCAAAAAAGGGAAAACAGTTCATTAATATTTTTGTACTAGTTATATATCGAAATGCTACCATTTTGTATAAATTGGGGTAAGTAAAATAGATTAAACATAATTTCACTCGTTTCTTCACTCGTTAATGTGGCTTCTAGAAAATTTGTAATTACGTAAGTGGCTTGCATTTGTGCTCGCACTATATTTTTATTGGACAGATCTAGCAGACGACGAAAAAGAGGGGAATTTCATTGAAAGGTAGTGCATTTCCTGAACGTTTCTGGACGGGAAGAGAAAAGGGAGAAGACTGAAGCCTGGGCACCGTAGGTAAAACCTACCAGGATAAATACCTGCCGTGAATTGAAAGGGGCGGGGGAGGGGGTGCATTTTGACCATGTTCCTCCTTCCCTTCGCGGCGGCCAACCGGGCAGGTGGCAGAGGTTGTCCCGGAGCCCTCCTTCCCGACCAGTCCTCCGGCCGCCCGGCCTCGGGTCATTGAACACACCTGCGCGCCCACGGAGCTGCGCGTCCGCGAACCCTGGCGCTGCCTCCACGCCCCCTCCCCCCGTATTTTTATTTTCCTGGCATCAACCGTCAGTCTCGCACTTCTCTCCTGAAAACCACCGCGTAGGTCGGGCCCGCCTGGGGTAAGCGCCCCTCTCTGGCCTCGGCCGGGCGGCGGGGAACGAGATGCTCCCCCTCCCGCCGGGCCCCCGTGGCTAGCAGGGCTGTCTGGAGGCTGGGACGCCGCTCGCCGGGCGGCCTGCTGGGCCGCGGCTCCCAGCCGGCTGCGAACGGGAGCAGACGCGGCGGGCGCGCCCGGGGCCTCCGGGCCGCGGGGGGCCGCTGTGACCCGCCTTCGCCCCCGCCGTGCCGAAAGGCGGGGGAGCCGGGTTTTGGGGAGAATCGAAAAGCCGAGGGCAGCCGCGGGGGGCGGGCGCTCTGGAGCGGCGGACTCGGCGGGTGCTCCAGCTGCCGTCCGCTCCGCCCGAAGCGCCGAGGAGCCGAGCAGAGAGGCCCGCCGTCCTCCTCCTCCATGAGGGCCGAGTGAGCGCGGCGGCGAGAGCCGGCCCGCGGCGCCTCCCCCCGCGTCCTCTCCCGAGCGCAGCGGCAGCGGCCCCCGGCGGAGGAGGAGGAGGAGCATGTCGGACGGTTTCGATCGGGCCCCAGGTGCTGGTCGGGGCCGGAGCCGGGGCCTGGGCCGCGGAGGGGGCGGGCCTGAGGGCGGCGGTTTCCCGAACGGAGCGGGGCCTGCGGAGCGGCCGCGGCACCAGCCGCCGCCGCAGCCCAAAGCCCCGGGCTTCCTGCAGCCGCCGCCGCTGCGCCAGCCCAGGACGGCCCCGCCGCCAGGGGCCCAGTGCGAGGTCCCCGCCGGCCCCCAGAGGCCTCCCCGGCCCGGGGCGCTCCCAGGTACGGAGCTGCTCTAAGGGATCCCGTCCTCCTGGGCCAACGCTTCCCCACGGCCCTCCGCGCGCGCCGACCTCGGCGCTCTGTTTCCGCCTCCCCCCCCACCCCCGTTCCCCGAAAGCATTCCCCGAAGGGCCCGGTTGTTAACGGGGTGGGAACGGGCCCGGAACGGGGTTTGGAAGGTGGCTGCAGGAATCCTTTGTGCGCCCCGGCTGGGGGAGGGGCCCTGTGCGCGGTCTCCGAGTTTTGCCGTCCGGGGAGGAAGTAAAAATCGCCTTCCCCTCCCAGCCTTGGAAAGGGAGACCTTAGGCGAGTAACCCCCTCTTTTAACCCCCGACTCCTTAAAAAAGAAAGGAAAAGAAGGCCCTCAAGCATTCATTTAGGAGGCAGGTATGGCCATAGATGAGCTAAAGCAAGTCTATTGTTCCTTTTTGCAGGCTCTCTGTATATATCCTGGCGATAACCTTAAAATTCGTGACCGTTCTTGTTTAACTCTTAAAACCCACCCCTTCTCATTTGGTTTTTCAGTAGATAGTAAGTTGCTATACAAAGGAATGAATGCGTCTAACACCTCGTTTTTCCTTTCTCAGAACAAACGAGGCCCCTGAGAGCTCCACCTAGTTCACAGGATAATATCCCGCAGCAGAACTTGGAGTCAGCAATGGCTAAACCCCAGGTGGTTGTAGCTCCTGTATTAATGTCTAAGCTGTCTGCGAATGCTCCTGAATTTTACCCATCAGGTTATTCTTCTAATTATACAGTAAGTAGGCCTTTTTACTGCAGTTCTGAGTTAATATTACTGGGATAATGTGGCTGTTACTGTATTTCAGTAATCAGTATGCTGTGCTTTCTACTACACAAAAACATTGTGAATTCATTGAACTCCCGAAGAAGCAAAACTAATTCAGGAGTATATTTTGTAGTTACCATGGTCTAAGTATCAGAATGTAAATTGAGAGTAGACCTTGTCTCTTCTCACAGTTGTATTCCCAATATAGAGTACTTCCAGGCTAATGCAGGATATAGTTAAGGGCATTGTCGGCACATAAAACTAAGATTTGTGTTCAGACTTAATGGACCATCTATAGAGTAACGGCCTGGCAAAGCTGGTTTTAAATTTGATTTTAGCAAGATAGCTGAATATTCATTGGTAGTTTTAGGGTAAATTACAACATGGTTTTGCTGCAGACTAACTTGAGGTGGGCTTTTGAATGTTACACATCCCCGCTCTGTTAAAACCAGTTTGCTGGTTCTAATTAACTGCTGTTATGAAGACATGGAAGGGGTTTTGATAAAGTGTTTACACAGGTCCCAAGAACTTTAAAATTTTCAGATTCATCTTTGTCAATATAAGAACTTAAAAAAATTGGGGCGCCTGGGTGGCTCAGTGGGTTAAGCCTCTGCCTTCAGCTCAGGTCAGGATCTCAGGGTCCTGGAATCGAGCCCTGCATCGGCCTCTCTGCTCAGCGGGGAGCCTGCTTCTCCCCCTCTCTCTGCCTGCCTCTGCCTAGATCTCTCTATTTCTGTGTGATCTCTACCTCTGTGTCAAATAAAAAAATAAAAATTTAAAAAACTTCAAAAAAATTGATCACATTTTTCTAAAGTGGGAGAAGATACAAAGCCCAGTTGGGATCCATAGAAAGGGATATGTCCTGGGTAAATACATAGCAATCAATTGTATGTAAGTGAGGCAGGAATCATAAGAGGGTTAAAGAAATGATAATACTTGAGCAGAAGTCTTATGTTTCCTGACTTCTTAGTTTTACTGACATTTAATACAGAATAGTGTACATAAAGGTTAACTCAAAAGTTTCACGAAGTGAACGCTCAGGGAGCCAGCATCCAAATCAAGAAAAGGAACATCATCTACATCCCCAAACTCCTTCCAACCCCTTCTAATCATCACTGCTCTCCTAGGTTAATTACTATTTTGACTTAACAAGTTTTGCCTGTTTTCAAAGTTTGTATAATTGGAGTCTTCAGAACATCTTTTTCACGCTTTTATTCAACATCTAATCCATGTTGTAGCTCAGAGTTGAAGGTGACTTATTCTCCTAGCATTCCATTGTGTGAATATACCATAGTCTCATTTGTCTTTTTTTTTCTCCTCCTTTGTCTCTTGATAAACGGTTGAGTAGTTTGCATTTTGGGGCTCTTGTGAATAGGGGTGCTGGTCTGTCCATGTGTTGGTGGATGTTTGCCCTTCTTTCTATTGGGTACATACCTAGGAGTGAAATTCAAAGGATATAGGGTAGCCAACTCTTCTCCTCCCCCACCCCCCGAGATTTTTAAATCTCCGCAGCTCATGTGGGGCTTGAAGTCAACGCACCCTGGTAACCAGCTTTAATAGAGAGTGCCAAATAGTTTTCCAAAGAGACTGTTCAGTGTACACTGAGTAGTGTGTGATTTCCAGTTGTTTTGCTTCCTTGTCAGCATTTGGGATTTTGTTAAGTTTAGCCATTTTGGTGGGGGTGTGGTACCTACTTCTGGTTTTAATTTGTATTTACATGTTAACTAAGGGTGGTACACCTGTTTTGTTACTTCTTGGAGGGGGGTGGGAAGGGCAGTGCTTTCCTTCCGTTTTTTTGATAGGAAAGGTATGGGAAGGCTGTATTTCCTGTTTCAGAAACTCCATGCATCTTAGACTGCCCAGGAGAAAGCTTTGGGTCTGGGAAGGGGAAAATACAGGCAAGCAGGAAGAGCAGTTGATTTGGGGTGAAAGGGGCTGTCATTCATGTAAAGTAGAAGTGAGAACAACTTGGGTTCTTGCCAAAAAGTTGTATTTGGCTCAGGAAAGGAATGATTAGAGAGCTGTGAGTAGTTGAAAAACTAGTAAAGAGTACTAACTTTCAAATAGCTACAAAACTTTTCGGTTTGTCTCCCTATTCACTTGGGCCGTTCTGTGATAGGAGGGATGCAATTTTTTTCAGAGTTCTGTACCAACTAGTTTGCATAGTTCTGCATATTTCAAGTGACTCCTGGGCTACAGAGCAGTGTACTGAGCCACGTTCACTTAACTTTGAGCCATTGTCCTCTGTTAGGCATTCCTTGATACCCTCTATTAGATCAGCTACTTCTGTGTTCAGTCTGGCAGAGCACAGAGCAGACTGGGAGCCCGTGGCTCATGTGTGGCCTACAGTATACCTACTTTGGTGCTGGTGGGTTTCTTTTTGGGGCGTGAGGGGGGAGTTCCTTTTAATAAGCTAACAAAACTTAAATTAGATGTTGCAGATCTCAGTTTTTTGGTTTCTCTTGAAATCCCAATATGTGGTTGTACTAGACTATTTTTTTACTTACTTACTGAGAAAGAATGGGAGCCTGAACCAGGGGAGGGACAGGAAGAGGAAGAGAGCTTCTCAAGCTGACTCTGAGCTGAGCATGGTGCCTGAGGCAGGTCTCGATCTCCCCACCCTGAGATCATGACCTGAGCTGAAATCAGATTTACCCGACCAAGCCACCCAGGCGCCCCTGGGCTGTTACTTTGATAGAACAAAAGTGGTCTGGAGCTGAATGGAGGCAGCCCCCTTAGATGGACTGTGTGAGCTCTAACTGCTCACTGACTTGTCTCATTTGTTTGTAATCCACCTTGATTCTCTAATCATTCAAGCTTGCTCCCCCTGCTCTAGTGCATTCTCTAGTCTTACTCATTTACCCTTTTACCTCTGTCAGTGCTAAGTATTTTTCTCTGTCCACTTGGTCACAGAATAGCAATATCCTTGTTTTTCCTTGACTCTTAGGATAAGGTCTTGTAGTGACAGAGACTTTTCCTTGTAGTAGCCGTAATTCACTCACTTGTTCAACAGGAAGTTATTTACCATTAGTCAAGCACTGCGGATACAGCAATGAACAAAACAGACAAAAATGCCTTGGGTCTGCTTTTATATGCAAGAAAATCTGGGTATCTTTGAGCTGGATCTGTTTTAAAGAATTCATGCTTTTCTTTTCTTTTCTTTTTTTTTTTTAAAGATTGAGAGGGCAAGTACAGGGTGGAGGGTCAAGGGAGAGGGCCAGAAATTCCGAAGCAGAATCTGCACTGAGAGCAGAGTTCACTGCAGTGCTCGATCTCACCACGGAGAGTTGATGACTTGAGCTGAAACCAAGAATTGGCTGCTTAACTCACTGCACCACCCAGGCACCCCAAGAATTCGTGGTTCTTTCTAAAAAGCCTTTATGATAGTCTTTTGTTGTGCTTTCTTAACCCTTCCAAAATTCTGAACGCTTTTATCTTAGAGTCTTTCCTCTAATCCAACTGCTAGAATTTCTTGCTTTCTGTGCCTTCTTACCAGGGAGTTGCTGTATCTGTCTGTCCTTGCCTATTGCTGCTTCTCTGATGATAAACCATTACATCTTGAATATTTAATCACAGGTCAATTACTAGAACCAAAAATTCTACATAGAAATTCATAAAGCATTTATTAAGGGGCAGCTGGGTAGCTCAGTCAGTTAAGCATCTGCCTTTAGCCCTGGTCATGATCCCAGGGTCCTGGGATTGAGCCCCGCATTGGGCTCCCTGCTTCACGGGGAGCCTGCTTCTCCCTCTGCTGCTCCCCCTGCTTGTGTTCTGCTTCTCCCTCTGCTGCTCCCCCTGCTTGTGTTCTCTCTCTCTCTCTCTGTCAAATGAATAAATAAAACCTTTTAAAAAAATGGCATTTATTAAGAGACCGAAATCCCCCTACTACACAGACACACAACACACACACACACACACACACACACACACACACACACACACCAGCATTTTTGTAAGAATACTCCCCTCAAGTTACTGCCTGTTTGTCTTCTGCCTTTCAGTAGTGATGTTCTCCAAGATGTAAAAGTGATCTGTCTTAGTATTTATTTCTCACTGTTCAAACCTCTGCTGACTGATCCCCGTAATTGAATTGCTACTTCCTTTTGTGACCTTTCCTGGTGCTCTTTGGGTCTGCAAATCTATGCTCTAAACTCTCATCCCAGTAGACTTTGACCACAGTACAGTCTGCACAGTTTAACAAGTCCCAGTGTGTCAGGTCTGGTGCTAGGCGCCAAGGGTACCATTTCAGTCTTTTAGGAGTTTCTCTTTATAAGAACTGAATGGTTAAGATACTAATTTTAATTTATTCCTCTCTGTGCATAGGCTTTCATTCCCAGGATGCCACCATTGTTCTTTCAGATTTCACCTGTGAAATTATTCTGTAGCATTTGCTTCTATGACTACTTCTTTACTGTATGCTTAGGGCACTCTGGAAGTATTTCATCTTTCCAACCTGCGGGTCATTCCTTCTTTGCTCAGACTGTGGTCCCTGCAGTTCTCTTTTTTTTCCATTTTATTACCTGCCTTGGTGATCCTATCACCGAGAATCTGACCACTGCCTCCCTGTCTACTGATACCTGAAATCTAATTCTCCCTCTGAACTCCTGGCTGTGTTTCCATTTGTTTTGACTAGTTCATGAGGATCTCCCATTGAAACTTAAATATTAAAAAGAGTTTATCTTGTGCAAACGTCTTATTTTTTTATATTCTAACTAGCTGCTCAGGCTAAAAATGGTGTATTGACTCATTTCTTTCACACTCTTGCCACCTTCAATCCAGTTAGCTAAAGTCGCCTTCTTGATTATTCCACCATCTAAGTGATCAATTTCCTTTTATTCCTGCTGCTTCGGATTAGGGTTCTATCTCTAGCAGTGCTTTCAGAGTATCTTCTGTGAAAAGTGTGTTTTCTATCTGATGTCCCTCCTAATGTCAGAATTCTAAGAAAAATACATAAAACTTTATTCCTCAGCTTTCAAGCCATCTAACTCCACTTTGAAGACTGACAAAATTTGTATTTGAAAAATCTGGTACTAGAGAAATAAACACGTTAGAGTCCTCCTCTTCTGCCCACAATATGCTGTGCTTCCTTTTGTGCTTGAAACAACAGGTTCTGATGGGGCACCTGAGTGGCTCAGTGAGTTAAAGCCTCTGCCTTCGGCTCAAGTCATGATCTCAGAGTCCTGGGATCAAGCCCTGCAGCAGACTCTGCTCAGTGGGGATCCTGCTCCCCCCCCCCCCCCCGTCTGCCTCTCTGCCTACTTGTGATCTCTGTCTGTCAAATAAATAAATAATAAAATCTTAAAAAAAAAAAAAAAATCAGGTTCCGATCAATTCCCTGTAGTTGTTTATTTTTGGTAATCTCTACACCCAGTGTGGGGCTTGAACTTGTGACCCTGAGGTTGAGTCACCTGCTCCACTGACGGAACCAACCAGGCACCCCCCTTGATCAATCAGTCCCTTGTAATGCTTATAATCAGAGCAGCTCTACTTTCCTTTTTTACTTTCAGACTTCAGACTTTTTTTTCTTTTTAAGGATTTATTTTAGAGAATATGCACTCATGTGCACGTGAGTGGGGGGGAGGAGCAGAGGGAATGGAATTTACAGTGGATTCCCCGCTGAGCAGGGAGTCCAACCCACGACTCTGTCTCACAAACCTGAGATCATGACCTGAGCCAAAATCAAGTCTGATTCTTAACCAGCTGAGCCACCTAGGCACCCCCGGACTTCAAATTTTCTTAAGAGAAGTTGGTCTTAACTGAAAAGACTGAATTTTTGCCACAGTGAATGACATTCGATACAAACCAGAAATTAATACCTTCAGCTGGGACATGTACGGTTCCTGCTTTTCTTTATCATTAATAGGGATACTATGAGTCTATAAAACTATATATCAAAAATTTGTTGTTTTTTTAAAAAAATTTTTTTTAAAGATTTTATTTATTTGACAGAGATCACAAGTAGGCAGAGGCAGGCAGAGAGGGAGGGGGGAAGCAGGCTCCCCGCTAAGCAGAGAGCCCAACATGGGGCTCGATCCCAGGACCCTGAGATCATGACCTGAGCCTAACCTACTGAGCCACCCAGGTGCCCCTCAAAAACTTGTTTTTAATTGTAAAGCTCACATATGTATGTGGCTAATATTAAAGTATATTTAATGTATGCATTTATAATGATGAACAGGTTTCACAATTTTATTAAAAAAATGGTCAGTATTCATAATAGGAGCATTTATTTATTCCAGAGCTAACTACTGTTATTCCTTGTCTATCTCTCCAGAGCTTTTCATGGTCTGTTAATCTGTTAAAATTAAACTGTACGAAAATAATCGTTCTGTGTTCTTTTCATTTAACATATTGGTGATTTCTGTATTGTCATATCTTGTTAGGTGCCTGTATGATCCCTTATGTGGGTAGAAGGTGGTATATTTAACCTGTTCTTTGTTGATTGTTAGATGAATTTTTGGCAATGAATATTCTCATACGTATGTCATAGTTGGGTTATAAGCCTTTGTCAGTTACTTGGAGTATAGCATAGAGGTTAGAAGTACAGGATTTGTTCTGTGCTGTTCTTCTAACTAGGTGTGTGACTACACAAATTAAGTTGGTACATGTCCTTCCTTGTTCATATCCTAGCTGCTGTGCCTTTGCTCAGTGGTTTTTCCACTGGCTTTCGAGCCAGTTTCCTTGTGTTCCCCAAGAACCTACACGATTTCCCCATCTGCCTCATTGATCTTGTTAGCTATCGCCCCATCTTCAGTTTCCCTGTTGTGGCTTTTCTTTCTCAGAGGTGTCAGGTAAGCACCTATCTTCTTGGGGCCTACGAATTTCTGGAGCCTACAACGTAGAAACTCTGTCCTCAGATATTTGTATGGCTGGGTTTTTTGGTTTTACTTTTTTCTTTTTTCTCAGATTATATAACTCTTCAGAATTCTTCCCATTTTTTTGTTAATTTTTTAAAGATTTCATTTATTTATATGAGAGAAAGTGCGAGAGATCACTGAAGGAGAAGCAGACTCTGCTGCTGAGCAGAGAGCACAGTGCGGTCCTCGATCCCAGGACCCTCGGATCGTGGCCTGAACTGAAGGCAGGCACGTAAATGACTAAGTCACCCAGGTGTCCCTCTGTTCTTATTTTTTAAAATTTTAATTCCAGTATAGTTAACATACAGTGTTAAATTAGTTTCAGCCCCCCCCTTTTTTCCCATAGTATATCCTAACGTCTGAATCATGTCTTCTGTGATGGAAGATCGGCTCCACTGGAGGAGGATTTTGTCTCCTTGATTTTTGCCAAGACCATACCCCCAGCACCTAGAACGGTATTTGGCACTTAGTATGCACTCAGCAAAGGGTTTTGAATGGGTAACCAAAGTGACATAACTGCTCTGTGCTCATTTCTTCCATCTGTGCACAGGGAACAGTAATCCTTCAAAGGTTTTTGGGATTGAGACAGCCCTGCAAAGTTCTTAAACTGTCACATAGTATACGTGCAATTGGTGGCGATTAGCTTGTTAATCAGAGTACCATCCTACATACCAAGGAGCATAGCTTTTTATCATTCTGCTCTTCGGATACTCTTAGGTATAACCCTTTTGCTATGAGAATACAGTTATGGCATTGGAATACGTTTTAGTATTTTCCCAGCAATGTAGAAATTTGCTTACCTAACGCTTTGTTGTGTGCAAGTCACTGGTCTAGAGATGTTTATTCATTAACTCACTTACTCCTCCTTCACACAGCTGTAATGTTTATGGTGAATAAATTTGAATTTCATCAATATTAACTTATTTTAGAGTCATTTTTAAGATTTTGAATTTATTTTTAAGTAATCTCTGTAGCCAGTTTAGGGCTCAAACCTGAGATCAAGGGTTCCTTTCTCTGCCAGCTGAGCTAGCCAGGCTCCCCTAGAGTTGAATCATTTAATTTGGATTGAGTTTTGAGCTCAGACATTTAATCTGTCTCTTTACCTGTTCTGCTCAGCAAACACTGTGGGCATGATTCAGGCACATGAATCCTCTTTTGCTGGTAATTTTGATATTGGTATTATAGTGAAATATTGGTTTAAATTTTCTCAGTTGTCTTGTAAATCTGCCAGAATGAGAAGACAACTTCCTACCCAGTTAGATGGAGTCCTTCTGCTATAACATAACATTTTGGCCATTGGGTGAGGAAGGATGATTCAGTGTGCTTAATTTTATTGAGGAAAATAACATTTTATCATGTGAAGGATTGTTGGTGCTAGAGACTTCTCACTTTAAAGCTGCCTCAGGTTCATTTTATAGCCAGTTGCATGGATTAAAACATTTTTTAAAAAACTTTTCATCTATAGGAATCCTATGAAGATGGTTGTGAGGATTATCCTACTCTATCAGAATATGTTCAGGATTTTTTGAATCATCTTACAGAGCAGCCTGGCAGTTTTGAAACTGAAATTGAACAGTTTGCAGAGACCTTGAATGGCTGGGTTACAACAGATGATGCTTTGCAAGAACTTGTAGAACTCATCTATCAACAGGTAGGTTGACTGATGGCACACGTCATCATCACATACTTCCTTAAAGCCCAGGGGTGCTCGTTGCTCCTTCACCTTCACATGCACAGGCCTCCATGCTCCTTAACTCTTTATGGTTCATGGGAGCTTTCAAGTCTCTGTTGTATGAAATTCCTGTAGCTTGGTGATCCAGATCTAGAGCCAGACTGGAGATTCAAGGCTCTGTACAGGCAGTTGAAAGGAATATTGGGCATTTATGAGGAAGGCTAGGTAAGTATCATACCTTTTTTCCATCCCCCTCTTTTTATAGGATCTGAAATTAATACACAAACAGAGTGCAATTCTGTTCTCCTAGGTATTAAATTATATAAGCACTTTTGGAGTATGGGAGGAAAAAAAGAAAATCATGGGAGAACTTTCTTCCTTCATAAAGAAGTCCCCCCCCCCCCCAAAAAAAAAAAAGGCCAGACCATAAAACACTGTCTTGATTTTTAACATTTATGCTTATGTTTATTTTAAATTTCCGGTGATTTCCATCTTAATCCCATAAGTCTAATGTCAGTCTAGATTGTTCAAACCTAAATTTTGTGTGATGCTAGCATATTGGTCTGTGACACACTAATGCTATTTTCAGGAGGAACAATATTCAGAGCTGGATTTTTGAAGACAAATTTAAGGGCACTGTTTGAAACTGACCAAAAACAGTAGGAGATAAAAAACACTTAAGTTTATATTTCTATTTAAGTCATTGCTGAAAGAGCAACTTGAATTTGGAATATATTGAAGGGTGATTATGATGGCAGGTAATTTTCATCCTACCTAATGTTTCATTTGACTACCTTCACAACTTATTCTGGGTAGTTACTGGACCCCTCAGTATGATCTGGCCAACTCTCGGGTTTCTCAACATGCTTGAGATTTTAGGAGTATAGAATTGTTCCATTTGTCCTGATGCCTGCTTTGGGCCCCTAAGTGGATTGTAAAGAAATATGAGAAGAAAATGGGAGAAATTGTTAATGCTTTTCTAATTTCTCTTCTATTCAGTTTCAACTCTTCTGCCTGGTTCTAGTTCTTCAGGGCTGTAACATAACAAACTGCCGTTTCTGTGATTATCTCAAAGCCAGTTCTTCAGCTACTACTCCGTGTTTGTCAGTATTCTTTGTCCGTGATACACAGATTCACCAAAAGTTCTTAAATTTCATTGGGGGAATTTATTCATAGCAACCAACAAAAGAAGACCTGTTATAAAAATGGCAGATTAAACATATATATTCAACTTTGATTCCTCCCCAAATACCACTACAATGAAGGGGATTTTAAGAAACCAGAAGCCTATAGGGGCTGAGATGAGGAAAGGAGACGAAAGTACCAGTTTTGGAAACTAGAAAGGCAGATCTAAAAAATGTGAATTCCGAGCCAGTACGGAAAGTTGAAAACCACGGTGACTTAGTGTGGAATCTCTGAAAGACTCTAGGACGAGGATGGAATGAGACTAAAAGGATAGCTTTAAAATCTTAAAAACAAAACAAAACAAAATAAAAAACTAGACTCTCTACATCTTTTTGTACCGAGTACCCAGTTTGAAGTTTTATTATAACCCTTCTTGGGAAGTTATTGAAGGGAAGTACTCCACCAAAAAGGAAATTAAGTCATGGATGAAGATCCGGAAACCACAAAACAAATAAAAATAAATAAAAACAAAACAACAACAACAAGAAAACCACAAAACAGAATTTTATGGGAGTGGCTAGATGGATTTTCTCCACCATCCTGAAAGGAGATCCGCAGACAATAGCTGGAGCGGGCTTCACTGGAGTAAGGCAGAAAGCTCCAGGCAAGATTCCCTGACAAGATGAGCGTAATTGCTGTGTTCCAGTGTTCTAAGAAGAAACTTGGGAACTTGTGAGTTTAGGGGTAAATCGATGAGCTGTAAAAAAAGAACAAAGTAGAGAAAATTTAAGTCTAGGGAAAACAAAGTTTTTCAAGAAAGGTGGAATCTGTATATTGCATGGTCCACCTGAAACTAATCAAATCATGGTATGACCATGTTGGTAGGTGGTGAGATTAGGAAATAGTGGAGAGGAGTGGGGGTAAGCAAGATAAAAGCTGGATATTCCTTGTCCATGTTGGGGAACTATAAGAAATAATGCCCAACTGAAATCACAGAGCGGGGTTATACAGAGGTTGAAGCCTTTGCAACTGAAAGAATTGAAAATGGTTGTCTGTGGGAGTGGTTGAGGTTGTAGAGGGGAAGTAGGAAATTTTAATAACAAGCCATGTGAAACTTCCATGTCTTTAAGTTGCGTGTGATAATTTTAAAACTAAACTAAAGGAAAACGGGCTATGGCCATAATGGGAAAAGGATGATTTTTGAATTTCAAGTCTTCTGTGGCATCGGAAACACATCCATGAATGATCTCAGGAGAAACCAGTCTGTTGTCTTTGCAAGCAAGGAAATAATTAGAAATAAAAGACCTAATAATTAGGAAGTACTTACTACATGCTAGGTAATGTTGAACACTTGACATGTAATTAACTCGTTTAATCCTCCATGATTGAAGATACTACTCTTATCCCTTATTTTATACATATTTTAACAGAGGTTAAGGAACTTGGCTTAGGTTACTGCAGCTAGTAAGTAGACCCAGCAAAGGGTCAAAAACGTTTATTACTTCTAGACTACCGTTAGCTACTATCTTTGTAACCTTGGTCAGGTCCCTTAACCTTTTAACGTGCTATCTAATATTAGGTGGTGAACTACGTTCTTTACTATTCTTTAAAAACTGCAATTAAAGTTAAAGCTTCCTGAGTACTGTTTTGGCTATATCACACTGTCTTTGATATGTAGTGTTTTTTTCACAGTCTTAGTTTTTGGAAAAGCTTATCTTTATTTCCTCTCTATCCCAAGTGTGTTTGGAGTATTCTTAAATGTTAATCTCTTGTACGGTTTACCGTACAAGGTACCATTTATCACCTCTTTTAGGAATCAGACGGAAGCCCAGGGAGGTTGAGTGAGGCCAAAGTCTGTGCCAGCCTATGCCTGAAAAACACCACAGAACAATCGTTTGCAAATACTCTTACTCGTAATTAGCACTGTGCAACTGGGTACATGTACCTTATGCAAAAATTGATTAGTATAAAGAGGTCTTGTCTGTTTGCTTTTTGGTGACCTCAGGTAAATGATGGGGAGAACTTAAACATTTTCTTCTTGTTCTTGGTGAAAAGTTGGGAGGGAGAGTTAATTTCCTTATTGCCTAACAACTGAAGACTTGTACATTTGTACGGTTTGGTCAGTTTTAGGGGTGGAAATGTTTTCTTCTTTAGATTGTTGCTCTTAAGTATTTGCATTAAGAACAACGTATTTGTGTCTTAAAAAGGTTTTTTTTTTTTCTTTTTGAAAGGCCACGTCTATCCCAAATTTCTCTTACATGGGAGCTCGCCTGTGTAATTACCTGTCCCATCATCTGACAATTAGCCCACAGAGCGGCAACTTTCGACAGTTGCTGCTTCAAAGGTCAGTGTGAATATATAAAATTAAGGGGAAAGTTTTAGACCTACTAGAATTTAACCATTCCTCTTTTCTGAAGACTGTACATAATAGAAGGTTACAGGGGAAGGTAGGGAGGACCATTATTTGTATTCTAATATTGTATATACTATTAAAAATTATAGTCCCCCATATCAGTCTTTTTTTTTTTTCTGTAATCTCTGCCTTTGGGTTTTAGATGTCTTGGTTTTGTTTTTTTTTTTTTAAAGATTTTTATTTATTCATTTGAGAGAGAGCACAAGCAGAGGGAGTGGCAGAGGGAGAGGGAGAAATAGACTCCCTGCTGAGCAGGGAGCCTGATGTGGGGCTTGATCTCAGGACCCTGAGATCATTACCTAAGCCAAAGGCAGACGCTTAACCAACTGAGCCACTCAGGTGCCCCTGTGCCTTTAGTTTTGTGCTTAGAAGGCCTTTCATTTCCCAAGATCTTAAAAATGACCTCTTACATATTTCTTAGTACATCTGTACTTTGGGTTTGAGTGGGTTCTAGTTTATTGCCACAGGTTGAACTAGTTTTTCCCATACCACTTTTTAGAATGATCCATTTCCTTATTGAGTTGAGCTGCTGCCTTTATCACACTACATCCCTGTATTGAGGTTTTGAGTCTAGAGTTTAATTATATTCTGTTCACCACTTGTTCTATTCCTATTTTATTATACTACTAAAAAGCTCCCAATTTTTTAATATCTAGTATGGTTGGTCCCCTTCCCACATCTCTTGGGTAGAATCTCCTTTGCTATTCTTACATGCTGCTTTTCTCCAATGAACTTTAGACTCAGTATGTGAAATTTCATTGATCTTTTTGGTATTAGATATTTTTGACATGACCTTGAATTCATAAGCTAATTTAGGGAAACTAATTTTCTTATGAGAGTCGTTTTATTCAGTAACAAGGTTGCCTTTGAGTTTGATAGTTGGTCCGTTAGTTCTTTAAAGATACTTTCGGTGGTTGCAAAGTATTCCATCATGTGGTTAAACTGGACTAGAACAGACTGAAGATCCCAACAATAGACTCCAGAGACACTTGAAAATTAAGCTTTTGATAGAGATGCTTCACATATGTGTGTAAAGGGTAAATTGTGCTGCTGACGCCACTGGCTAGCCATTTGTCAGGGAAGAAAACAAAGATGGGTTCTTGCCTCTTTACTCCAAAATATATTTCAAATCTATAAAAAACCTTAAAAGTGCAACACTAAATACTAAAAAATTGACAGTATTGACAATTAAATCATAAGTTGGTAAAGCCCTTTTAAGCAAGACATGATATCCACAAGTCCGAAGACGAGATTAAACCTAATTACATATGGATTATAATATTGGGAAGGATCATAAATTTATATGAAGCAAAAAATGGGAAATTTATAAATTTAAAAATTTTATAAATGTATAACACATGGCAGTGAATGCTAATATGAAAAGAGGGACCTCTTAGGCATGAGTAAGAAAAAGACGGTTTTGTTTTGTTTTGTTTTTGTTTCAAGATTTTATTTATTAGTGGGAGAGAGGAAGGGAGAGGGAGAGAGAAAGCACAAGCAGAGGGAGGGACAGAGAGAGAGGGAGAAGCAGGCTCCCCTCTGAGCAGGGAGCCCAGCCCAGAGCCCGATCCAAGGACTCTGGGATTGTGACCTGAGCCAAAGGCAGTTGCTTAACCAACTGAGCTACCCAAGCACCCTTAAAAAGACCAGTTTTTAATTTTTAAATTTTTTTAAAAGATTTTTTAAAAATTTATTAGAGAGCAAGAGAGAGAGAGAGCATATGAGCAGAGGGAGAGGAAGAATCAGACTCCCCCTGCTGAGCAGGGAGCCAGATGTGGGGCTCAATCTCAGGACCCTGAGACCATGACCTGAGCAGAAGGCAGACACTTAACTGATTAAGCCACCCAGGCACCAGTTTTTGTTTTTGTTTTGTTTTGTTTTTAAGATTTTATTTATTTATTTGCTAGAGAGAGTGAGGGCATGAGAGAGAACTCACAAGCAGGGGGAGCAGTAGGCAGAGGAGAAGGAGGCTCCCTGCTGAGCCGAGAGCCCAGTGGGGGAATCAGTCCCAGGATCCTAGGATCATGACCTGAGCTGAAGGTAGATGCTTAACCTATTGAGCCACCCAGGCATCCCAAGACCAGTATTTTAGCAGAAATATTTGGAATGGCTTTAAGTAGGTAAAACTTGGGGAAAATATAAATGACAAAGTTCTAAAAAGCTATCTAGCCTTACCTTGATGAATAGCTTCTGGAAAGGCATGAAATGAGCACTTCTGGGACGTAGCATGGCAGAAAGGCTAGCTGCTTTTCCCTTGGATTTCTCACCCCTGCCTATGCCTTAAAGTCACCCTAGGGACTTAAAATAGGGCTCTAAGACCCTGTCCTCATTCTTCGGAATTCTGATGTAGGTGGACTGAGGTGGAGCCTTGGTGGTTTTTTTAAAGCTTACCAAGTGATTGAACTCTAGCTGTGGTTGAAAACCACTCTTCCACGTCTCTTCTGACTACCCCATCTGTGCTTCCATAATATTGTAATACTGGCAAAGATATTAATGGAAGTGCTAGGCCTTTAGCAAGTAAAAAGCAAGGTATAATTCTATTAACTTCAAAAATATTTGTGTATTTTGAAACGTTACCTCTATAGCAGTTATCTCTGGGTTTTATGACTTTGTTTTTTATATGTTTCTGTTTTTAACCTTTCTGAGATAAGCATGTATTGCTTTTCTAATTGAAAAATCGTTAACTTAAAGTTTGTTTAGAGGTGTAGGTCCCTCTCCTCTAGATAATCAGTGAACTACAAGGGTAGGGATTTACTTTTGCTCTTGGATGAATATATCTTAATGTATAATCTAATAGTCATTGCATCTGTAAAACAAAAAGGTCATTTCATCAAAGCTACCAATAAAGTAAAAGGAGAGTAGCCAGTAAGGTGCTTGGATAACTAAACTGGCATTAATTAAGTTATCCTTTCTATTATTAGCCAGAATGTTTCATTTATAGATATCCCAGCTTTTTTTTTTCTTATGAAGAATTAATGTTTAGGCAACAACAAATGTCTTATCATATCTGACTCAAATGAAATGTTGCTCATTTAATATAGCTTATAAGCTATAGGCCATGTAGACACGATAAATTATCTTGGGTTTATGGTTGATTCACAGATTGACTGGAGGTAAATTCTTGGTAAGCAGTGACTTCTTTTTCCCTTAAAAAATTTATTGTTTTTTTCCAAAACCAACCTCAACTGATTGCTTATACATGGAAGCCATTCAGTCTCCATAAACCCCTCTTTTTGTCTTTAACAGAACTGTCAACAATCAGCTTTACAAAACACATAACTTTCCTAGAACTTATTCCGCCACCTGATCAATAAAGATAAGAAATATTTAACGCCAAATTGGTAAACATTTAAAGTACATTTAAAAAATCCTTTTTAATAACAGCTGACTCCGTAATTCACTGACATAGGCAATGACAGGTTTACCGTGATTGGTTCAGATACTTTATAGGATGGCAGATGGGCAAGTCAGGGGAAAATAAAGCTAGGGAAATGAAGTTATTTGACTCCTTTGGTCTCTGGGATATTAAGACCAAACTAATTGCTGTCTGTTTCTATGTGAATTTCAATTGGGGTCTTTCCCCTCCATTTTTCTGATTTGTATAATGGAAATTATTAAGGATAATGGGCTTAATATGACTTCATTTTATTTTCAGCTTAGTTGGAGACCATCTATCTATATCTATATATCTATATAAAGATGTGTTTCAAAGTTCATGTACTCAGAGTAGAACATTTACAGAGACAATTTGAGTAAAAACAATGCTTTCAAAAGAAATATACAAAAAAGTGCTTTCTTGACAAAAAGCTGATAAAACAAAGATGAGGCATTTTCTTTCTTTCCAGGGCCAGTACGCAGTGAACCTCATGAAACCTGTGTTGCTTAAAGAGATTACAAACCTGATCCAATAAGAATAGGTGAAAATAAACCCATTAGTTTCTTAAAACTAGGAATTTTCATATGAAAAGATAATGCATGTTTTGGTCTCTACAATAGACAGGAACACTTTTTACTCCAGAAAGTCAGGGCATTATTGGTGCGTGGTGCTTGTCTCTGTATTGCTTGTGGACAGCGAACCCGCCAGCTGGTCATCCTGTTTGTTCAGAAAACAAAGCAGTGTGTGGCTCTAAAAGGTGTGTCTTCCTTAGATGTCGGACCGAGTATGAAGTTAAAGATCAAGCTGCAAAAGGCGACGAAGTGACTCGGAAACGATTCCATGCGTTCGTCCTCTTCCTGGGAGAGCTCTATCTCAACCTGGAGGTGAGGAGAGATTGTTCTAAGTCCTGACAAAGCGTGGGAACACAAACTGATGCAGGGTGGATTAAGGCCGGGTGAAGGGAGAGGAAGAGATGGTGCCTCACTGGCCACTCAGGGCAGCGCCTGCGTTCTAATGGAACGTCCCGTCATGTTTGTTTCTCCTGTTTGCAGGGAGGCTGCTGGGAAGTAGTTACTGGGAGTTTTAAAAAGTCTATGTACTTTTGAAAGCCATGGTTTCCTTACAAGTGTAAGCTCTTGAAGTACAGATAATCATACCTGTTTGAATTCACACATTTCGTGTGTTGACTTTCAGGTGGTGGCTCAAAAGCAGCCCGCTCTGCAGAACACACAGCTTTGAGGTGAAAGGGCAGGGCGGGCACTAGAATATCTAGGGTTCTTTCCACCCGAGTTTACCCAGGATTGTTCTTCTTGGTCCTGTTTTATAAATTAATCTTCTACATTAAATGCTTTTGTTCAAAGTCTGTAGCTAAACAAGTTTGTAAATTGGTGGTATATTTGGGTATATGTTAGTAAGCAAGTAAGTGCTGAATATTACTTTGTAGTGGATTTGCTTGATTTTTTTTCTTTGACTAGTTAATCCCAGAGATAGGTTATACCTTCTTTAACTTTGATTTGAAAACTTAATCGTAAACACTGCTGAAAAGACCATGGAACCCACCACCAAATATGCATCTTAGTCCATCTAAAAAGTCCCTGTCCAATCTGGTGCCTAATTTACTATCCCATTTTACCATAGATGGACCTTTTTTTTTTTTTTTTTTTTTTTTTTTTTTTTTTTTTAAAGTAGGGACCATTCCCAGCATGGAGCTCGAACTCCCAACCCTGAGATCAAGAGTCGCATGCTTTGCCAACTGAGCCAGCCAGGTACCCCTGGATGGACTTAATTTTTTAAAAATTTCATCCATCACTCTTTCAGTTTAATTTTTATATAAGCCAAAATAAGAACATTCATCTAAAATGTGCTGTAAATGAAGTCTTTTTAAGAATGCAGGTGTTTCCTCTGTGGATGTAATGATGCCATGTCTGCGGGGAGTGTAAAGTTGAGGTATGGCTCCCAAGCCTATGGCTCTTCTGGCTAGAGAGCTACTTTACTTAGACGATTCTGATGCAGAACAGTATTTTTAAATAGTATAAAAAATAAGAAAATGCTGCATGTTCCAAAAAGGGTGGTAGCTTAATCGGCCTGAGAATGCTTTATGAAGCAATAATTTATAAAGGTGACTTAGGTTATCCTGACCATATGTTATGTGTGATAAATGGGAAATTTTACCTATAGTTTACTGGTTGTATTAGAGATCTTATGTACATGTAAAATAAGTCCCAATTTTGTGAAGATACCAGAGCATTTCTGATTTTTGTATTGTTTAACTTAAAACACTTATTTTGCTAACACGTTAGACCATTTATTTATCTGTTGTAATATTTTGGCATCGTTGCTTCTCATTTTCTTCTGTCCCAAAAGATCAAGGGAACAAATGGACAGGTGACAAGAGCAGATATTCTTCAGGTTGGTCTTCGGGAGTTGCTGAATGCCCTCTTTTCTAATCCTATGGATGACAACTTAATTTGTGCAGTAAAATTACTGAAGGTAGGTTTTATGTATGTTTTTCTTAAAATTAATCTTTCCTACTGCATTTATGATTTAAAGGAAAGTATAGTATGCAGTGAATTCAAGATTAAATTTTTACTTTAAATATTGACACTTTGCTTTGCCCTTGAATTTAAACATTGGAAAGGCAGTATGTACTGATTTTTAGATTTTATTTTTTTGAGAGAGCGTGCATGAGTGGGATGGGGGGGCAGCAGAGGGAGAGGGACACGCAGACCCCATGCTGAGCACAGAACCTGACATGGGCCTCAGTCTCATGATCCTGAGATCATGACCCAAGCCGAAATCAAGACTTGGACACTTAACCAACTGAGCCACCCGTTCTCCCCTGTACTGATTATAAATATGAAAATGTAAATTTAGAAGCAAAAAAATGGAAGTCCTTCACCCTTCGTCTCTAAATTTCTTTTCCTTCCTTTCCCATGTCTGTATTTGTGCCCTCATAAAATCACCCTCTTTGTGGCTTTTTTATTATCTAACAACGAACTTAGATTTTTGCATCGCCCAAAAGATTTATCTTTCTTCAGTAACTTCACTTGTATATGTGCAGTTGTTTATGTAGGTTCAATTCCTACACATTTGGTGGGTCAGTGAACATCATATAGTTTATTTTGAGAAGTAATGTCAAGTTTCCCTTCTAAATGCCAAACTGGTGTGTGTTTGGTTGTTGTCCTACTGACAATGAGTAAATATACTGCTTTCCCCATATTCTTATCGGTGATGGATATAATCAACCCGGGTTTGTTTTGTCATAGGTGATGGATGAGTAAAAACAAAAATCTCGTTTTGTGTTTTCCTAATCATTTGTGAACTTAAGCATTTCTTCATGTTTGTTAGCCTTTTTGTTTGTTTCTTTCTATGAATTATTTTATATCTGTACATCTTTTTCCCCTGAAGTTTGTATTTTTTTTTAAATTCAGGGTTTCCATACTTTCTGTGTATTTCAAAAAGTAAAAGGTTGATTAAAATTTTATAGCCTAATTTCCATAGAGAATATACCCTATAGTCATTGACACATAAAACCTGTGATTCAGGTTCTGCTTTAGTTTCTCTCAATCAGAAAAAACAGGGTATTAGAGATTCCTGACTGTTAGGTGGTGGAGAATAATTGGGGATATTTAACTTACCAAGTTCATTTTATTCAAAGAATGCTTGAACTGCTACTAATATTTTTTTAAAGAACTTATGTACTTTACTGAATTCCTTATTTTACTGATTATCTGCTTTTTTTAGTTGACAGGGTCAGTTTTGGAAGATGCCTGGAAGGAGAAAGGAAAGACTGATATGGAAGAAATCATTCAGAGAATTGAAAATGTTGTCTTAGATGCAAATTGCAGCAGGTGGGTAGCTAGCCAGCAGATCTCAATTTCTTTTTCTGTAGAGATTGTTTTTCATCTGTTATATATGCTATCATCAAAAGAGTTGAAATATTACAAATCTACAGAAGTATATTTTCTTCAAAGGTATAATATTTTAGCTATGGCTTGTGTTCACCTGACCTTTTTTGTTCAGTTGTGTTTATAAATTGAAAAGGTTTAGATTTTCCTATGGTGAGAAAGGAGTCCACTGAAAAGTAAAATGATTCAGACTTTAAATTGTTCAATAAATACTTGGATAAAGTACTGTTTTAAGTCCAGTTGGAAGCATAAAAATGAAGGATAGCCACTGCCTTTAAGAACCGTATAGTCACAGTTAGATGAAACAACTTTCAAGGCTGCTTAAAAAAAGGTTATGTCAGTATAGCAAATGTCTAAAAAATCAAAGCACTTAGATGTACATGTTAAATTTATGAAACGTAGTTTTAAGAATCTGGTATTCTAGGGCACCTGGGTGGCTCAGTGGGTTAAAGCCTCTGCCTTCAGCTCAGGTCATGATCTCAGGGTCCTGGGATCGAGCCCCACATCGGGCTCTCTGCTCAGCAGGGAGCCTGCTTCCTCCCCTCTCTCTGCCTGCTTCTCTGCCTACTTGTGATCTCTGTCTGTCAAATAAATAGGGGGCGCCTGGGTGGCTCAGTTGGTTAAGCAACTGCCTTCGGCTCAGGTCATGATCCTGGAGTCCTGGGATCGAGTCCCACATCCGGCTTCCTGCTCAGCAGGAAGTCTGCTTCTCCTGCTGATCTCTCTCCTCTCCTCTCTCTCTCTTTCACTGTCTCTAAAAATAAATAAATAAATAAATAAAATCTTAAAAAAAAAAAAAAAAGAATCTGTGGTATTCTAGAGTCTGACAACACTTTGGTGGATACCCTTAATTCCTTTTCAACTTCTTTCTGCAGAGATGTGAAACAAATGCTCTTGAAGCTTGTAGAACTCCGGTCAAGTAACTGGGGTAGAGTTCACGCAACCTCAACATACAGAGAAGCAACACCTGAAAATGATCCTAACTATTTTATGGTATGCCAGCATTTACATTTTAAGTTTTGTTTATTGCTTGGATCCAATTTCAGAAACTTCTGGATGAGGTACATAAAGGTATTCTCAAAAAAAAAAAAAAATCAGAATTTAAGGCCAGTAATTCTTTTCATTGGCTTAGGGTCACATGGCAGCCAGGAGGCCAGGTAAATAGAGGAAGAAACATGGAATCCTCTAAGGAAAAGGTAGATTAGAGAAAGATCCATCCACTGGAAAGGAAAATCGGTGACTTGAACAGAGTTGTGTGGGATTGTGGAAAGAAGTTTTCCCGGGGAATTTATAATCAAAGAGCTGCATCTCACACTTTGACTTTGCACTTTATAGTAAATTAAGAAAATAAAAGTGATCCCCATACCAGTAATGTCCTGAAGCTCCTGACATGACCAAACATAACACAACAACGAAGAAATGCTCCTAAGACCCCAGCTTTGGAAATTCCTTAAAAAATGGTGGGGAGGGGAGAATCACAACTAAAAATAAGCTGACACAATGCTAAATCACAGCACACAGCAAAACAGTTCATCATGAGTGTGACTGACTAGATAGCAGGGTTACAGCCACAGGAACTTGAGAAAATAGAATAGAAATCTGAAAATCATACACTTTCCCAGTGAGATGAAAATGGCTATCAGGAAGCTTGTTTCTTGTGCGTGCTTACATTATTGAGTGCAAATGAGTGACCTTAGCCATGCCTCATTAATTAACGTGCTTTAAAAAGTCAGTTTTGAAATGCTTACGTATTTGTATCACTTTGATCCATCCTAGAATGAACCAACATTTTATACCTCTGATGGTGTTCCTTTCACCGCAGCTGATCCAGGTAGGCCGTTTCACAGGCTTTGCCCCCAATTTCTTGGTAATCTCGTGAATTCCAGAAAACCATACCCTCGCCAGTGCGGAGTTGTAGCTTTTTGAAGTGGGCACATTGTTCTAAGATGAGGGTAAATGTTTTTCTCCTATAGAATATTCTTTACAAGGACAACCACTTTGAACCATTACAAATGGAAAGTCTGACTGTATAGTGTCTTGTCACCCACACAGTGGGTCAGTGGGTTGGAAGAATCCCTCAATTAAACACAACCATTTTTGTTTTATATTTTCTCTAATAATTTCATTTTTATACTGTAAGCTTTCAGGTAGTTAAGATAGAAGGGGAAGATGGTTCTAGCTCACTACATAGAGTACAACAGCCATTACTGTGGGTTAATACTTGCAGATACTAAAATTATGGGTTTTGTTAATAGTCAGTAGGTCAAAGTTAATTAAAATCTAAATCTCAGCACACTTCCCCTTCCAGAAAAAGGCCATTTATAGAAAGATTGCTTTAATTGTGATAAATGGGACTACAGTATGAGCAAGGGAAAATTTTCCCATTTGATGAAAATTAGAACCATTTGTTCGGAATTTTCCCATTAGCTTCTTCTGGATAGAAGGCACTGACTATCCGGTTCCTAAAAGAAGGTGGAAAGAAGTACTGCTTAACTTTCAACTTTAAATTCTGAAACATTCAAAATACAAAAATCACATGGGACACTTGGGTGGCTTAGTCTTTTGGGCATTTGACACTTGGTTTCTGTTTGGGACATGATCTTGTGGTTGTGGGATCAAGCCCTGTTGGGGAGATTGTGGGATCAATCTCCTGTGGGGAGATTTTTTAAATATCTTAAAATATATATATTTATGTATATAATTGTTATATAAACTATAAAAAACTGACTTTGATTCACTATGAAGGATAAACCAATGTCATTTTGCCAGATTAATGCACACTTTGGGTGTTTTTAAAGAAATAAAACCCTACGGATAACTAGTAAACCACTCTGTCTTATGACTCAGCCCTCACCGTCCACCGCCAGTCCTTCCATTGCTTCCCTCCCAGACGTAATTACCATCCTGAAGTTGGGGTCATTGTGATGTCTTTTACTTCCTATGTGTCTATAAACAGTGTAGTATCACACAGTATCAGTAACCTAAGTGGTATCTTATCGTGCACATCTTTTGCAACTTATTTCTTATTCAGTGTTTTTGCTGTTTATTCACATTGAAGTATATATAGCTTTGGTTCATTTTAAATGCCAAATAATACTGCACTCAGATGAAAGCACCGGTTATAGGTCCCTACTTAAGGGTGGTTGGGTGGTTCACACTCGTTACTAGAGTCAGTACTGTACAGACCTCTTTAAGTAGTCCTTGAGCTCGTGCGGGAGGTTCTTCAGGGTGAAGAAGTACAGTTGCTACATTGTAAGTTATGTGTATCTTCTGCTTCACTAAATGTTGCTAACATGCTTTCCCTTCTGTCTGTGCCACATGCTCTGTCCCCAGCAGAATGGGAGGGTTCCTGTTTCTCATCCTTGGCAACGGTTATTACCAGACCTAATTGTTGTCAGTTAGATTGTACGAAATTGTAGATTTTCATTTCCTTTCCTACTGATAATGAATTTCTTTTCATGTTTCTCCTGACAGTTGTTTTCTTTCTTTTAAGAATTTGCCTAGTTGTGGTCTTTGCCCATACTTCTATTGGATCACATTTCGTCTCTGAACTGTTTTGTGATTCCGTACATAGACCAGAAAGTGACTCTGGGCTTCTCCCAGTATATGCTGTCTTTCCATTATGTTTGTCTAGTCTTGTAGAAGCGTCGAGTTTTCGTGTAAGTGTATCTGTTTTGTTCCTGCTCTCTATGGCTGAGAATGTTTCCATATTACCATCAAATTCCGTTTTCTTATTATTCTTTTTTTTTTTTTTTTGAAGATTATTTATTTGACAGAGGGGTCACAAGGAGGCAGAGAGGCAGGCGGGGGTTGGGGGCGGGTAAGGAAGCAGGCTCCCTGCTGAGCAGAGAGCACGACTCGGGACTCAATCCCAGGACCCTGGGATCATGACCTGAGCCAAAGGCAGAGGCTTTAACCCACTTGAGCCACCCAGGCACCCCATAATTCCATTTTCTTCTAAAAGTCTTTGTTGCTTTTTGTATTTAGGTCTTTAATCCATCTGGCTATTTTTATGTGCTAGAGTAGGAATTGAATATTCCCTGTTCTCTCGTTGCGGCAACTGGTATTGAGTTACCCACCCTCCCTTCTCAACGTAATGTCCCTCTGACTTGTACCGCGCCCCTCCTCTCTAAACTTTGATCTTATTCCTGTGTATGTGCATGTGGACCTTTCGTCTGTCTTAATACCAATACTACAGTCTTAATTACTACTTTCCTTTATATCTTGCTGTGTCTGGTGAGACAAATTTTCTTATTCTTCAAAGTTACCTTGAATCATTTTGGTTCTTTGTTCTTTGTGTCTCATTTGTTTAACCTATTTGTGTTTTTTAGGCTTTTTTTGTAACTCTTGTTTATAGAAGTTTCTAAACATGCTTCTTTTTGTTTCATGTTTTTGTTATTTTAATTCTAACCCTGCTGTTTTTATTATCACATAAAATTTATTTTGATCTTTTTTTATTGCAATCTGATATTTAACGGTCTTAAAGTTTTTTTTTTGGAAGGGATCTCAAACTTACAGAAAAGTTACAAAAGTAAAAATTATACAAAGAATACCTGTCCACCCCATTACTCAGATGTACCTTTTGTTAACTTTTATTCTATTTGCTTTATGGCTTTTTCTGTCCACACTTTTCTAAACCATTTGAAGTTAAGTTATATATATTGTGGCCATTTGTGACTAATCTCATGTTTTAACTGCTTTTTTTTTTTTTCTTCACGAAAACTCCTTATGGCTTGGGTTGTGGTAACATCTATCCCTGCCAAGGAGCCACTGGGGTAAAACTGATTTGGAACAAGTTTTTATTTGTCATATGTGGGTAGTAGAAATTTAAGGTGTAGGCCCATTATTCCAAATTCTCTGAGGAACCCGTTTCTTCAGAGTACTCTTGTTTCCACTTCAAACCCAAGAAAAGACAAGCAAGCTTCTTTGCTATCTCTCTTTGCCACCAGAGTGTTTTCCATTTTGTTTTCTTCCTGGTCCACCTCTTGCTTGAGATACCTACTCTTTGAAGGGCCACGATTCATGTAGAGAGAGGTGGGCATGGGCATGGGCATGAATTCCATCTCTGTTTCACATGGATCCAAGACCTTGCTTTCTGACCTTCTGTGGGTTTTTAAATCCAAGCCCCTTTGTTACCCAGAGCATGTGGTCTGCCAGCCTCCTGGCTGGAGTAGTTATGTATGATTTTCAGTTCCCTTTTTGTTGGTCATCAAGGGACTTGGTTTTCTTTTTTATGAACTCATCTGTGCATTTTAAAGAATGTTTGTCTTAATCTGTTACTCAAGTATTTGTTGCAGGAAGGTTCTACAGTTAAAATTGTCTCCAGATTGCCAAAATTGGATGTCAGAATATCACCAACCCTTTAAGCTGGAATTAGCTTTATAGAGACTGGTAATCTTGGGGGAAATATGGTCTAGCGTAATTGTTGAAATTTGAGGTAGCTGTTCACAGGAAACCCAATTTTAAGGTAACTAGTTTTAATACATACTGATTGGTTTTATTATTCAGAGATAAGTACTCCATACGGACATGCTAATCTTAAAAGATACTCAGTAACTCTGCCTAAGACAGTTGGCAGATGGAGAGCTATAAAATTACCCGTATTGCCTTGGAAGAATCCAACCAAGGGAAAGTTTATATAGCTGAAACATTTATCAGGTAGCTACCTTCCAGCTGTCTCTGAGGGAAGAAAAGAAAATCCCCTGTGCTGAGAACCTTTGCTAGGTTAGCTAATCTGATTGAGAAACAGGGGCTAGTGGCTGGTAGCTTGTAGCTACCTAGCTCCATTTATTTCCGTGGAAAAGAGTAAGGGAAACCAGAGGCCAGCCTATTTGATTAAAATCCTTCCTTGTGGAAGGAAGAATAGGAATATGGAAAAACATGTTCTTTCCCAACAGCACAGATACATAGATAGGTAGATACGTGTATGTATGTGTGTGTGTGTATATATACATACACACACACACACACATATATGTATAGTGTATGTATGTATGTGTATACACACACACATATACATATATATGTATAAATATATATTTAGTTTTATGGAAAGAAGCAGCAGGGAGTATCAGTGGCATACACGTTGGCTGTGACATGTGCTCTGGTATATCTACAGTGGCCTTGAATTGCAACGTTTAATTAGAATAGTACAATTAAGATTTATGAGCACACAGGTGCAAAAGCAAGCCAATTAAAATATAAGTTTTGTAAAAGCTATTAAATATGCAGCTGGAAGCTTCCTGCTATTTAAACGTTGGATCTACTTAAAAATAATATTAAAAAGCATTTTTAGGATAACTGGCTGTTTTACGACTTTTGTCAGCATTCAATTTTTTTAAATTTTTTTGTAGATTACCAAGAGAAATACCAAGAGTTACTTGAAAGAGAAGACTTTTTTCCAGATTATGAAGAAAATGGGACAGATTTATCAGGGGCTGGTGACCCGTAAGTTCTTTTTAGCTATTAACTTTCTTTCTATGACCATAGTGTGTTGATGGAGTTTAGATTAGAAAAAGGCAGACAGGGGCGCCTGGGTGGCTCAGTGGGTTGGGCCGCTGCCTTCGGCTCGGGTCATGATCTCAGGGTCCTGGGATCGAGTCCCGCGTCGGGCTCTCTGCTCCGCAGGGAGCCTGCTTCCCTCTCTCTCTCTCTCTGCCTGCCTCTCCGTCTACTTGTGATCTCTCTCTGTCAAATAAATAAATAAAAATCTTTAAAAAAAAAAAAAAAAAAAAAAAAGAAAAAGGCAGACAAAGAATGTGCATTTTGATTTGATGGTGTTACAGTAGTATGTATGTGTACTTGCTTGCCAAAAATTTTCAGGAAATTGTATTTAGAAAACACAGACTATGATTCTGAAAATGTATATATATCTGGAGGGGGAAAACTAAAATAGTGGTATACTCAAGCTTAGTTTTGTAAAAAAGATTCAGTTCAGTTCTAGTACTGTCAGCTCTTAGGCAAACTATGCCTATTCTTCCATCTGTAAAGTAGAAATAGTTGACCCCTCCTTGAGTTCTTTTCAGAACTAAGTGAAAATACATATATACTTAGAACCACCTCCTGGCAGACAGTAAAAGACTCAGCTCTTGGCTGTTAAAGGATGAATTAAGATTAAAGAGAACATGGGTCACCACATAACAGTGTTTGGATTGATGGAAAGGTGTGAGTTACAGTTCCATTCACATCTTTCAATCCCTACCCTACCTGCCATTCTTTGTAGTAAAGGAAACTTTTGCTACTCCCTTACCATCAGATTGCATTACACCGAGTTATAGAAGAACCAAGAACTTATGAGGTTTAGCCCCCCAGCTTTAGCACTTTATGTGAATTTGGACCAGTTACTTAGGTTCTCTTTCTTCTAAGTGGAGGAGGGAATAAATTAAATCTGACTTAATTTTTCTTACATCTCATCTGTCATGTATGTTGTAGGTTGAAAAAGTGAACCACTTTTAGTCTGTCTCCCATCTAGGTACATTTATAAGTCTGTTTGAGATCTAATGTTACCATATATTTTTTTAAATTATAATTTAAAGATTTATTTATTGTCAGAGGGAGCGAGAGAGAGAGCGCATGCACAAGCAGGCAGTGTAGCAGGCAGAGGCAGAGAGAAGCAGGCTCCCTGCTGAGCAAGGAGACCCTTGCGGGACTCAATCTCAGGACCCTGGGATCATGACCTGAGCCAAAGGCAGAGGCTTAACCGACAGAGCCACCCAGGCATCCCGTAATGTTACCATATTTTTATATGTTAGTTTAATTAAAAAAATATATGGGGATGTAAGGACTCAAATCCAATTAAGAAAAAGGTTCAGCCCTGTCGGGTATACCACTGGAAGTTCAAGCTGTTCTTGGCGTTGAATTTCAGGTTGTCCTCTGAAGTTCTGCTTGGTAAACATTACATGCTGTTGCCCCTGATACACTTGTGGCCATTTTAACACATGTACTGGAAATGGAGGAACAACGACAAAAAGATCCATCAGCAGTTGATAGGATTGTCAAGATAGTTTTGTCATACATGTAGATGGAAAGGATTATTGTGGGGTGGGGAGACCCTATAGACATCTTGTTATTGGAGAGGAAAAGTGTAGAAAAGGGAAATGATGGGCCCCTGGGTGGCTCAGTCATTAGGCACCTGCCCTTAGCTCGGGTCATGATGCCAGGGTCCTGGGATTGAGCTTTGGGCTCCCTGCTCCACGGAAAGCCTGCTTCTCCCTCTCCCACTCCCCCTGCTTGTGTTTCCTCTCTCGCTGTGTCTTTCTCTGTCAAATAAAGAAAATCTTTTAAAAAATAAAAGGTGGGGGTAGGATTTGGAGTCAGATTGTGGCTGTGCCACATATTTAACCCAAATCTTAGAGTATTTACTTAACCTCCTTCCAGAGTCTTTTTTCTTTTTTTTTTTTTTAAAGATTTTATTTATTTATTTGTCAGAGAGAGAGAGGGGGAGAGAGCAAGCACAGGCAGACAGAATGGCAGGCAGAGGCAGAGGGAGAAGCAGGCTCCCTGATGAGCAAGGAGCCCGATGTGGGACTCGATCCCATGACGCTGGGATCATGACCTGAGCCGAAGGCAGCTGCCCAACCAACTGAGCCACCCAGGTGTCCCCAGAGTCTTTTTTCTTTTATCTCTAAAATGGGGATGATAGGAGCACCTGGCTAGTGCAGTCAGTAGAGCATGTGACTCTTGATCTCAGGGTTGTGAGTTCGAGCCCAATGTTGGGTGTAGAGATTACTACCTATCTTTTTAAGATGGCTATGGGTATTCAGTAAGAATACGTATGTTTAATCCTTAATGGGTTCTTTAAAATTTCTACCCATGTTTAACTGTGGAAAGCTTTGCTTTTCATCATTTTAGACTTCCTAATATTTGGGAAAATTCTGAGATAGATGATTTTGAAGTTAGCTTCTTGTTAAGAAAGTGATTCCAAATAGATGGAATGTGACTAAATTGTCATTTCAGGAATACATCTTCCTTCCTTCTTTCCTTCATTCCTTCCTTCCTGATTTGACAGCACAAGCAGGGGGAGTGACAGGCAGAGGGACGGGAGGAACAGACTCTCCACTGAGCAGACAGCCTGACATGGGGCCCAATCATTACCTGAGCCGAAGGCAGAAAATTAAGTGACTGAGCCACCCAGGCACACCTATCATTTCTGATATTAAGTAGATATAAAATAGGGTGCTTGGGTGGCTCAGTCTGTTAAGCCTCTGCCTTGGGCTAAGGTCATGATCCCGGGGTCCTGGGATTGAGCCCTGCACTGGGGTCCTTGCTCAGCAGGGAGCATGCTGCTTCCTCTTTCTCTGCCTGTTGCTCTCCCTGCTTATGTTTTCTCTGTCAAATAAAGTCTTAAAAAAAATAAATAAAACTTTGCATTATTGGAGGTGAATGGCATATCTGAAATTATGTTCTAATTCTAGTGTGATTAAGGTGAACTTATGAACATACTATCAGTCTTGAGTCCCCAAATTTATATATTGAGACTTTGAATTCACTTTTAGATTAGGTTAAGAATTTAACATATGGGGGGGGAATAAAAAGAATTTAACGTATGTTGGATGCCTGACTGCTCAGTCAGAAGAGCATGGGACTCTTAATCTTGGGGTTGTGGGTTTGAGCCCCACATGGGGTGTAGAGATAAACCTAAATATTTTTTTTAACGTATGTCTAAAAGGATAACGGAAGCTTAATTTCAAACACAAGACACTGAGAGTCCAGTGTAAAATATAACTCCTCAGATTAAGCATTTGGTTGGAGGACTGACAGGTATATAATTGTGAAAAGTGCTTGCATTCTGTAACAGTCTAAGAAGGTTATGTCACCAGACTTTTTTGTGTGGCTTAGCATCTTTGATATTTCTGAATTGGAAAACATGAAACTTATGAGTCATCTTTACTTCTTTCATAGATACTTGGATGATATTGATGATGAGATGGACCCAGAGATAGAAGAAGCTTATGAAAAGTTTTGTTTGGAATCAGAGCGTAAGCGAAAGCAGTAAAGATAAATTTCAGCACATCAGTTTTATAAAGCGGTTTAGGTTATGGTGATTTAGCAGAACACAGGAAAATGTGTCACACTTATACCAAATTAAGGATGTTGAGTTATGTTACTAATGTATGCAACTTTAATTTTGTTTAACACTATCTGCCAAAATAAACTTTATTCCCTATAACTTAAAATGTGTATATATATATAATAGTTTATTATGTACAGTTAATTCCACTGTTTTGGCTGCAATAAAATCGATTTTGAAATAAATAAAATGTTGAAAGTAAATTTTGGTAGTTGGTTAGAAGCTTACCCTTTAAATTCTACTTTTCTTGAGGGGAAAAACTCTTAGCCTGGAAATACATATTATTGCAAAATGTAGCATCCTTTTTTAGATGAGTATATAGCTTTCATTTAGTTTTATGTTGTCTCAATGAATTGGGTTTCAAATATGAATCACAGTCATGAAATCTTTAGCACTGAAGTCTTAGACTGTACCATTAACAACTGATTTACATATCCAGATGCTATTCGATACCAAGGGCTTTTAAAATATCATTAAAAAAAAAAAAGACTTGAAACTCCCAACTAAACAACCAGGATTCTTCACTTCGGATTTATTGGAGTTGTTCTCCCCCTCCCTACCCCCACCGCTCAACTTCATTACCCTAAAGCGTGGAACATTATTCTGCTTTATTTATGGCTTTCATTTTTATTTTGTAGCATGAGTTGCATTGACTTTTTTACTAGAGAATTTCACTCAAGTTTTCACCTGCTTTATAATTGATACACCCTGAGGATCACTTTTCTAATACTTTTACTATAATGTAGTACCACCTTCGCCCTATTTAAAAATTATTTGTACCTAATGTCAAAGCCTTTTTCCAACTAACTAAAAGTAAAACTTATGTACAAAAGGATTGCTTGTAAATATGCATGTAAATAGTTCTGTTAATAACCCACTGTTTTACATTTGGTACATCTGTGTCTGCTAATACAGTTAGTTTTCTCACCTTTCTGCTTGTTTGTTCAGTCTGGATTAAAATTAGACTTTGAAAATAAAATTTAAATAGTTTTGTTTTTCTCTAAGTTTTTGGAGTGGTATCCTGGTATTTTAAAGAATTTCTGTTGAACTTTGATGTGAGAAAGTTAAGTGTTTTGAAATCAAACTATGCTAGGATAGATGATGTCCTATTCAGTGTGTGTTGAGTAAGAATTCAGTTATGAGTCTACTTGGGAAAAATTAACAAATATAAAACAACCTTCAGATTCCTTATTGTAAAAGGGAATGATATATATGATTGGAAGTTTTGGAACTTGTAATAGGATTCTTTTTTTTTTTTTTTTTAATGGCTCCTATAATATGGTGGATAATTACCTTAACCTGAAGTTCTTCAAAGACTGTGCTTATTGTAAATCTTGGGGGTGAGAGGGAAGAGGTCTAGGGAAGGGGCAGTACATTAGACCAGGGGCCAAGTATATGATAACTGAATGTGCTTTAAACTTCTCACGGTTGCTTTGTGAATAACCATCCAGCTTAGTCCGCTAGCTCCTTGTCACCAGTCAGTGCTGTACTCAGCAGCTACCAGCAGGATCATCATGTGTTCCGGTTACTAGAGCTGCTTAACCGCCCAAATTTAGTGTTTTCAAACAATAAGCATTTTATTATGCTCCTGGGTTCTGTGGTTCAGGGATTTGGACGGGGCATGGCTTTTTCTATTGTGCAATGTTTGATGCCTCAGCTGGGGAAATGAGGTGGTCAAATGACCGGGAGCTATAATCATCTGGGGGCTTCTTCACTCGCACAGCTGGCTGGGCCGAGATGACTGGAAGCTATCACTTGGCCAGACCCGCCTACACATGGCCTGCCCATGTGACCTGGACTTTTCACAAACATGGCAGCTGGATTTTGAGAGGGGGCGTTGTAGAAGACTCAGGAAGAAGCTGCATTTGGAAGCTGCATACAGCATTAACTTCCATTATAGTCTTAGTTCTGAGTCACTGAAGCCATATCAGATAAGAGGCCACCAAGAAATGTGTGGATATGTTTTAGAACTGCAACAGTATATCCTGAAAGGAAGAGCTAGGCCTGTGTTGCGTTTGTTGGCCGTATCTTCAATAGAAACGTGTCCTCAATCTCTTGTAAAGATTACTAGTACAGTCTCCAGTGAGCAAGGACACACAGATGTTAGTGCAGGTCATAGGCTTGTGTTCTGGTAAAGTACAAATATTTGTACAAAATCTTGCACTTGTGTCATTAACTCAACCTTCTGTCTTTATGTTGTCTGTGCCCTTCCAGCCAAAGACTACCAGGAACATACATGTACCTGAGCAGGGTGGGCTTAGTACTTTTGCACTAAAGCAGAATAGGCACATGGGGAACTGTGGGCTTGTAATAGGACTTGGGCTTTGGTTAGATAATTTGGGAGAGGGTCTAAGAAATTGGAGGCTCATGTGTCCAGGCTGACCTAGTCCAACCGTGCATGGACCCAACTCTGTTGCTTCAACCAGGCAGCTGGAGGTTGTTTCTGGTAGGTTTGTACCAGTGTAAATTCATAATTGCCACCTAAGCTACCAGCACTGCCAATAATGCTACTGTGTTTATTACCTTGCTTATTTCAAACCCTCCACTCTGTTCCTCATGATTCACAGAAGAAATCGGGCAAATGTACACAAATGCATCTACATTCATTTTATCCCTCCTCTTGTACAGGAAGTATCCCTCCTGTTCAGGGACAGCTACTCCACTCGTTCTCGAATCCCATGCCCTCTCACGCTCTCATGAACTCTGCTGTTACTTGGTCTGTACTTTTTCAAATCCCTCTATTGGCCCTTTGCATGAGCTGTTGAACATGTCATTCCTCTCATCAGGAGAAGTCTGGCCCTCACATTTCTCTGCAGTTCTGCTTCCTAGCCAGATTGTTTAAATGTCCCATATTCGTTTTCCATTTCCTTCCTATTTTGCTCTTCAGACCTATAGCTTCTGTCCCTATATACAACAGCCCGTGGTAGAGCTGCCAAGGACATTTATGCCACAAAATCCAGTAGATACCTGACTCTAGCTTGTTCTCTAAGCAATATCTGACACTACCAAGGGGCACCAAAATTGAAAACCTCTAGGCATCTGGAATAGAATAGCCTTTTTTCTGGCTGTTCCTCAGTTTTTGTGGGATTCTCTTCTCTTAACTAATGTGTAAGTATTGGTGTTCCTCAAAGCTCAGTCAACATTTTCTTATGTCACCTATATCCTTGGACTATTTAATCCTCTCCTAAAGCTTCAGTTAGCAGCTATCAGTGTTGACTTCCAGATTTGTTTCTAATCTGTTTCTAGACCTTTGTTAATATATTTGAACTAAGAAGACTTCTAAAATTGAAGCACTGCTGGGGTGTCTGAGTGGCTCAGTCGGTTGAGTGCCTGCTTTTGGCTCAGGTCATGATCCCAGGGTCCTGGGATCGATCCCTGCATCAGGCTCCCTGCTTGGCAGGAAGCCTACTTCTCCCTCTTCCCTTCACTCTGCTTGTGTTCCCTCTCTCTCGGTGTCTCTCTCCACCAAATAAATAAAATCTTCAAATAAACTAAAGTCCTGCTATTCCCTAAATTTTCTTGTGTCTGTCTTATTGATGGCACTGCCCTCTATCCACTCGCTCCAGAACTCATGGAACTGTTTTTAACTACTGTTCAGTTATCTCCAAGACTATTGAATTTGATCTAAATATTTCTTGGAGCTGTGCTCTCCATCCTCACTGTCTAAACTTGAGTCTGAAATGCCATCTTTCCCATTGTGTTTTCAAAAGACTACTGGGCTCCCCACATCTCTTTGCATCATACAATCCGTTCTTCACTCAGACATTCCAGGGATCTTCTAAAGTACAGATAGCGTCCCAAAACCCCTTAGTAGTAGACAGTTAACAAATAGAAGATTCTTAGTCATTAGAGAAGAAAAAGGGGAACAGGACAGGACCTAAGTCAACGTGTGTAACACAAATTGATGTTACTGATTAATGAAAACAGGGCATCTACGGGTGGCTTTATTAACTTTTACATTAGATTGAGGCCAATTTGCTTATCAGACTTTCAAAAACAGAGATGAATTTAAGGAGTTAGATTTCTTCTCATTCCTTGGTGCTGCTACCTTTGCTTAAAAAGTCCTTGATTGTCAACAAAAGCCAAATTATGGAGAGAGCCCAAATGTCCACTGACTGATGAATGGATAAAGAAGATGTAGTATGTATATACAATGCAATGCTACTCAGCCATCAAAAAAATAAAAATCTTGCCATTTGCAACAGTGTGGATGGAGCTAGAGTATATTATGCTAAGTGAAATAAGGCAGTCAGGGAAAGAAATTACCACATGCTCTCACTCGTGGAATTTAAGACAGAAAGCAGATGAACATACAGGAAGTGGGAATAGAAAAAAAGGAGAGAGGGAAACAAGCCCCAAGATAGTTTTAAGGATAGAGAACAAATTGAGGGTTGATGGAGGGAGGTGGGTGGGGGATGGGCTGGATGGGTGATGGGTACTAAAGAGGGCAACTGTGGTGAGTGTTGGGTGTTGTATGTAAGTGGTGAATCACTTAATTCTACTCCAGAACCAATATTGCACTGTATGTTAACTAAGTAAAAATTTTCTAAAAAGCCCTTTAATAGTTTGCCATCACTTTTTAAGACAAAGCCCATAATTCATAAATCCATAAATCCTGGCCCTTGCCTATCTCTGAGTCCCCATTCAGGCTTCTCTTTCCTAAAAGCCTCTCCCTCCTCTTTAACCATTCTTAAATCAAACTAGCCTTTTGAGGGGGCAAGATCTTTCCTTTGGCCCTCAGGGTCTTAACAGAGGCTGTTACCACTGCTTGAAACACTTTCCCCACATTGTACTTGGCTAACACCTACTTGCCCTTTGGATTTCAGTGGAAATACTTCCTCAGCCTCAGGTCTGTGCACTACACGGTCTCACAGACCTCTGTATTTTAGTTTAGGAACATTTAGCCACTACTGTGATCATATTAGTGTCTACTCCTTTCATTCCAGTTAATCTCCAACCCCCACCCCTCGACCCTAGATCGCATTTCCTGCTTTATACCCAAGGTGCCCAGCACATAGTAGGTTCCCCATAAACATCTGATGATAATAAATTTAGCAGACACGCTGCTTGCTATTTTAGAAAAGAAGTGCAGAGACAGACTTGGTACCAAATTAGGAAGAGGACTCTTATCTTTGGTCAAGTTTCTGTTTGGCTGTTTTTTTAACAGCTTGTTTGGATTATTTAATAAGCATTACTCCACTAAAATCCACTCCTGCAGTTAGCACTTGGCCGAACTGCGCTACAGGACGAAACACAACCTAGTGGGACCGGTCCCAACTCGAGGTGGGAAGTAAAAATCAAGAGGGAAGCAACCACGCTCAGTACTGGGAAAGCCCGCCTCCCTTACTTCCGGTCCCGCCTTTCGCTAGGAGCGCGACGGGGACTGGCCGCCGGAGCGGAGGGCGCGGACGGGGCGGGACTTCCTGTCTTTTTCCGGAGAGGAAGGACGCTTCCCCAGGTTGCGGGAAGATTTGAACTGCTGTTGCTTTCCGGTGTTTTGTTTTGTTTTTTGTTTTTTACGGGCTCATAGTTGGCGCTGCCGCTTCTCTCCTGCTACCCAAACAGGACGGACGTCTCGGCCAAAACACTCTCTCTGTGGCCTTATTCCCTTGCGGCCGTGATTGTTTTCTCTCATCAAGAAACATCACTTGTTGGTAATTTGTCAAATTCAAGAAATAACCCTCGAGAAACAGTCTTGGGCAGGCTTCAAGCATTTTGGCAAATTAAAGGGGCCTTTGGCCTCATTTCCACGACTTTTCATCTCAGAACTGCCGTGTGAGTCCAAGACGTTGGTTGTTTCGGTGAGGCCTTTTCGCTAAGTATTGCCATTTGGAAGAATGAGCGCCATTGATAACGAGTACAGACTTGTGGCTTTGTTGATCGTTAAACACTTTGACGTAATGTACCGGGTGGTGAAAAACAAACAGGAATAAAATGGTAGAGATGAGGCTGAGATGTGGGTTGGAGCTGGATTATGTTTTCTTATAATATGCCGGGAACTTTAGATTTTCCGCTGTTTCTTGTGTCTGCTTGTTATTTAAAATAAATAACAATTATATCTCAGTAACCTTTTTTTTTTTTTTTTAACTTATTTGACAGAGAGAGAGAGAGAGATCACAAGTAGGCAGAGGCAGGCAGAGAGAGGGGGAAGCAAGCTCACTGCTGAGCAGAGAGCCCGATGCGGGGCTCGATCCCAGGACCCTGAGATCATGACCTGAGCCGAAGGCAGAGGCTTAACCCACTGAGCCACCCAGGCGCCCCACCTTTTTTTTTTTTTTTTAAATTAAAAACTTGGCCGAACATAGAGACCTTTTCCCAGTTGGCAATCAGAAAATACAAATTTTCCAGCCTGTTTTTTTTTTCTGAAATAGCAAGTGGATATCTGAATTTATATGTATATGTGTGTGCGTATGCATTTATTGCTATGTATAAATACATTTATTGCTATGAATATTTATTGCTTGTGAAAAGAACAAGCACCTGAACAAGCGATGTGAACTTGGTATGGTCTGGATTGTGGAAAGTTACCTGTAACAGCAGTACTGGAAATGGAGAGGGAAAAAACTGAAGAAGGTGCAAGATAGCTGCAGAAATGGAGGGGAGGGTTGACGGACTGAAATGGAAAAGGAGCCAGGTTCATAAAAGAAACCTGCCAAATCAGCAAGCTATGTTATAGGGGTGTGGAGAAAAACAGTGAAAAGTCAAATATTGCTAGCATTGAGATGCCATTAACTCAAATTGCAAATTTGGAAGAGCAGGAATTTTGAAATTCACTTACTTATTCTTTCATCATTAAATAAATATTTATTGCACCCTTATTATTTGCTAAGTGTTGTTTTAAATGCCAGCGATACTACTGTGAATAAGACAGATGAGGTCTCTGGTCTGATTTGAGTTTATATCCTAGTGGAAAAAGACAAAAAGCGGAGAAATTAATAGAATCAGTTTTGATAGTGATAGATGGTATGAGTAAAAAAGATGAAATGAATTAAAACGGGACTGGGAGGGATGCCTGGGTGGCTCAGTCTATTAAGCTTCTGCCTTTGGCTCATGATCCCAGGGTTCTTGAGTCCTGTATCCCACTCCCTGTACCGAGGGCAACCGGCTTCTCCTTCTGCCTGCTGCTCTCCCTGCTTGTGCAGTCTCTCCCTCTCTTTCTCTCTGACAAATAAATAAAATCTTTAAAAGAAAAAAAGTGATTGGGAGATGGTTGGAAACAACTTTAATCGAGATGAACAAGTCAGGCCTTTGAGGAAGTGATATTTAAGCTTAAAAGACAAAGATCCAGCCATGTGATAAGCCAGGGAAAGGACATATTAGGCAGTAAGAACAGTGCAAAGGTTCTGAGATAGGAAACAGCTTGTTTTGAAAACATTAAAAAGTTCAGTGTAGCTAAAGTCCTGAACAAGGAGAAGACTTTAGGAGATGACATTTGGAGAGGAAGATGAAGCCAGATTGTGTGGCTGTTATAGGTCACAGTTCGGAATTTTATTTAAGTGCAAAATGGTAGATTGTGAGCCAGGACGTGCTAGATCTTATTTTAATTTTAAAAGATCCCTCTGGCTACTGTATGTAGACTGGACTTGAGGGAGTTAATAGTGAAAGTGAAATTAGGAAACGCTATAGAAGTCTGCTTTGGTGGGAGTGATGATGTTCCATTTTCGTCATATTGGTTAAGTTTGGTTTATCTCTGGCACAAGGACATGGAGAGAGGTCTAGCAGGCAGCTTGAAGTTCAAGGGAGAGGTCAGGTGGATTTGGAAGTTTTCTAGAGAGGGGAAATTAATAAAATTGTATGAATGTCCTCAGGAGAAACGATATGCTTTAATGTGTACCTCTATTCTAACATATTTTACAAAAGATTATAGTCATATGCACCTGATTACATACATTGAAAGGGGGTAAGATTTTTTTTAAAAAGCAGGAGTGGGCATAAAAGCAACACGAGTGGTTATAGTAAGAAGAGACGAAATGGGACTAAGGTCCTAAATCCTTGATTTAAGAGAATGGTGAAAGGAAATGATTACACTAAAAACAGAGGTAGGGGTCCCTGGCTGGCTTAGTTGGTAGAGCGTGACTCCTAATCTCAGGATCATGAGTTCAAGCCCCACACTGGGTGGAGTCTACTTAAAATTTAAAAAAATTAAACTAAAAACAGAGGTAGATGTAGTGGGAGAAACCATGGCACTCCCTCCTTTTTTAAAAAAATTAAAAGGCAGAGGAAAAGAGAATTTGGTGCAGGGGAAGGTAGAAAACATTGTCACAGAGTGATCAATTTAGTAGGATGAAGACTGAAGTTACTGGATGTAGGAAGACTTTGGTGACCATAATGAAAAATTTCAGTAGAAAGGTGGTGGAAAGCTGGATTACAATGGATTGAAGACAAATGGGAGAGAAAGTAGACAATGAGTGGATATCATACTCAAGTTTTTTGGTAGGCAAAAAGAGCATACTGGGGGAAGTTACTTTTTTCTGTCAGGTGAAAGTTGATCACCTGAGTAATAGGAGATAACGTCCTAGAAGAAGATAGGTTAGTGTTTAGAAAGGAAAGTCTTAAAAAGGATGATGTTCTAAGGGCACCTGGGTGGCTCAGCTGGTAGAGCTTCCAACTCTTGGTTTCAGGTCAGGTCGTGATCTAAGGGTCCTGAGATGGAGCCCGGCGTTGGGCTCCACGAGCAGTGGGGAGTCTGCTTAAAGATTTTCTCCCTCTGCCCTCCCCACCCTCCCTCTTTTCCTCTCTCTCTCTCTCTTTCTCTCTCTGATAAATGAATACATTTTAAAACAAAAAAGGATGGTGTTCTAAAGGGAGATGGATAAGTGTCAGAGAAGGTGGCGATGGTGTTAGAAAGGAATCATAAGATTTATTGAGCTGCAGGATGCTTGGGTGGCTCATGGGATGCCTGGGTGGTTCAGTCAGTTAAGAATCTGCCATTGACTCAGGTTATGATCCCTGCATGCTGGGGTCGGGTCCTCATTGGGCTCCTTGTTTGGCAGGGAGCCTGCTTCTCCCTCTGCCTGCCACTCCCCCTGCTTGTGCTCTCTCTCTCTCTCTCTCTCTCTCTCTGACAAACAGACAAACAAATGAATAAAAATCTTTTTAAAAAAAGGATTTATTGGGCTCCTACAAAGCAACATTGCAATTCTGGTACTGGGATATGTGTTGTCTGGTTTGATCCTTGCAACAGTCTTGTTTCTGTGCTCCATTTTACAAATAAGGAAACAAACAGCCTGAAGCTTTAGCTAGTAAATGGGGGAGTGTGAATGGAATCCAACCTCTAATTCCCTTTCAGTCAAACCTATATGGAAAACACAGGTGATAACAGTCATTTTAGAGATAGGGAAGAGAAAATTGAATTCATTGAAATAAAAGTAAGTCTAAGACACTAGAAGGTTAATTAGCTTGCTCAGTAGTGACATGGAACTACTTCCTTAATTTCAGACTAGGAACAAAAATCCAGGAACACTTTTTCAGTGTTCTTTTTTCTTAGGCCTAATAGTTACTTTTGGCCTGCCTTTTGCATATATTACAAAGGATTTGCTATATTCTTATTGCAAAGAGGGAATTTGCTTGCTATATGAAATGACTTACTGAGCGTATAATTTACAAAAGTTAAACCTCAGGAGAACTAAAGCTATTAAAATTATAAAGGCAGTTATAACTTGGTGGGCTTTTTTCTCCCTCTAGTTTATCTTCCCACATTGGAGTAAAGACCTAGGGGTTAATCAAGGCATTCTGTTCAGGTTGTTAATTTCAGATCATTTAGAAGTATGTAGTAAAATAATCACTTCTTAAAATTTTATTTTAGAGAGAAAGAGAGTTGGGGGGTAGGAGCAGAGGGGGAGGAAATGGAGCGGGGGCAAGAATCTCAAGCTGACTCTGGGCTGAGTGCAGAGCCCAATGTGGGGCTCGATCTCACACACGACCCAAGCCAAAACCAAGAGTCAGATGCCTAACCAACTGAGCCACCTGGGTGCCCCAATAATCACTTTTCCCCCAACAAAAATAAACGCAAGGGAAATGCATTTTGCTTATGTTCTTGGAAAATGCATCCAATTTTTTATGATAGAACTTTTGTACCTTAAAAGAACTATTTGTGCTACCCTATTTCCTATTTCTTTCAGTCTTCACCTTGGAAGGACATTTTATCCCTAGTCCTAGTAATGGCAGCTGAAGTGCGGATGGTACTTTATGAAGATGATTCAGTGCAAGTGCAATATGTTGATGGTTCCAGACTACAGCTTTCTCCGTGTGGCTCCGAATTTTTATTTGAAAAGCCACCTCCTATTTCAGCACATCCTTTAGAACAACCAGAAAGAATTCGGCAAAGGACACACTTTGTTATTAGCACTTACCGAGTGAGTGAAGATGACACAAAAACGGCTCTTTCTGATATCAGAATATTGTTAAGGTGGTCGGAATATGGAAAGTAGTTAGTATTCCAGATTACAGTCACTCTAAATTGATGTTCAAGTTATTTTACATTTTTGAAGATTACGTTTTGTATTTCTTTTTGTAGGAGCAACTACAGCGAGCCCTAGATTTTCGAAATTCTTTTGCTGTTTGCCCTTTTTTATCTGAAAGCATCATACCTTCTGAAAGAAAAAAGGTAATTTTTTAAAGCTTTTTTAATAAGTAATATTTGAGGGCAAGCAAATAGAAACAGGTAGTTTCATATTTAATCTTTTTCTTCATGAGACTTGGGAATACACACCTTGCTATAAAATGCATAGGCTTTTATTTTTCACCAGACTAGGATGTTCTGGTATGTTAAATACTGATTGAGACTCTGAAGGTACATAGTTCATCTTCCTGCCTTTTTCTTTGTAGCCAAAGAGTCTACTCAGAACTTTTTTTATTGATGACTTTTTGATTCTCAGAGGTATTCAAAAGTAAGAAATTATGTGGCCATTTTTAATAGTTTTATGTGCAGTTCATGTGCAGTAGAGATGTATAATTTATAGGTATACACATCTTATTTTTTTGCTTGTATTCTATTTTGAACTTTTATGAATAATAATATAGTTATCATTTATTGAGGATTTACCATGTTCCAAGAACTAGGAATGATATTTAAAATATTTAATAAGGCCAGTCAGTATGGCATGGGTTCCTAATCCTCAAAATGGATGTCCAGCCAGTCAGAACAGGTATATTCAGCCCCTTTTTACAGGTGAGGGAATTAAATCTCAGAGAGTTTACCTAATCTTGTTCATGGACATTTTCTAAAAGGCAGTCAGGATTTGAACCCAGTGTATCTGACTCTGAAGACTGTCTTTTAATCACTTTCCACTGTTGTCATGATGGCAAAGGAGTCGAGAAAAATTGTAAGGTGTAACTTAGCCTGTAAGTTAGTACTACTAACTTTTGAGTAACTTTTTTCATTGAAACTGTATAGTTTGCTGTAGTAGGATTATTAGGTAATCTAATTCTAGAAGAGAGAATTTTTTAAAAAATATTTTATTTATTTATTTGACAGACAGAGATCATAAGTAGGCAGAGAGGCAGGCAGAGAGAGAGGGGGAAGCAGGCTCCCTGCTGAGCAGAAGCATGATCCCTGGGATCATGACCTGAGCCGAAGGCAGAGGCTTGACCCACTGAGCCACCCAGGCGCCCCGAGAGAATTTTTTTTTAAGATTCATTCATTTATATGAGAGAGAGAGACAGAGCGTTGAGTGAGGGGAGAGGCAGAGGGAAAGGGAGAAACTGACTGACTCCCTGCCGAGCAGTAAGCCTGATGTGGGGCTCAATGTGGGGCTCAATCCCAGGACCCTCGGACTATGACCTGAGCTGAATGCAGACACTTAATCAGCTGAGCCACCCAGACTCCTGAAGAGAGAACTTTCATTTATTTATTTTTTTCAAGATTTATTTTTTATTGTTTATTTATTTGACAGAGAGAGAGAGATGACAGTTAGGCAGAGAGGCAGACAGAGAGAAAGGGGAAGCAGGCTCCCTGCTGAGCAGAGAGCCCGATACAGGGCTCGATCCCAGAATCCTGAAACCATGACCCAGGCCGAAGGCAGAAGCTCAACCCACTGAGCCACCCAGGTGCCCTGAGGGTGAACTTTCTGAACTGACCATCCTTACAGCCCAGCTTTGCCATCAGTGAACACTGTACTAACATCTGTACACATAAACAGCATATAAGATTAAGAGGCTTTCTTGACACTAGTTTTTGTGAATTTAAGGTTTTATATAAATGGAAGCTGAAATGTTTAACTATTGCCAAGATTAATTGATTAAAAGACTGTTACATGACACCTACTGTTTTTATCTTATATGAAGAGATGCTGTAGGCACTGGCACCAGTTATAAGTCTGTTTGCTATTGGTCAGGATCAGTTTACCTTTGAGTAATTCAGGGGTTTTTTTGTTTTTAGATTTATTTATTTATTTGAGAGGGAGAGAGGGTACATGCAAATGGGGGAGGGGCAGAGAGTGAGAACCCCCAAGCACACTATGCACTGAGTGCACAGCCCGACACAGGGCTCGATCTCATGACACATGAGATGATGACCTGAGCCAAACCCAAGAACCCAATGCTCAACTGACTGAGCCACCCAGGCGCCCCTAGTAAGTCAATTTTTTAAAAAACATTGCTCTTTAAACTACCTGGAATTTATTTTAAGGTATGGTATGCCAGGTGCTACTTAGGATAGATACTTTATACATGTTATCTTAGTCTATTTGATAGCCCTTTGAGATAGCTTTTCCCTCATGCTATTCAGTAATTCCAGTACAATTGATTAAGTCATTCTCCCCTTCTCTCCTTGTTTTGAAAAGTTTATGTTGTCACATGTAACATCTTAAGATATGCTTGATTCTGTTTCCTTATTATCTGAGTTGCTCTGTCAATGATTTTTATACTAGTTCTATACCATTTAAGTTGTGATTGCTTTTAATGTAGTACATTGTGTTGTTTGTACATTGCAGTGCTGGTCTTCCCTCATTAATATTCTTTTTCAGGGTAGACTTTTGGGAAGGGCTGAAAATGTATCTCTGATCCATTGTATTTTTTTTTTTTTTTTTTTTTTTTTTTTTTTTTTGGTGAGCAGCAAAGCAAGGTTTATTGATCATCATACATTTCAAACAAAAATATGTCTAACACTAAATATAGTCAGGATCATTTTTTTCTTTTTCTTCTCTTTCATTTTTTATATGTATATGTGTGTTTATTTTATATCTCTCTAAGCGACATAATCTTAACAATATCAAATATTCTATGGAAAAATGCATATAGACCAACATGTGGCTCTCCGTTTTACATTCTCTCTAGGTAGTAAAACACAAACCCAACTTCAAGAGATTTCTTGCCCAATATGTAAGCATCAGATGTATGGAAACATTGGACTGTTGACAAAATACTCCCCATCTCTCTTTCTCCCCTCCACTCAGCTTATCTTCGTTGACTTCTCAGAAGTGAGATGGCCCAGTCCTGACACCGATGATGGCATGATACTTACACAGAGCGGCAGCGTGAAGATAGCATCATTGGATGGACATGCATACCTTTGCCTGCCCAGATCGCAGCATGAATTTACAGTACATTTTTTGTGTAAAGTAAGCCAGAAGCCAGACTCATCTATAGTATTGTCAGAAAAGAAGAATCAAGCCAGAAAGGACAAGCTAGTTGAAAAAGCAGGCAAAATCTGTACCTATGGAAGTTTACCAAGACAGAGACTGAAGAATAAAGAGAATGAAATTTATTGTCCGCTCACGAAATCCAAGGAAACTTTAGAGAAGGAGAGCTGTGCAGACGGAGCTGAAGGGAAGGAGGAGCCACCTCCGCCTGGTACCCGACACAAGTGTGTATACACGTGGGTGAAGCAGCGCTGGCCTGTGGCCTCCTGTCCAGAGGAATGGAAATATCCTTTGTCTTTAGCACTTCATTTTCATAATAAAATCAGCAGTATGTCGAGAAGCGAGGCAGACACCACCCAGAGTAGAACATTCACTTCTGAGATTTCAGAGGAAAGAGGAAAAGAGGTTTCTGTTCTTCCCAGGGCCTTGCTACTCAGCTGTCCTGTACCCCACCTGCACAGGTAATGGGAGAATGGCTCCTTTGTCATCAAGCTCTTGTCAGAGCCTGTCCTTAACTAAAGATAATTTTTCTTTCTCAGTCATCTGCTGCCATTCATAAGGGAAGTTCATTCAGTGATCCAAAACTTTGCTCATAACCGATAGTAAATCATTTCCCTAGCCCATGTGTTTTGTAGGTCCCTTACTGTCTGCCCATGCGTTGAGTTTGTGCAAGGCTGACTGTACACTGCATCCTCTGTGACGCACAGAGACTGTGGAGATGACCAGGACACAGTCCCTGCTTCTCCGGGAGCTTAGACTCTGTGAAGGTCACCGTCACTGAAAAGATGATGAAAGCGTGGTGATGACACAGGGCTCTGGTGGTGAGCACAGAGGAACATCAGCTGCCGCTCCGTGGAGCCCATCACATGGGGGGCTGGAGCCTGGAGCTGACGGTTTGTGATCCTGGGTTCGTTCTTTCATGCCTAGTCTCAGAGGCCACGCCTGTCTTTGGTGAGCTAACTATAAATCAATTCATTGAACATTTTTGAAAAAAGCAGTGAACATTCCGTCAACTAAGAGGTCAATATCCTCTCTAAGGAGTGCAGTAGTGATGGTAATAGCTGGCGCGAGGTGCCTACGTGCCAGGCACCCCGGCACTGCACCTGTTGGGTTAGCATAGGAATTGCATGAGGTAAGTACTATTACCCCATTTTATAGAGGAACTTGAGACACAGGAAGATTAAGTAACCCGAACAGAGTCACATAGCTAGCGTGTGCAGAATTGGGCTTTGATCCAGATTGTCTCTTAGGATATATTTGTTATTTAAAGCAAAACAGGGGAGTGATTTTTCAGGCTTGTCATGATTATCTAGTTAAAATTGGAAGTTCTAGTATTTTAAGTACACACTGAAAGAGATTTAGGCTTCTGAATGAACAGTTTTCAGTAACTTGCCACTAACCTCAGATTAAAGTCCATTTTCTTTAAACCTGTCTAAACAGGCCTTCCATTTTCTGATCTCTTCCTACATCTGTAATCCTCACCACTTCCCTTGCTCTTTCTACTCTTGCTCAACTGGCCTTTTTAGAATTTCTAGAATGCCTGTCCAAGCTTTGTTTCACCGCTGCATCTGCTCTTTTCTCAGCCAGGAACACTACTTTCTCTTTCCCAGCTCGATAACTTGTGCACATTTGCAGGTCTCAGCGGAAGCCTTTCTTCTTCGGGTGGTTGTCCTAAAGTCCCCAGACAGGATTAGGTTCTTCTACGATCCCATAGCATCCAGTAACTTTCCTTTCTTTGTGTTCTGTGTCTACTGTTTAACATCCCTACTTGATAGGCATCTTCACTGAGGACAGTGACTGTGTCTGCTTTTTTGGGTGTTATATCCCTAGTGTTAATGACATAGATAATGCAGTAAATATATGTCGTTTGAATCCTAAATTTTAAAGGTTAGTAAAACTGTTAATTTATAAAATTGTGCTGAGATTGAATAGGGAGATTGTTAAAAATACTGAAGACAATACATGGAAACGTAAGAAAAGTTTTCGATTTCCTTCCTACGCTTTTATATTAATTTTTACTTTTCTTTGACCTAACAAGTTAAGCAAGAAATACATCTTGTTACAGTAGCACTATTTTGTTGACTTCTAAAGGTAATTATGTCGAGTGACCAGAATTGCAAGCTTGTATTTTGTCCTTCACAGGTGGAATTTTTGTGACTCACTTTCACAAAGACAGTTGGATGAAGAATATTCCTATCCCGAGCTGGTGAAAGTGGTTTGGTACAAAGGTGTAACTTACCGGTAAGGCACCTGTGTTGGAGTGGGAGCTCTTTAGCGATGAGGGGAGGGAGGCAGACAGACTCCCGCAAAAGGACACTTAGGCTGGGGCCATCATTCTTCTGTTTGGTCCTAAATTTTATAGGACTCAAAACGTCGTTTTATGAGTGCACATAGGGGTTCTGTGACTGATTCACATTAACCATATTCACAGGATTTTTGTGACAACTTCAGAGCCAGAGAGGAGTAGTTTTGCTGGTGAATGAAATACTCATGTCAGTTAGGATATCACTTCCCAGCATTAGGGGATCTAGTTGTCTGAATTAGTCACATCAAAATATTGCCTGTTGAGTGTGGAATTAGAGAAGATTAGAGGCTCCTCTGTGTCTGCATTATTCCACTGAATTATTCCTACCACACCACAAAGTGTACCTCTCTGGTGACTAGAATGCTAATATTGGCTAGATTCAGGATTTCACTACTATAAATAATGCTAGAAGAGCCCTGCACAATTTTGTTCTTTGGGCTCTCCTTTTTTAGATGAAAGCCCATTCCCTCCTGACAACATATTCTTCATATATTTTTTTTAAATGGACTTGGCTGAAGTTTTTACACATTATATACCCAATACCTTGAGTGTAGTTGGCTGCCTCAGATGTGATCAGTCACCTTCTCTTAGAGGTGGCGCCTTTCACACATGGCTAATGTCATTCATCAGGTACTGATTCTGCTAGTTTCATTATTGAAGAGTAATCCTATTTTCAGGTTCTGAAGTTGTCATATTTAACTTCTTTGCAGTGGGCATTTCTTTGGTAATCAGTACATGCTGGCTACAGTGATTGGCAGTGGGGATACCGGGATGGTAAGATGCCTGACTTCCAAAAACTAGGCTCAGTTGTTGAAATAGCTATATTAATCAGTTCTATGTGTTCTATTTATCGTTTGCAAAAAAATTAATTTAGCTGGTTGGGTGCAGAGTATGAAATTATCCCTTTTGCTGGATAGGCAAAATCCCATACTACTCTGTTTGTTTGTTTGTTTGCTCTCATTTATGTTTTAATCTCAATTGGGAAAAAAATTTAATGATTATTTTTCTTCCTTAGACTAAACCATAAAAATGTGAACTCAATAGAGATTTATCCTGGAGATGGATCTGTTTTCAAGTCAGAGGGAGCTTATTTGGGGAGGTATTTTACATATTATTCCATTCAAGAAGGATCAGAAGAGGTAAGCTGACAATTAGGTCTCAGCTCAAGAATTTGTATATAGCTGTTTCTAAATAATTTTGAATATATGTAGGAAATCTGATCTTTACATGCTTGCCTACACAGTCTGGAGAATTCATATAACCTTTTGCCAACATTATCACAATGATTACTAACCACCTTATTTTTACTGCATTCTTATCCTCTATTCTGCCAGTCATTTGCCTAAGTAATTCGTGTTAAATTTTTTTTAAGATTTTCTTCTTAAGTAAGCTCCACACCCAAGGTAGGGCTCGAACTTACAACCTTGAGATCAAGAGTCACACATTCTACTGACTGAGCCAGGTGGGTGTCCCAATTTACGTTTAAATCAGAAGTTAAATTTGAACTTCTCATGTCATAGAATTTATCAATAAGGAAACACTAAAACCAGCAGCAATACTTTGAATCAGTATTCTTTTTTGAATTAAAATAGCACATTAAAAGCACATTCTTTTTTTTCCTACCAGGTAACTGTTTGCATATTTAAAATACCTCTCAGCTTCTAAATCTTTATATACAACTAGAAAGTTGAACAAGGGGCACCTGACCAGCACAGTTGGTTGGGCCTCCAACTCTTGGTTTTGGCTTATGTTGTGATCTCAGGGTTGTGGGATTGAGCCCCGTGGTGGGCTCCACGCTGAGCGTGTAGTCTGCTTGGGATTGCCTCTCCCTCAGTCCCTCCCCACCCTCTTTTAAAAAAAAAAAAGAAAGAAAGTTGAACAAGATTGTCCTCTGTTTTGAAAACAGTGAAACATAACGATATATTTAATCAATCAGACCAAAATGTAATCATATGGCTATATTGTTAATTGTCTAAATTTGCTTGTTCCCAGTCTGACATGTGACATCCACCATTATGTAAGGATCACCATAGGATCACCTGGCTTTGCTTTGCAGGACGGAACATAATGAATATGTTTTCTTTCCATATTACAGAGGGGAAATTGGAGTGATAAATTATTTGTCAGTTTTTCCATCTGTACTTCCCACTGTCCCCTCCACTCCCTATTTATATTTTAAGTAAATCCCAAATATCTTTCCATTCATTAATATTTTTATATATATACATATATATAGGAACAGATTTCCCACTGGGTCTATTTGTAGGAAAGTATTCATTTATTCAGTACATGTTATTTGAATACTCCTAGGCAGACACTCTGTCAGGCACTGGGTACAATGAAGAGCTCCTACCCTGAAGGGTTCATAACTTAGTAGTCAGATAGGCAAATGAGTAAATGAAATGAAATGAAAGTGTGACCAGTATTGTGTGTGTGTGTGTGTGTGTGTGTGTGTGTGTGTGTGTGTGTGTAGTGCATGAGACAATCAAGTAAATAGGCAAGTAGAGTAGGTATGTGTACCTCTACTGCTGACTGCTATGTACTGGGAGTTTGAAAATGTACAAGATAAATACGGTACATCTTCCTGGAGCTTCAGTTTTACTCAAAGGTATAAAGGAGAGGGATGATCTTTTTTTTTTTTTTTTTTAAAGATTTTATTTATTGAGAGCAAGAAAGCACGAGTCAGGGGAGGAGGAGAGGGAGAAACAGACTCCTGCCAAGCAAGGAGCCTGACACAGTGCTTGAGTCCAGGACCCTGAGATCTCAACCTGAGCTGAAGGTAGACGTTTAACCAACTGAGCCACCCAGGTTCCTTTGGGATGATAATTTTTATACTGAAGCAGATATATCAGGGAGGAGAAACATGAGCTTTTGGGATAAAACAGAAGGTCCAGATGAATTGTGCTTTTGTGGTGGACCGCTTTGGGCGGGCTTCACTCTCACACCTCTGTGAGCAACACTTCACTTCACCTCTGTCCACTGGAGTGAAGAGATTTAGAAATCCTGTCTTTTCAGGATAAATTGTTGGCTCCTTACTTTAACCCATATTCAAAAATAAATTCCAGATGGATTAAAGGGCTAAATGTAAGAAACCAAACTTTCTCATGGTCAGGAAAAAATATGGAAGAACAGGGCTTATAATCTCGGGAGAGGAGAGGTCTTCTGAAGTACAACACAAAACACTGGAAAGCATAAAATAAAAGCTTGGCAACCGTGAAGTTTTCAAACTTATGTTAAATTTTAAATATTTAACTTCTGTTAAATGAGGTAAAGTCAAAAAGATAAGCAAAGGCCTAGAAGAAAATATTCTGCATTACAAATCAGAATAAAAAGACCAAAAACAAAAAAACCTCTCATAGAAAAATGAGTGAACAGTAAGAATGGTTAAGCCATAGAAAAGACAATATAAATAACTCCTAGTATGTGGAAACATTAAGGTTTACTGCTTGCATCAAAGAAATGCAAATTAAAATAACGTATTTTTCACTCATGGAATTGTCGAAAAGTTGATAGTGTCTACTGTGGGCAAGGGTGTGGTGAAAAGGGTGCTTTCATAGTACTGGTTGGAGTATAAATGGATTCTTTCCTTCAGGAAAGACAATGTGATAATATCAAGTTAAATTGGCTAGAAATCCTGCCTCTTAGTATCTATCCTAGCAGAATATTAGCACGTATACACATAGAAATACGGCCAGGGATGTGGACTGTAGCATTGCCTGTAGTAACAAAAAACTGGAGGCAGTCGAAATGCATCAGTAGAGAAATGGTGAAATGAGCTGTGTGGTCAGATTATGGGGACGCTGTGCAGCAGTTTAAAGGAATGAGGAAGATGTAGATGCAGAGAGAGAGAGAGATTGAAAGATCTCCAAGACACTGTGAAAAAGGAAAGTTACAGAAGAACATGTACAGTGATATCTTTTGTAAAGAACAAAAACCCCAAACCCAAATATGACTGTATATAGTACACATGTAAATGCACGGGGGAAGATCTGGGCAGATAAAAACCAAACTGAAGGGATATCTGGGTGGCTCAGTTGATGGAGCATCTGACTCTTGATTTTGGCTCAGGTCATGACCGCAGGGTTGTGAGAATGAGCCAGCATCAGGCTCTGTGCTCAACAGGGAGTCTGCTTGAGATTCTCTCTCTCCCTCTCTTTCTGCCTCTTCCATTCATGCTCTCTCTTTCTCTCTCAAATAAATAGATAAATCTTTAAGAAAAAAAAATGAACTGAAGTGGTTACTTTTGGGGAGGAGCAGGGGATTTTGTGGGTGAGGGAGAGTAGGGAGGGACTTAAATCTTGTATTTTTTTTTGCTTTGTCCCTCCCCAAAATATTAGTGATATATTGCTACTTGTATACTTAAATTTTTAAATAGGAAAGATATAATTACTTCTGTAGAGATAAGAACTTGGTGCTCTGGAACCACATTAGGAGGGGCACCTGACCCAGAATGGGGGAAAAATCTTCTGGAGGATGATATGGCTGAGCTAGGATCTATAATTACATTTTATTTTATTTTTTAAGTAATCTCCACACCCAATATGGCACTCAAACTCACAACCCTTAGTCAAGAGTTGGATCAAGAGTTAGATGCTCTACTCTGAGCCAAGCAGGTATCCCTAGACCTATAATTTTAAAGATTTATTTATTTATGTATTTATTTATTTGACAGACAGATCACAAGTAGGCAGAGAGGGAGGCAGAGAGAGAGGGAGAAGCAGGCTCCCTGCCGAACTGAGCCCGATGTGGGGCTCGATCCCAGAACCCTGGGATCATGGCCTGGGCAGAAGGCAGAGGCTTAACCCACTGAGCCACCCAGGTGCCCCTAGACCTATAATTTTAAAGAAGGAGTTACACAGAAGAAGAATAGAGGTTGGAGGAGTATATAGCTGAGGGAACATACTTGCTTCACTCCTTGCATGGCTGGTTTCTTGTTGGTAAAATTGCTATTTAAGTGTCACCTCCTCAAGGAGGCTTTTCCTGACTATCCAAATTAGAGAAACTACCTATGACACTGTCATGGTTTCCTCCTCTTTTTTTTTTTTCTTCCCAGCAATTAATACTATGTGACATTTTCTTACTGATTAATGTTCATTTACTAACTAGCCCACACTAGAAGTAAGCCCTGTCTTGTTCAACACACCGTTACTGCTAGAGCATGAAAAAGATAGATAAATGTCACTTAACTAGAGGCTGGGGCAAGTGTGGAGTGTTGACGGAAATGAAAATGTTATACATAGATGGAATGCTAGAGAGATCTAATGTTGGGGGGAATGTCCAGGGAAAAAACTAAACCACGAAGTTGGGCCAGCTCATAAATGGGGCATGGGAAACCATATTGCTTTTGCAGAGCCGCTGAAGGATTTAAGTAGGGAAATGGCATCCTATTTTTGTTAGGTCGTTTCAGAGGAAGATAAACTGGAGTGGGGAAGGGGTAGACCAGTTAGAAGACATGTATAGCAGTTCAGGGAAGGAAGTATGAGGACTAGGCAGTGGTAATGAGAATGATGGTGATGGGAATGGACACAAGAAATATTAAGGAAATACAACTGATGACTGGATAGTGGGGATGAGGAAGGAGTTAAAAATGATGACAGATTATTGAATAAATCAGTGAGTGGTGGTGCCAAGCACATTATTAAGCCAAAATTTTATCAAATATAAATTGTTTTGATGATGGCTGCTTTTTGATCTTACCAGGAGTCATCAATAAAACATTTAAATTCTATTAGATCTCAACCCCATTTGCCTAAAAGTAAGATACTCTTAATTATAAGGTATATCCAGATTTCAGAGGTGTTAAATTGTGAAAAATGAGCATCTTAGAATTGATGAAATGGAGGAGTAGAAAAGACAAGAACTCTTGGGATGCTTGGGTGGCTCAGTCCATTAAGTGTCTGCCTTCGGCTCAGGTCATGATCCCAGGGTTCTGGGATACAGTCCTGCATCAGGCTTCTTGCTCAGCAGGGAGCCAGCTTCTCCCTCTCCTTCTACTTCTTCCTCTGCTTGTGCTCTTTTTCTTCCTCTCTCTGACAAATAAATGCATAAAATCTTAAAAAAAAAAACAACAAAAAACCAAGATCTCTCAAGGATCTCAGTATCCAATAGAGAAAGATGTAAATAGTTAAAATCCAATAGTGCCTATCATGTGCCTTAGCACATTGCTGGGGATACAGAGGTCAGCAAAACAGACACAGCCTCTAGCTTCATGAAGTTCTATCCTAGCAGGGAAGATAGACATTAAGTAAAAAAGTATTAAGTTGAAATCATAATGAAAACCAAGAAGCTAGAGTGGAGGGTACTGTGCTTGTGGACATAACTAGGTTTTACCTAGTCTGTGGACCTCAGTAATGGCTTCCCTGAGAGGAAGGGAAAGTAGGAGTTAGACAAAGGGAGATGATGGAGGAGGGAACTGAGTTCCAGGTAGAGAGAACACACCACAGGTATATACGAAGTATAGAAGGAGAAAATGTGGATTTTGAAATGAAGTTCATTCCATTTTTTACATGTCAAAGTGAGATATCGAGTGGAGAAGCTTAGTAGAGTTTTAGATACTCAAGTCTACAGTCCAGGATAAAAGAGGAGGGACAATCCTTTGACGACCTACTGTATACTAAATTCTGCCCTGGGTGCTTTATCTATGAATTATATCATTGATCCTCAGTCTAGATGGTAGGTAGTATCCCCATTTCATAGATTGTAGGCGTCGTGGTTTATGAAAGTCTGCATAAGGGGCACCTGAGTGGCTCAATTGGTTGGGCCTCCAACTCTTGGTTTCAGCTGGGGTGGTGGTCTTCTCTCCTGGTTGTGAGATTGAACCTGCCTGTGTGGGGCTCCTGCTTACTGTAGAGTCTGCTCCAGATTGTTCCTCCTCCTTCTCCCCACAATGCCTGCCCTCCCTCCCCCCGCTGCCAGTCCCTACTCCGTGCACTTTCTCTCTTAAATGAATAAATGGATAAAATCTTAAAAAACAAAAACAAAAATGTTACATAAACCTGCCTGTCATTATAGTTAGTAAGAGACATACCTGTGATTTGAATCCAGCTTTGTTTTAACTTCAAAGCCCATCTTCTCTCACTGATGGTAAAGTATGGATGGGCTATATTCTCTTGTGGTTCAAATTAGATCTGTGCTACTTTTTTTTTAAATTTATTTATTTGACAGATAGAGATCACAAGTAGGCAGAGAGGCAGGCAGAGACAGAAAGGAGGAAGCAGGCTCCCTGCTGAGCAGAGAGCACGATGTGGGGCTTCGATCCCAGGACCCTGAGATCATGACCCGAGCCGAAGGCAGAGGCTTTAACCCACTGAACCACCCAGGCACCCCATGATCTGTGCTACTTCTTGGCCCTCAAATTTCGGTTTCCTTATCTAAAAAAAAATAGGTATTAATAGTTCTTATCTCAGAGTTGTTTTGAGGAGTAAATGAAATAAACCATGTACATTACATAGCATAGCACCTAGCATATAGTATATGTTCAATAAATGTTAGCTGTTGATATTATATTTATTATGCACACAACTTTGGACTCTGCTGGGATTACCCAGGAAGAGTCAGGAAATCAGAAAACAAGGCTGAATACAGAACCCCGGGGAAACACAAATATTAATGAGTCTGAGAAAGAGGGAATTCAGAGGGAATAACAAAATATTTTTCAATTCAAGAAGCTGAACTTATAAGGAATACGTCTTCCACAAATTGTAGCAATAGTTCTTCCATTAATAAAATATAATAAAATTATTTATTTGTTCAACTAAAATAGTTTTTTAAAAACTATATGGGCTTTTTTTTTTCCCTTTTGGTCTGAGGGGTAAAGGGGGGAGCTTGTATGATAAGTTTTCTGCTAATGTGTTGGAAAATTAATGTGGTTGCCATATTAAGTACAGCCAAAATTTAAAGTGTGCAGTAAGTTATAGGGCATTAGAATGCAACTTTTGTAACTCTCCAGGATGAAAGCTAGACTTTAAAAAATGGGAAAAAAGGAAGAGCATAAAATACCTTTAAAAATATACCTTTTAAGGGTTTTTGATGAAGTTAAAATAACTGCTTGCCTTGTCGTAATATAAATACAAAACTGAAAAAAAAATAATGATGGCCAGGATTTATTATTGAGCTGTTTCATTTTAAATTAATTTTCAGAGAGAAGAGAAGACTTATTCAGTAAATAACCTTCCTCCTGATAGACCAGGAAGTCTGTTCTCTGTGTGTTCTCTCATTAAACAGGCAACCAGGTAAGTTCTTCACATTCAGCTGACTCACGTGTTTTGTGTTTGAGAATCCTAATACATTTTCTGGTGGTTAGGGTTAGATTAAGAATTTGTAGATACAGTGGAAGTAAGTGTTTTGGTGAAATCGGTCAGTTTTTCTGGTCTCTTCATTTATAAAATAAGATAATCACATAATTATAACAGTTCTTCTGGCTTTGAAATTTAAAATTAAATATGGAGAAACATCCAAATATGTCAAACAAGTGGTGGTAGGAAATGAGTGCCTTTTCTCTGGGTGAGTACAGTGAGTGCATCATCATTGTGCCTTGGAATCAGCTGAGGATTTCATGATGCCTTTTACATTTTCATGCTTTTTTATCTTCAGAGTAATAGAGATTCTGAAAATGAAGTGTAGTTTGGTACTTTGGCTCATATGTTTTTAAAATTCTACTAACTAATCTGTGGCAATCAGAACCATGAAAGTGTATTGTTGGATTAAATTTTTTTTTTAAGGATTTTATTTCTTTATTTGACAGACGGAAATCACAAGTAGGCAGAGAGGCAGGCAGAGAGAGAGGGAGAGGAGGAAGCAGGTTCCCCACTGAGCAGAGAGCCCGATGCGGGGCTGGATCCCAGGACCCTGGGATCATGACCTGAGCCAAAGGCAGAGGCTTTAACCCACTGAGCCACCCAGGCGCCCCTAAATTATTTATTTTTACAAATGTCTAAGCAACTTGCAAGCTAGATTTGAAAGAGCAAGATTGGTAATTTGATTTCCCACAGACAGTTGATCCACCTCCCTAGCACTCTGAGACAATAGAAAGGAGCACCTGAAAATTCTCTCCATTTGGAGTCATTTCATTGCTAAAAAAAAATCAGAGGAACGGGGCACCTGGGTGGCTCAGTGGGTTAAAGCCTCTGCCTTTGGCTTGGGTCATGATCCCAGAGTCGTGGGATCGAGCCCCACATCAGGCTCTCTGCTCAGCAGGGAGCCTGCTACCTCCTCTCTCTTTGCCTGCCTCTCTGCCTACTTGTGATCTCTGTCAAATAAATAAATAAAATCTTTAAAAAAAAAAATCAGAGGAGTAACCTTAACTATGTAAGATTAACACAAAAGAAAGCAACCCCCTTCCAGGGGAATAGAGGATTTCTGGAAGAAAAGTGTTCTGAACATATTTTAGTGGAAATGAAATTTAGTGGAAATGGAAATTTACTTGCCTAACATGTCGTAGAGTAGTGAGAATGCATTGCTAGAATTGGAAAATGCCATTATTTGCAAATGTTTAAGTACTGTTTTTCATGTTCACAGAATTCTTCAACATTGTACCAAGACAAGGCTTTCTTTAAGCCATAATTATCGTATATGCTGCTGGAAAATGGTATCTTAAAATTATTATTCTTATTACTCTTTTAAAGATTTTTATTTTTAAGTAATCTCTATACTCAGTTTAGGGCCTGAACTCACAATTCTGAGATCAAGAGGTCACATGCTCCACTGACTGAGGCAGCCAGGGGCCCCTTAAAATTATTTTAAAAGCCAGATTTTTAAATTGTTTTATTGTTTGCATACATACCTCTAAGTTCAAGTTACTTTCATCTAAGTCAAGTGAGAAATTCTTTGTAACATTAATATTGCTTTATTAAGAAAAATATCCACTTACTAGAAAAACTCTGCAAAGTCCAGCTTTTATGTTACACTTTGTCTGTAATTTGTGTTTCTTTTTTCTTAGTGGAGAAAGAGGGCAGGGGAATTGATTGGATTTGAAGTATGTGGAAACATAGTTATCTTAAACTATGATATTACAGTATTCTATTGTATTTCCATAACTGTAAAAATAAATTCTTTAACATTGACTTAAAGGAAATGATTCTCAGACTTTGATTTCTGTATCTGTACTAATTTAGTTACAAACCTATATGTTGCTGTAGTTCCTAATGTTTTTCTGTGTTCTACGTAAAATTCAGCAGAACCGTGACTTTCCAAAGATATTAGAACTTAAACTGCTTGTCATAGACTAATTTGGGTATCCACTTCTGGAAAAGTCAAAATATATGTAAGAATTCTACAGTATCCAACTTCTGAATAAAGTTGCTTCAGAATTTCGTAATTATTTAAGTCAATAATGGATAACTCTCTTTCCTGCTATTTTTATTAACTTGGTTTTAGGTACCTGGGATAAAGGATAACAATATACTGCCTTTGCTTTTGAGAGAATCATTCATACCCAGTGTGGGAAGATTTCTTGCATACTCTGATGACAAAGTACATGCTCTCTTTTTAGATGGCATTACTCTAACCCTAAATTGGAATTTCAGCTCTTTTATGGAAAAGAGACAGGTGATTATATTTCAGACTGAAATCTATTTTTCATTTTTTTAATCTGTGGAAATAGAACAAAGAAAATAAAGTACCACACTATTTCAATTTATTTTTTGAAGTGTAAAATGCGTTAAGAAGTTTTAGTGATCTCATTGGATTTCTTAGCAAAAACCAGAAAGGTTGACAAATAATCATTGTTATAAAGGTAACTGATTATATAGAGAAGGACTGGTATAGAGGAGTGGTTAAATAATACCATAATCCTTGTAAAAGATAAATTTTAAATTAAAATAAACCTTTAATGATTCATCTACTCATTATTTTTTAAATTGAAAAATTAGAGAGGCTTTTGTTGCATTTTATGTTTGTTTCAGTTTTGAAATTATAAAACTTACCTTCCTCCTTGCTTCTTAAGGTAGATCAAGGTCTCAACTTAGGTTGGGGTAGGTTAACTTTTCCCGATGGACAAGATCAGTTAATTCAGATTGAACATCCTGGACCATATAAAAGGTACTGAAAAGCAGTTTTAAAAATTCTCCCCACCCCCCCTTTTTTTAGAAGATTTTATTTATTTATTTGACAGAGAGAGAGAGAGAGAGAATGAGAGAGAACAAGCAGGGGGAGCGGCAGGGAGAGAAAGAGGGAAAAGCAGGCTCCCTGCTGAGCAGAGAGCCCTACTCGGGGCTCGATCCCAGGATCCTGGGATCATGAACTGAGCCTAAAGCAGAGGCTTAACCTACTGAGCCACCCAAGTGCCCCTAAAAATTATTTTTATGATAATAACTTTTCCTCTTAGAGGGGAAGCATATAAACATTATTTAAATGTTCTAGATATTTTTAGTTTTTCCAGGTAGATAATGTGCATGATGTTATTCTAGCAGGTTTCAGAATTTACAATAATACTGGCATCTAGCATAACTAAATAAATCAAGTCAGCTTTAATCATTTCCATTTGTATTCAAGTGGTTTGTCAAAATAAATGTTTTCAATATAACTGACTTGCTGTGGAAATTGGACTGTGGAAAGCTGTGTTACCAATTAATTAATTCCTTAACCAATTTGAGGTAAGGTTTACACAAATAACTAAACTTGGGTATATTTCTATAAAGTGGAATAAAATAATTTGCTGATGCTTAAGATGGAGAAGATTCCTGAAATCAGCTTTTTATGAAATGTTTTTTTGCTTTTGGTTTATGTAATTTGTTATAACCAGTCAACTTGAACATTCTCGACATGTTACTGATTTTACTTGAGAATATTCACAAAAGAATTGCTTTTTTTACCTCACGAATTTATTTTTCAGGAGGGGGATTGGGATTTATTGCATTTTGGTTTAAATGCTCCAATATTCATTGCTGGCTTGAATAATTTGCATCAAAAATTTAGTGTCTTAGGGCCCCTGGGTGGCTCAGTTGGTGAAGCGTCTGACTCTTGATTTTGGCTAAGGTCATGATCTTGGGGTTGTGGGATCAAGCCCCAAGCCTGCTTGAGATTCTCTTCCTGTCCCTCAGCCCTTCCCCTCCCTCTGCTTGCATGCGCACCCAAGCATATACTCTCTCTGTCTAAAATAAAGAAATCTTTTTAAAAAACTACAGTATTTGGCAAACATTACTATTTGTTTCAGCTCATCACTTCAGATCATTGATACTTGTTTTGTATATTCATTGAGTTATATATAATTATACATTTATAATGTATAAATTATAAATTTATGGGTGTGTTCTGGTTATAATTATATTTATATAAATATAATTTATATTTAATTTATAAATTATAAATTTACATAAATAAATTTATAAAAATTTATAGATAAATATATAATTATAATTATACATTTATAATGTATAAATTATATACTAATGGGTGTGTTCTGGTTTAAATTTTATTTTTTTATTTTTGATGGGTTTCTTTATTTTTTTTTAAATTTTAGAAAGCAAATGCTCACTTGTCTTAATGTGTAAAGACATTTTCATTATAAAACATAATGAAACTCATTTTACTTTGTAAAACTAAAAGACTTTAGACATTTAAATTTGAGTTTTGAGTGAAATCCAAGTATCACTTTGTTCTGATTCTTAAATCTCATCTTTATTAATCATGACTATGAGTAAATCATTTTATCCTTGATGAATAATGAAAAAAACTTGCCTTTTCCATTTCCTTTAAAAAAGATTCAAAAAATTGCCCACTTGGGAATTTATCCTTTTCCCCCAAGTTGTCTTAATAATTTTTCCTTTCTAAAAAATGCTTTTATAAATATTACACAAGCTCATTTTTCAAATATTTCTTTTAATGTTTTCAATCTAGATATGTGACAGCAGTTATATCATGGTGCAGAAGACTGACCCAAACTAGTCAGAGAGAGATGCCCACACATCCTTCATCTTCTCTTGTTGAAGAAAATTGGTATGTATATTTCTTTTAAATTTCATCTGTGTAGGAGAGACACAAAAATTAAAAACATCAAATGGTAAACTCTAAGACTTCCTGATAGCTTAAGCTTGAAAATAATTTATCTTTAATCAGATATTTATTACATATCACCATATTTTATCTGAAGGTCAGAAAATTGCATTGAAAATTTCATATCAAAATGCGTGATTCCTTTAATGTGATAAATTCATCCTGAAAACTTTATGGAAAAATTTAAAGGGTTTTTTTTTTTTTAAGTTTTTATTTATTTATTTGACAGACAGAGATCACAAGCAGGCAGAGAGGCAGGCAGAGAGAGAGGAAGGCAAGCAGGCTCCCTGCTGAGCAGAGAGCCTGATGTGGGGCTCGATCCCACGACTCTGGGATCATGACCCAAGCCAAAGGCAGAGGCTTTAACCCACTGAGCCACTCAGGCGCCCCTAAAGGGGTTTTTTAAAATTTTAGTAATATTAAGAGAAGTAAAATGTTGACTAACATAATAAACTTTCAGAAAAAGTTGATTTTGTAATCATTTCTATCATATTAATTACCTATCCCATATTAATTGGAAAATCAACAAATAAAGTATTTTAGTCCCTCTTGTGTGCCTTTCAGTGAGCAGGGGGTTGGGCTTCAAAGGAATATTTAGGGAAGTTAAGTCATTTCAGGGAGGGAACAAGGGCAGAGGTAAAAAACATGTTTTGTCCTGTGAAGACAGGAAGAAAACAGTTTTTATGGAGCAGATGCTATCTGTTCGATGGATAGGAATGGATCTTGTGATCAGTAGAGGAGCTCAGACTTGATGGAATTACTAGTTCGTAAGTAGAACGAATGGCAAAAAGGTCATTAGGAAGGTTAGTATCACTGAGCGGATAATCTGAGTACACAGGTATCCCCTTTTCGAAAGTTTGTGTTATTACACCACTGCGCTTTTACGAAAGACCTCCATCAGTTTGTTCCCGATTTTCTCGGGACCCACCACCCTGAACACGCCTGATCTTGTCTGATCTCAGAAGCTAAGCAGGGTGGGGCCCCATTAGTGCTTGGATGGGGGTATGTACCTGTTTTTGCTAACCAAAAGAAATCAAAAAATGATTTTTGGTTTTAAGAAAAAAGGCAAAAAGTGAAAGTAGCATTCAGTATTTTGCCGCGAGCTCTTATAGAGGCAGCTTGTACCCCGAGCCGGGAGAGTGGCACCTCCGAGCTCCTTTCCTGGGAACTACACTCAGCCGCTCAGCTTCAAGCCGCCAGAGCTTTGAATGTGGCTGGGAGCCTCTGTGCTTTCTCTCAATTTATTTTGTGCATCTATCAGCAAGATGAGTCCTCAGGTCTCAAAAAAAGGCCTAAGAGAGGTTATTTTTTGGGTGTGGGAAAGATCAAAAAATTGTCCATAAACATTAGTGGTAATTATTTTTCAACTTTATGCCATTTCAGTGTATGATCGTTTTCATAGGAACTCTGTACTTTTGGATAGTGGAGGAAGCCTGTGTTGGAAAAGAGGGATACCAGGAATAATTTAGGAAGCTTTAAGGTAGTTTGTAAGGTGTCTTAGCATTGCATGGTAAAAAAAATATAAACATTAAGCCTGATTCTTATCACCTTTTCCTAAATTACTTAGAGAAAGAGGTACAAATCAAATCAGTAGGTGTTATTGGAATGACTTAGGTATCCTAAGGATTCAGCTTTCCAGATCTTCCATTCTTCAGCTACAGCCCATTTGGGAGCAGAAGAGTTGCCCAAATAGCTGGCAAAAAAATGTAGTTGGGATGAAAGGGAAATTGTATGTGACTATAAGATTGGTCACTTCATCATTGCTCAGCTGGCAAGGTTTCAAGATGCTAGCCTTTTCATAGGAAGGCTTTGAAGAGGATAACTATTGAGACAGATGCAAAGTGAGGGCTTGAGGGAAGTGCATACTGGTGATAGTAGCTCTGGGGGAAAGCAGCGAGGAGCAGCAGAAAAAGAGGAACTGAGGAAGAGTAGAGAGAGGAGATGCAGCCCCTGACAGTAGCTAGCTCCATTTCCCTTGCAAAGCCCAAGACATCTCCACTGTGATTTGTTTTCTTGTCAAGGAAGGGGGGGTTGAAGGAAGAGAACGGATTACGCAATGAAGAGCTACCAGAATTCATTTCAGTATTTTTTTCCCAACTCACCTTCTATTATTAATTTACTGATTCAACTTTTTAAAAGGGATGCTAGTCAAAACATTGAACAGCAGATAGTTCACAAGAAGTTGGTTCATCATGTGAGCAACAGCATTAAAGGTGGTTTGTATTGTTTGCTTATGGCCAGAAAAATATTTCCTATGTAGGGGGGAAAAAAGTGTTTTGCAATGATGAAGAATCAGCAGGCTTTGGAGTAAATCATATCCAAGACTTTACCACAGAAGCTTAAAGTGTTGCGAGATCTCTTTCATTCTCCATCCATAGGCTGGAGTACAAGGAAAGAGAGCAAGTTGACAAGGAGGTGTATGTGTCCTACTACTATACCTAAAGCCAGTAAGAAGACAAGTTCTATACCCCTTTGTGAACTGTGAAGACTATTCTAGAGACTCGAATAGAGAGATCTTTTAGATATTAAAGTCCTCATTAATTTTGCAGAGAGCTAGTTGAGTTACAGTATTTCCTAGTTGTGTCCACTACTCATATTTCATTCTAGCTTAATGAGGAAAAAGAAAGAACACACACATAAAAGAGTCTGCTGGAGTTGTACAAATTTAACCCTTTGCCCCATACCAGTTGCTCCTATATCTGTTTCTGTGGAACATGGTTTAAGGGTTAATGTTCATCATGTTAACCATTCCAATCAAGGAGAAGAGAATGTTTAGTATGTTTAGTATATTGTGTTTAAGAAAACAGTAGGTAGTCTATTCCAGAATAAATTTAATAAGAACTACTTATTGTGTTTTGGGGCACCTGGGTGGCTCAGTCAGTTGAGTATTTAACTCTTGATTTTGGCTCAGATTATGATCTTAGGGTTCTGAGATCGAGCCCCGTGTGGGGCTCCGTGTTAGGCATGGAGCCTGCTTAAGATTCTTTCTCTCCCTCTGCCACCAACCCTCTCCTTCTCTAAAGGAAGGGAGGAAGGGAGGGAGGGAGGAAGGAAAGGAAGAAGAGAAGAGAGGAAAGGAAAGGGAAAAAAGGAAGGAAAGAAAAAGGAAGAAAGGAAGGAAAGAAGGGAGGGAGGGAGGAAGGAAGGAAGGAAAGACTTACTATGTTTTGACACTTAATTCAACTGTGTAAAAGCTTAGCTCTCCAAAATTATCTCTTTCTGAAGAGTTCCATATAAATGAGGTCTCATTATATGTGCAAAGTACAGAAGAACAAAAACATCTTTTCCTCCTGAAAAAGATAATCTAGGTATGAAGATCAGAAAATTAAAGAGTTCAAGAGAAGGTATTGTAAATCAGTATATGATTAGTTAACATAAGGCTATAGGAATTCAAAGGAGGGAGCACTCCTTTCATAGAAGTGATAGGATTTTACTAGGTTTTTTTTTTTTTAAGATTTATTTATTTGAGAGAGAGGGGAGAGAGTACGTCCATGTACACATGTGCAAGTGTGGGAGGGAGGCAGAGGAGGAGGGAGAGGAACAAGCAGACCCCCTACTGAGCATAGAGCCTGATGCAGGGCTCCAACCCCCCAACCCTGAGATCATGACCTGAGCCGAAATCAAGGGTTGGCTGCTTAACTGACTGAGGCACCCAGGCACTCCTAATTTTAGTAGGTTTTTAAAGTTTGACTAAACTTTGAGGAGGAAACCAGAGGTTATGTCAGGTTAGTATTAAAAAGTTATAGCCAACAGGACCTGTGGGTGGACAGGCTCCTAAAGGAATGGGGCCTGGCACTCCAGCAGCATATGGGAGAGGGAGAACAGAATATGAAGGCCCAAACAAAAAGCTCTGATTTTATTTATGCTTATTGTATTTATTTTACTGTTTGATATGATATCTGGGATTTCATTCTAGTTTGCTTTTGTCTTTTCTTTGGTTAGATACCAATCTTTTAAATTCTTGCATTTTAGTGAGAAAGCTACCTTTTTATGGATGTTAGCAGTTTTTGACCTAATATTTGCAAATGGTCTGTTTGAGCAGATAAAATTAGGTAATACAGTGTTTCAAACAAGGAAACTTTTCCCCCTTTTTATTTCCTTTCTTTATTAACTGTGCAATGTCCCTCAGGTTATGGTAGTGTACCATGTACCACTGAATTTCCAAAGTGTACCTTTTTTTTTTTAACTGTGTTTCAGATAAATAGAAAAAATGGGTTACTAAAAAAAAAAAAGAGTTTTAGCAAGAATGCCCATTACCTTCAAATGTCAGTACTTGATTTAAAAGTCCTCGAGGTGGGGACTTTTATTCATTTTCCTTTTTCATTAAAAGCACTCAAGTAAGTATCGGTTGAGTCAAGTTGATGTGTTGCTAAATAAAGCCAATATAAAGAGAATTCTTTTTTTTTTTAAGATTTTATTTTTAAGTAATTACACCCAACATGGGGCTTGAACTTACAACCCCAAGATCAAGAGTCACACATTCCACTGACTGAGCCAGCCAGGTGCCCCTATAAAGAGAATTCTTAACTTCTGGGCTCTTCTATCTACAATTCTAAACTTTATGAAAAAAAAAAAATCAAGTATGATTATTTGAAATATTGTAGCTATAAAAGGATCAGACAACTATCATGAACTTACTTTTTCTTTTTGCACAGGTCTGTGGCCTCTGAGCTTGAAAAAATAAAGAAGTTTAACTGTATCCTTTAAACCAAATTTATTGTCCTGAATAATTACTCCCTTTCCATTCTAGGCTTAATTCATGAGTCTGTGCTTTATATTATATATTCTGAAGTTTTCTTGAATAACATTTAAGATATATCTTAGCTATAGAAGGTGCATCATGTCAATATTTATACTTTTGAATGCGTTTAAATAGGACAAAGGGCAATGAACTAGGGATAGGTCTCCTACGGAGACTTTTTCACTTATATAATTATATTTTCTCCATATCCTCACCAACGCTTATTATCTATTGTCTTTTGGTTAATAGCCATTCTAATAAGTATAATACCTCACTGTGGTTTTGATTTGCATTTCCAAAATGATTAGTGATAATAAGCACCCTTCCATATACCTGTTGACAATTTGTAGGTCTTTGGGAAAATATCCATTTAGTTCCTCTGACCATTTTTTTTTTTTTAAGATTTTATTTATTTGACAGACAGGGATCACAAGTAGGCAGAGAGGCAGGCAGAGAGAGAGGAGGAAGCAGGCTCCCTCAGAGCAGAGAGCCCGATGTGGGGCTCGATCCCAGGACCCTGGGATCATGACCTGAGCCGAAGGCAGAGGCTTTAACCCACTGAGCCTCCCAGGCGCCCCCCTCTGACCATTTTTTAATCAGAATTTTTTGCTGTTTAATTGTATGAGCTTTTTATGTATTTTGCATATTAACCTCTTATCAGATATATGATTTCAAATATATTCTCTGATTCCATACATTGTCTTTTCATTTTGTTGATGGTGTCCTTCAATGTGCAGAAGCTTTTTAGTTTGATGCAGTTCCATTTGTTTATTTTTGCTTTTGTTGCCTTTGCTTTAGGTATCAGAACCAAAAAATCACTGCCAAGACAGATGTCAAAGAGCTTACCCCCCATTTTCTTCTAGGGGTTTTATGATTTCAGGTTATATGTTCAAGTCTTCAGTCCATTTTGAGTTGATTTTTGTGTATGATGGAAGATAGGGATCCAGTTTTCCCAACTTCTCTTATTAAAGAGACCATCTTTTCCCCATTGTATATTCTTGGCTCCTTTGTTGTAAATTAATTGGCCATGTATGCTTGGGTTCCTTTTTTTTTTTTTTTTTTTTAAGATTTTAATTGAGAGACAGAGAAAGAGAGCATGCAGGCTGGAAGAGAAGCAGAAGGAGAGGAACAAGTAGAACTCCATACTGAGCACAGAGCCCAGTGTGGGGCTCGATCTCACGACCCAGAGATCATGACCTCAGCCAAAATCAAGAGTCAGATGCTCAACTGACTGAGCCACCCGAGTGCCTCCGTGGGTTTATTTCTAGACTCTCTATTATGGTCCATTGATCTATATATCTTTTTTTATGCCCATGCCATACTGTTTTGATTACTGTAACTTCATGATATAGTTTGAAATCAGGAAGCATGATGCCTCCAACTTTGTTTTTCTTGAGATTGTTCTGGCTAGGGGCACCTGGGTGGCTCAGTGGGTTAAAGCCTCTGCCTTCAGCTCAGCTCATGATCCTGGGGTCCTGGGATCAAGCCCCGCATTAGGCTCTCTGCTCAATAGGGAGCCTGCTTCCCCCCCCCCCCCCGCCCCCTGCCTGCCTCTCTGCCTACTTGTGATCTATGTCTGTCAAATAAATAAATAAATAATCTTTAAAAAAAAAAAAAAAGGTTGTTCTGGCTATTTGGGTTCTTTTATGGTTACACAGAAATTTTAGGGTTGTTTGTTCTATTTCTTCGTAAAATGCTGTTGGAATTTGATAGGGATTGCTTTGAATTTGTAGATTGCTTTGGTTAGCATGGACATTTTTACAATATTAATTCTTCTAATTCATAAGTACAAAATACCTTTCCATTTATTTGTGTCTTCTTCAGTTTTCATCATAAATGTCTTTCAGTATACAGATCTTTCACCTCCTTGCTTAAATGTATTCCTAGGTATTTTATTCTGATATAATTATAAATGGGATTGTTTTCTTAATTTGATAGTTTGTTATTAGTTATAGAAATACAATTGATTTTTATAAATTGATTTTATATCCTGAAACTTTACTGAATTTATTAGGTTGGTTTTGTTTTTTTTTTTTTTAAGAGAGAGAGAGAGGAGGGGGAGAGGAAGAGGGAGAGAGAGAGAATTTTATTTTAGAAGATTTTATTTATTTGAGAGAGAGAATATGAGAGGACAAGTGGTGGAGAGGGAGAAGTAGGCTTCCCACTGAGCAGGAAGCCCAATGCAGGACTTGATGCCAAGATCATGACCTGAGCTGAAGGCAGACGCTTAATGGACTGAGCCACCCAGGTGCCCTGAGAGAGAGAGAATTTAAAGCAGGCTCCATACCCAGCATGAAGCCCAACACAAGACTTGATCTCACAACCCTGAGATCATGACCTGAGCCAAAATCAAGAGTCAGACGCTTAACTGACTGAGCCATTCAGGCGCCCCCGAATTTATTAGTTCTGAGAGTTTTTTTGGTGGAGTCTTCAGGATCTTTTGTATATATTATCATGGCATCTACAAATAGAAACAGTTTTACTTTTCTGATTTGGATGCCTTTTCTTTCTTTTTTTGCCTAATTGCTCAGGCTAGGACAGTATGTTGAATAAGAGTGGCGATAGTGGGCATCCTTATCTTATTCCTGATCTTAGAGGAAAAGTTTTCAGTTTTTTACCACTGAGTATGATGTTAGCTCTGGGCTAGTCATACATGGCCTTTATTATCATGAGGTAAGTTCCCTCTATACCCAGTTTGTTGAGAACTTTTCTGCATCTATTGAGATAATCAGATAATTTTTATCCATTTTGTTAATACGGTGTATCACATTGATTTTCATATGCTGAACCATCCTTGCATTCCTAGAATAAATCTCACTTGATCATGGTGTATGATCATTTTAAGGTATTGTTGCATTCCATTTGCTAATATTTTGTTGAGGACTTTTGCATCTATATTCAGCAGAGATATTGGCCTGTAATTTTTTAAAAATTATTTTTAAAGTAACCTCTACACCCAGTGTGGGGCTTGAATACATGACCCTGAGATCAAGATCGTATATTTTTCTGACTGAGTCAGCCAGGCACCCCCGTAATTTTTTCTTGTAGTGTTTTTATCTGGTTTTGGTTGTTAGGGTAGTGTTGGATTTGTAAAATGAGTTTGGACATATCCCTTCCTCTTCTATTTTTGGAAGACTTTGAGAAAGATTAGTATTAATTCTTATTAAATGTTTGTTGGAATTCACCTGTGAAACCAATTGGTCCTGGGCTCTTATTTGTTGGGAGGTTTTAGATTACTGATTCAATTTCCTTATTAGTGATTGGTCTGTTCAGATTTTCTATTTTAAGATTCAGTCTTGGTAGGTTGTATGTTTCTAGGAATCTGTTTCTTCTAGGTTGTCCAATTTGTTGGAATATAATTTGACTCATTTTTCTTATGAAATCTTTTGTTCTGTACATTCCTACCCCATTCATCTAATTTCTTTTTTTTTTTTTTTTTTAGATTTTTTTTTTTTTTAATTTATTTGACAGATCACAAGTAGGCAGAGAGGCAGGCAGAGAGAGACAGGAGGAGGCAGGCTCCCTGCTGAGCAGAGAGCCCGATGCGGGACTCGATCCCAGGACCCTGAGATCATGACCTGAGCCGAAGGCAGAGGCTTTAACCACTGAGCCACCCAGGCGCCCCCATTCATCTAATTTCTTTTATCTTGTGATATTTCTGTAATCCTATTCAAATAATAAAGTAGCTCTGCATCAGAGGACAGGTTTCTTTCCACTCTATATCATTCATTCATTCATTCATGCTGGTGGGGGCAGAGGGGGAGAGAGAATCTTAAGCAGGCTCCATGCCCACTATCAGTGCCTGGGCCGGGGCTCGGGTTGGGGGGGCGGGTCAGTCAGTTAAGCGTCTGGCTCTTGATTTCGGCTCAGGTCGTGATCTCCCGGTTATGAGATTGATCCCTGTATCAGGCTCTGTGCTGGCATGGAGTCTGCTTAAGATTCTCTCTCCCTCTGCCCCTCTCCCACATCCCTCTCTTAAAAATTTTTTAAGAATACACGGCACAGATTATTTATATTCCTCACTGTTTCTTTTATTCTTTTATTCCCATATCACTCTTCACTTAAAGAAATGTTGAGATTTAGTTCTTTTATCTCCTATCACCAAACCGCCATTCAAATACATGTACTCTCTTTTCCTTTCTTCCTCTCTTACATATGAACCAGTTTCCTCATCTTTAAGGGATAGATCTTGATAAGTTCTGAAGTACCAGATCTATTATGAATCCTAGAAATCTTCCTAACAGAGAAATAATATTTTAATATGGAGACCAGGCTTTCTGAAATTAAATGTACTTATATAAAAAAAATTTGGGGGAAAACTCCTTAACTAAGCAACTTAAGTGCTACTGGAGAACAGTGGTATCCTAAACCAGATTTCTAACAAAAAAAACAAACAGTCTTCTGATCATTATGAATCAAAATCTCCAGAAACCTTGCTGGAAGAAGTTAATGAAAAGAGAGTATCAGTGGCATTGAAAAAAACCTCTGAAATCCTTCAGGATATTGACTGTCTTCTATCAAGTTCTAAAAGATGAAAAACAATTATTATATACCTTAAGGATGTTGTTTCAAGTGACTAGTATAAAATTATTAGTAAGCCAAGAAATTATATATATTACTTCTTTGCGATGATATGAAAAATGACATTTAACTTTGGAGGTTACCTAACTTGTAAATTTTAAAATATCTATAATGTACTTTATTAATAAAGAACTATTTTTTAGAATTTTGAACAATGTCTGATTTCAGATTTATGAGAACATTTTATAAAATTATAGTTGCTGTTTTATCTTATGGAACATTCACTATTAATCCTCAAGGTTTTTTTTTTTTTCTTTTTAAATATGCAGAATTGTGTGCATTTGGTCATTTGCTATTTCGACAGAACTACCAAAAGAGAATTTGATCTTTACATATGTATACACAATATTGCTTCAAGCTAAGAATCGAGCTCTTCAGCAAAGACTAAATTTTATCTGAATTGTCTCATATTTTCATTTCTTTTGAACATCTGAAAAAAATGTATGCTATACAAGTGTGTGAAACTAAAATAGCTCATCAGAAATGCTGTTTATTTCAACCTAGTGCTGTTTATTGGGAAAACACAGAACCACACAAATAAAGGGACTTCAAGATTAGACCAATATAGCAGAAATGTTCTAATTAACTTCCGATTTCTAGAAAAGACCTGTTTCTTGACATGAAAGAAACAACAGGAAGCAAGGAGAAAAAGAACAAAGCAAGCAGAGCATAGATTAGGAGTGATAATGTCAATGATTTGAATGGGCACAATGTTCTCATGTTGGCTTTCTCACTCTGGGCTCCTTGCTACCTTTAGATTTCAGCACAAATTACCATTTCTTCAGAAGGGCCTCCCCTACCTAGTCTCTATTACATCACCCTATTTATTACCTTTACAGCACATACTATAGCCATCCAATTTTTCTTTGTGGTCTAGATCCTCCACTAGAACTTGAGCTCCATAAAGTCATTCTGTAGCCTGTTACCATGCATAGTGTTTGGCACACAGAGCATTCAGTATGTGTTGTATAAATCAGTCAGTGCCTTTGGGCTTTAGGGTGACTACGGAGAAAATTGTGACAATTTCGTTGTTTTGGTTGAAGGAAGCCATCCATGTTTTCTTCAATAGTTCTAGAAAGCTTAGAGTATAAGACATGTACAATGCTGCTAAAACGGCAATGCGAAATTGTTACAGCATTCAGACAGACAAACTATCCTTAACATGACTAAAAGCACCCCATATTGTGGTTAATGTATTCTTTTTAATTAGCCTTTAAACTATGTGGGTTAAAATGTCTATCATTTTCCATCTCAGTTGAGTCTTTTCCACTGGCTAAAGACCAAGAGTGTGACAAGCAATGAAAAGTTCTATCACTGAGAAACTGAGCCATACTTTAGGGTTCTGAGAGAGAGGACTAGGAGTGTGCTTGGAATTGAATATCTCACTTTTTACTACAAAATTGTCTTTCAACTGTAAAATATAATCTCACTACTGCCCTTGCTTTCCCTCTCACCCTTGTTTTGAGAAACTGTAGGTAGGAAGAAGAAAAGCAATGCACATTTTAGAAACTATTCTTTTGCACCAGTGCTTCCTAGAGCCAATGCCAAGCTAGACATCTTGGTGCTCACTCGGGCAGAAAGGCAGGTGGGACCTGGCCATACTCCCATTAAGAAGCTGCATTTTGAGGCCGGTTAATTGGCGTTATGCAGTTTTTTTTTTTTTTTTTCTTTTCCCCAACTCCTGTGCGTTTAGTAGTCATGATTAAATGGTCCAGCCCTGTCACTGCCGCCGCAATAAAGTGTAGCCCCCACCGTCCGCCAACAAAGTGGCAAAGAATAATTATCAAGAAATCCCCAAGGGGGCGTGGAGCGCTGCGAAGGAGCGGCGGATCTGCAAGATCGCGGGGTCCCTCCATCTCGTGAAAAACTCCGGGGCCCAATCTCAAAGACCCAGTACAGGAAGCCGGAAATTCCTCTCCCCCTTCGAGACCCAAGATGGCCCTTGGCTCCTAGCTCTAGCGTCTGGGTAGGGGGCCCTTGCATCCGACATTAGGTGGTTACTTCTCCATCCCCAGCCGCCAGTAAGATGCGTTGTGGATATGTCGGCTGCTAAGTCTGGGGCACGGCGCCGGCAAAGCCAAGAAGGAATGCCCAGGTTTGATAGAGGAAACCAACAAGGGACTTATTCCACTGTCCCAAAGGTTTCCTTATGGGGCACGACGGGGAAGAATTCGTGGCAGCTACCACCTGCTCCAAAGAACACCGAGCTATCGGTTCTCGTCCGTTAGGACTGGGGCCAGTATCCCGGCGTCCTCTCTGCCGGCGTTCGGGGGCTGGAGCCGCTCTGGCCGGCGGCCGGCGTCTCTATGGTGCCGGCCGAGGGGCGGGTAAAGGGGCGGGGCCGCCGTTCGCGCTGCGGTGCTGGGTGGAAAGCCGAAGGTGGGCGCGGCAGAGCTCCGGGAGGTCCCGGGCGGGAGGGGGACTTGAGCGGACTCCGTGAAACTGCGTCCTGAGGTGGGAAGCCATAGCTCCTGGTTCCCAATGGGAGGGCGTCAGGGGCGGCGAATGCGCGGGGCCCGAGAGCCAGCGGGGTGTGCTTGACGGCCGGCACTGTCCGGCGATGCCGGGATGTGCGCAAAGCCCGGCGTCTTCCTTGGGCTTCGTGGAGCCTTCGAGATTCCACAGGAACCCAGTCCTCGCCTAGGCTCTGTGTCCCTGGCGTTTCCCGGGCCCAGAGAGGGGTGACGGGGGTCTTGCAGGAGTTGCCCATTGCCCTCTAACAGGCACGAGAGTCCCACGCGCCCCGGGTCCCTGGAGGCGTGAATACTCTTATGTGTGACAGAGTAGTACCTTGCTTGCATGGGAAATGCGGGGTTCCTTTGACGCCAGGGCTTCCTGCCCTGTTTTCTTAATCGGCATTTAAAAATTATTGCATCACACCAGCCTTGGGCAAGAATGATTTGGGAAATTTGCCGAGACTTGATATATGTTTAAATTGACAATTGTTTTATTCCTAATGGTACATGTAGGAACTAAACATTTTATATTCCGGCTATAAAAAGTTTCTGTGAAACTGAGCAGGATTTGTGTTTCTATCCTTTGCAAATTACTGCGTTATATTTGGCATCTGCTTTGGGCATTATAGAATTAAAAATTTAAATATATTAGGGGCGCCTGGCTGGCTCAGTCAGTGGTGTGTGTGACCCTTGAATCTTGGGGTTGTGAGTTCAAGCCCCGCATTCGGTGTAGAGATTACTTTTAAAAATTAAAATTAAAAAAATTAAATATATTAACTTCTACAGCACTGGCATTGAAAAAGACTTACTTGTAAAGCAATACTATAGGTAATCAGATTTTGAACTGCTTTTATCTCAGGTTTTTGTAAATATTTGTGTGATGGGCGAGTGAAGCAGGTGTTTTGGCAGAAATATTTGTCTAAGATTATTAACAAACTGCACAATAGTGCATAATTAAAGTAACTGGCTAATTATGTTTGTGGAGTTGAAGATTACTACTATGTATACTTAAAAGACCCCATAGTTGATGACATTCTACTATAATGGAATGCAGTGTGGCAGTTTGACCATTGTACAAAGTGGCTGCAAGTCATAAGGACCTGTTATGCTATTATGAGATAAAATGTCATCCCCAAAGTAGTTTTAGTTCATAAGCTGAGGGTTGCTTACTGGCTTACCCCCTGTTTTAATGCAATGAAATATTTATTAAATACCTTCAGCACATTAGATTTTATGCATGAGAGGCTTAAAAGAAAATTATAATTACTCTTGAGGGAACTACCCAACAAAAGTAAGTATGTAGACTAAACAAAGTTATTTTACAGTTTTTGAGGTTTCAGGGTCCATTCTGTTTGTAGGAGAGGGAAGGAAGTGGCAAAAAGAAGAAAAAGGTATGAAGAAAAATGGGTATACTTGGGTGTCTTAGAGACAATAAATAAAGGCAGTACAATTATTAATGTTCTCCGCCCCCCAAAATGTGTTTTTTTTTTTTTTTTCTTATCAGAATCTAAGCCAAAGATGTTAAATCTATGCACTAATAGAGTGGAATAGATGTCAGAATTGTGTTTCTGGAACCACAGTTATACCTTTATAAAAATGGAAAGAGTATTGTGTTAGATACCTACTACTATATAACAAATCACCCCAAAACTTAGAGGCTTAAAACATTTAACAAATATTATCTCATTGTTTCTGTTGGCTCAGACTTTGCAAGGGCTTAGCTGGGTGATTCCAGCCCAAAGGCCCATGCAGTTGTCATCCAGATGTTTGCAGGGCTCTGGGCACCTAAAAACTTGACTGGGGCTGAAGGATCTACTTCCATGTTCACTCATTAGCTTTTTGTTCCTCTCTCATCAAGCAAACTGTTTTATACTTTCCATTTATAAGATGCTTTTTGTGTTGTCCCATTAGGTGTATGTGTTCCTCTTCACAAAGCATGGTATTTTTTTTTAATTTTTTATTTTTTTATAATTTTTTTTCTAATTTTTATTTATTTGATAGAGAGAGATCAGAAGTAGGCAGAGAGGCAGGCAGAGAGAGAGGAGGAAGCAAGGCTCCCTGCTGAGCAGAGAGCCTGATGTGCGACTCGATCCCAGGACCCTGAGATCATGACCTGAGCTGAAGGCAGAGGCTTAACCCACTGAGCCACCCAGGTGCCCCAAAGCATGATATATTTTTATAAACAATAAGGTTTTCTTTTTCAGGTCACTAAATTTGGATCACCACTTAAGTACTTGAAGTGATCTTTTGATGTTTCACTTTGCTCGTAACATATCATAAGCTCCCTTATTCTTTTAGAATCTGAACTTATGTAAAACACAAGGTTAGTAACATTTAAATATATTTGGGGGTGATAAAAATTGTTCCAAGAGTAAAAGAAGGTGGATGTCATGCAGCAGCTTTAGCGTGACATCATGCAATTTGCAGTTAAGTGGATAATGACCTCTTAATATTTGTTCCTTTCTGGGATAAGATTTGAACATAAATTTGTAATAAATACAGATTCGAGCATAGTTTGAATGACAGCAGAGCTTTTCTGTTGGGCTTTTGCATAAGTGTGTCCAGCCTACATTCTTAGACCCATCCACCTGAATAGCCTTCTTTCTTCTTGAGGCTAAATTGTAGGCCACAGCTTACTAAAGGAGGGGAATGTTGCTGCTAGTGTAGCACCTCTCCAGCATGGTCATTAGGTGAGATTTGTGTGTCCCAGTTCCCATCCAGCTAAGTGGATACTGGCATCTATCCTTGGTGCAAAGGGATATTTTATAAAACTTAAAATTATATGCACTGAACCTTTAAACCGGTTGACTAAATCCATGCAAGGTTCAAGAGTTTATTTTGTAAAGTAGAAGCAAATGATTCATAATTTATGGAACTGTAAATCCTGAGGTTTATAGAAAGGTTTCATGACTTGGAGGTATCTTTTGCATTTTTTCACTTTGGTCTTGTTTGAAAGTATGTTGAACTCACTCATTTCTTCATCCTAGAAGAATCTGTACACTTTAACCTAATCTTAGTGCTTTTCAGAACAATTTTCATTATTGCAAATGGCCAAGAATTTGAGGATTGTTGCAGACTCCATTATCATTAATAAAACTGTTGTTCTGTGCAAAGCAAGTCTTCATAATATGAAAGAATTAAAGGAATCTATAAGTTTATTTCACCTGCAGATAGAGAAATCTTTGGTACAGACTTTGCCTATGTCAACTAATACATAAATATAAAAAATAATTTTTATATTATCAATTTGGCTTATAAGAATTACATAAAATTTTTAGTTTATTGATGTTATATATTATTTTTATTAATAGATATTTATAATGTTATAAGTATACTTCTACTTTTCAAAAATTACACCTTTAAGGGACTGACTTTAGCATCCTGGTCTGAGTTATTTAGTGACTTCTTACTAATTTCAGAGTAGCTCTATTTGCTTTGTGGTCAGAATAGGAAGACATTGGAAATGTTTAGGGAATTATGGGCACCTGGGTGGCTCAGTTGGTTAAGTGTCTGGCTCTTGATTTTGGCTCAGGTTGTGATCTCAGGGTCGTGAGATCCAGCCCTGCTTTTTTGGAGCCCAGCATCTGGCTCCACACTGGGCTTGGAGCCACTTAAGATTTTCCCTCTCTCCTTCCCCATCTGCCATCTTCGCCCTTGCCCTCCCCCTCACCCATCAACTCAGGTGCTCTCTTGCTCAAGCGCTGTCTCTCTTGGAAGAAGGAAAAAAAAAAGGAAAGAAAAGAAAAGAAAAAAGAAAATGTTTAGGGAATCCAAGAAAGGGGGGAAAAGTACTAATCATATGTAAGCCCATGGGTGAAATATAAAGCAAGTGGACAGTTTTCTGTATTTTTTAAATGTGCAGTATATGTACATATTTTTTAACAAAAATTAACATTTTACATATTTTATAGGCTTCCTTTTAAATTTTAATATGTTGAGTATCTTTCCACACCAGTAAAGATGGGAAGAGTTATTATAGTTATTTTTTTAATGGTTGCATAATATTGTGGCATTTATTTCACTAGTCTCATGACTAGTGACTTTGGACATAACAGTTTCTTATTTTTCCTTATAATAATGCCATGCTAAATATCCATATGTAACTTTTTGTATTTAAATCTGCCTATTTTCGGGTTGCCTGTGTAGCTCAGTCAGTTAGGCAGCTGCCTTCTGCTCCTATCGTGATCTCAGGCTCCTTGCTCAGCGGGGAGCCTGCTTCTCCCTCTGCCTGCTGCTCCCCGTGCTTGTACTCTCTCTCCCTCTCTTTCTGACAAATAAATAGATTTAAAAACTTTTTCTAGAAAATAAACTAAAAATGATTTTGACCTCCTCTCTAAAAGTCAAGCTAGCTGAACTATGTAAAAAAGTCTGTTTACAAATTCATGTAAATATCCCAAACTTGATAACCAAACTGATTACCAAAGCTATCTAATCAGAGATATTTTCCAGGCAGCTAGTCAACAAAACTGATTCCCTTTCTTATTTTAATCAGGGAAATGTTCTATTATATTGCAAAACTCTGGTCCATGTGGATGTGACATTTTAAAACCTAGAGTTGTTGTTTTCTTTTTTCTTTTTTTTTTTAAGATTTTATTTATTTATTTGACAGAGAGATCACAAGTAGGCAGAGAGGCAGGCAGAGAGAGAGGGGGAAGCAGGCTCTCCGCTGAGCAGAGAGCCGGTGTGGGGCTCCATTCCAGACTCTGGGATCACGACCGGAGCCGAAGGCAGAGGCTTCAACCCACTGAGCCACCCAGGCACCCCAAACCTAGAGTTTGATTAAACAACTCTACTGTATTAAACTATGCATTGCAGGTTGAACCCATGATCCAATCTCAGGTTTCATCTGAGGATTGACTCTCTCCAGTACTACTTAGCAATTAAAGCCTAACAGACTAACTACTAGCATGCACTCCTCTTCCTGTCCAGCATAGTGTATTTGTGAGTATGCTGTTCTTACACGACTGAAAGAAACAGACCCCACTTTCTACAATATGTGCTGAGAAGGCCAAATACTCTTTTCCAACCTCCCTTGCAGTAGTCATGTGATGTAGGCTCAGCCAGTTGGACACATACCCTGTCCCCCTCTAAATATTATATGAAATCAAATAAGCAAATACTTGAGATTTTACTTATTTATTTGACAGACAGAGATCACAAGTAGGCAGAGAGGCAGGCAGAGAAAGAGGAAGGGAAGCAGGCTCCCCGCTGAGCAGAGAGCCCCATGCGGGGCTGGATCCCAGGACCCCGAGATCATGACCTGAGCCAAAGGCAGAGGCTTTAACCCACTGAGCCACCAAGTGCCCCAAAATAAGCAAATACTGCCAACAGTCTTCCAAGGCAGCAGCAGACAGCCCTGTCTGCACTGGTGCAGTGCCAGGGGTAATATCTGGTGACAGGTTGGGCAGTGGAAGCTGGGCTCAGTTGTGGGGAGGTCTTCATGGGACAAGTTGTTGATGTCCTTTTCACTGAGGCGCTTGAGGCATAGCACTGAAGCCTGGCAAATCTGTGATTTCCCCATGTCCTTTTTTTTTTTTTTTTTTTAAAGATTTCATTTATTTATTTGTCAGAGAGAGAGAGAGAGAGCACACAAGCAGGCAGAGTGGCAGGCAGAGGCGGAGAGAGAAGCAGGCTCCCTGCCAAGCAAGGAGCCTGATGCAGGACTTGATCCCAGCACCCCAGGATCATGACCTAAGCTGAAGGCAGCGGCTTAACTGAATGAGCCACCCAGGCGTCCCTCCCAATTTCCTTTTAATGAAGTGTTTTTGCATGTACTGCCCAAATGTTTTCTTTTCCATGCACTTAAGAATCCTAACCAATACAGGATTGGAGTTAAATAACAATTGTTCCTCTAATCGTTTAGTATTCTATACACATTCCCCCCCCCCAATACACACACTGATTGGATTTCTGGTATTCACCTTTCAGTACTTACGTTACTCTGCTTTTCCAAGTTTATTGTCATTAACTCTCCCCAATGAAGTTTAGAAACACTTTATGAAGTTCCTAAAAGAAAAATCCCGGTATGATTTTATTTAGAATGATATTAAATTTATAGACTCCATTTGAGGAGAATAACACCATCAATGTTGTCTTCTTATTCAGTAAAATGGTCTGGCTGTCTTGTGTTAGTTAAGTTCCATTAAAGAAGCAGAAGTACTTTTCCTGCCAAAGAGTGTGGGGTTTATAGAGGGATTAGACATTCTATAATTGCGGGGGCTGAGAAAGCACTCTGGGCAGACTCCTGCCTCTGAGTCCGTAGTTGAACCTGAAGCAGTTTTAAGTCAGGTAGACAGACACAGTCGAGAAGGGAAAGTGGATGTGGAGAAGAGCAAGGACCAAGTGGAATCTGCACTGGCTTCTCACCAACTCCAGTTTTGATGCTGGGGGTGATCTACAGGAGAGGCTAGCACTCTTGACCCTGGGATTGCACATGCAGACCCAGGATTTGGAGAAGCTGAAGGAGCTGCAGGCCAGCCCGCTTCCCGTGCCAACAAGGTGAGCTAACATCATATGCAAGCTCCACATGCAATAAGACAAGCACTTCACAAGGAAGGGAATTCTGGAATCTGTGCTTTTTAGCTAAGCTGAGCTGACATAGTACAATTGATTGATCTTTGTGTCCTTTAATACAGATTTGTTGTTTTCTTCATAAATATTTCTTGTTTAGTTTATTCCTTGGTATTTGGGTTTTTATTACCGTTGTGAATATTCTTTCCCATTGATGATGGCTTGTCTGTTATATAGATTAGTTTAGTATTTATCTTGAATTAGCCACCATTCACAACTTACATTCTAATGATTTTCAGTGGATTCTCTTGAATCAGCAGTCATTTTCACTTGCAAACTAATGTAATTATCTTTTTGTTGCTGGTAAGGTAATGATACATTTTCTTTCCCCCTCCCTCTTCCTTTCCTTGCTTCCTTACATGGAATGAAACTGCCGGAACAATATTCTAATAGCTATACTATTTCTAAATTTAAGGTAATTGTCTCTTGGTTTTCATCATTTTGGTTTCTAGTAAACTAGTGTTTCCTCAATGTTTAGTGAATATAGAAATTACTTGGTATTCATACTTGCTAAAAATGCAGATCCCAGGAATGGATATTATATTTTGCTAAATGCCTTTTAAATTATTAAATATGCAGTTCCTGCTGGATAACAGATCCAGTGTATGAAGATTTTTTGTGAATTCATTCAACACTTATTGAGCACTTAGTATGCATAAAACGTATAGTAGTGAACAAAGTTGACAGAGTCCTTGCTCTCTGAACTTTTGTTTTCCTTCCTAAAATGTGTATAGAGCATAAATACTTGAACCAAGTCTTTTGGCTCTAAAGGTATTACTTGAACCATCATTTAAGCTTCGTTTCTTTGAGCTAACTCGGCCACTTTATTTTTCTTTTTAACCAGTTTAAAAGTGATGAATCGTATTGCACTGTGGTCAGAGAATTTGGTCTGAACAGTTCCAGTTTTTAGATTGTATTGAAGTTTTTCTTACAGATGAGTAAATGAGTAGTTAACTTTTGTAAGTGTTTCATAGACATTTGGAATGTGTTTTCTGTGTAAAATATGTAATTTTAGACCTGCATATGAAATCAAACTTGTAATTATATATTATTTAGACTATCTATACCTATTTTTGGCTACTTGATATAATTTACATATTTTACTGCTTTGCAGTTTGTCATGTAAGCATCTTCTTTCTTTGAAGGTTCTATTTATTTATTTTTAGAGAGAGCAAAAGTGCAAGAGAGAGCAGGTGCAGGGGGAGGGACAGAGGGAAAGGGAGAAAGATTTTCAAGGAGACTCCATCTGAGCATGGAATCTGACTCAGGACTTGATCCCATAACCCTGAGTTCATGACCTGAGCTGAAATCAAGAGTCGGATGCTTAACCAACTGAGCCACCCAAGTGCCCTGTAAGCATCTAACTTTACTGTGACTTGAATATTTTACCCCTTTTATCCCACTAAGTCTTTTGCCATGAATTTTGTATTTGATATTAATATTATCATGGCTGCTTTATTTGGCTTCTATATTCTAGGTATATATTTTTTCATCTCTTTATTTTGTATATTGTTGAGACTTTTTGTTTGAGATATTTTCTTGTGAACAATAACTTGGATGTTTCCTTTTGTCCCAGTCTGTATCTTTATAGATATATGTAATACGTTCACATTTATTGTGGTATTTGTGTTTGATGTTTGGTCCCTTTTGCTTTTTTGGGAGGGTTGGGGTGACAGTAAAGTCTTTTTTTTTTTTTTCCCTTTTCTGTTTTGCTCTACTGATCAAGTTTTCTTTATTCCTCTTCTTTCTCTCTAGTAATTTAGTAATTTATAAGTCTGTTCCTCCATTCTTTTCCCCCCAGAAATTGTATATAGCTGTTATAATTTATAAGGCAAAACTATTGAAATTCATGATTGTCACAGAGGTGTCATAATTTAATTTAGGTAGAATCCTACAGTCATGATCCTTTTCTTTCAGAGGTTTATTAATGTTGCCCCACAGTATTTTGGCATTTATTTTTGGTATTAATCACATGCTGTTTTTGCAGATAACCTTTTTGGGTGAAGAGGGGCATGATCTCCATAAACTCTTGTTTTCAGAGTGCTCCTTTTACATGAAAGCCTGCTGTTGTTATTGATAATAAGGTACACACACACACACACACACACACACACATATATATATTTTTAAAGATTTTATTTATTTATTTGACAGAGATCACAAGTAGGCAGAGAGGCAGGCGGGGGGGGGGGGCGGAAGCAGACTCCCCGCTGAGCAGAGAGCCCAATGTGGGGCTTGATCCCAGGACCCTGGGATCATGACCTGTGCAGAAGGCAAAGGCTTTAACCCACTGAGCCACCCAGGCGCCCCTCTTTTCATTCTCTTAACATAGTCTTTCAAAGAGCAGATGTTCTTTATTTTGATGAAGTTCATTTTATCAATTTTTAAAAAACAGATTGACCTTTTGATGTTGCTTCTGAAAATTCTGCACAGCCCAAGGACCCAAAAATACTCTCTTTCCTTCCAAAATTTTTATAATTTTATGTTTTACTTTTAAGTCTGTGATCCATTTTGTCTTAACTTTTGTATACTGGAGTAAAGTATGGTCTAAGTTTCATTATTTTTGTATGTGGATATCCTCTTGTTCCAGCACCATTTGGTGAAAGGAATGTCTTTTCTCTATTTACTTGCTTTTGCATGTGTGGACCTACTTCCTTTTTTTTAAATTTCTTTTTAAATTTATTGTTATGATTATTAAATAGGCTTGATACCCAGTGTGGAGCCAAACACAGGGCTTGAACTCACAACCCTGAGATTAAGACCTGAGCTGAGATCAAGACTCAAGTGTTCATCCAACTGAGCTGCCCAGGATCTATTTCTGATCCCACTTTCTGTTCCGTTCCATTGCTCTATTTGTCTGTCCTTATACCAACACTGCATTGTGATAATTACTGCAGCTATGTAAGACTTGAAGTCGGATGGTGTAAGTCCTTCAACTTAGTTCATCTTTTTTCAAGTTGTTTTCCTGTTCTAGGTTTTTTGTGTTTCCCTATAAAATGAGCTATGGGTAGTTTTTATTATGAAATGGAAATTGAATCATTCTTAATGATTTAGTCATTTAGTTATTCTTTAGTCACAGAATTAAAACAAAACAATACAAAACAAAAACTTCAGGTATCACATAATATTGATAACTTTAACTGGATAAGTGATTTCAGTATTCTATGCCAGTTAACTACTCAGCACAGAATTATGATTACCTTTTTACCAATTAAAGTTCTGTGGTTAGAGGCAACAAAAGAAAAAGGGATTTATTGGAAGAATGCTGGGTTAGGTCATAGAAGTAAAGGGTAAGCTGTAAGAGCTAAGGAACTTGAAGATTGAACCTGAGGAATCGATGTCCTTAAGTTCTTTTTTTTTAGGCTGCTCCATGTAGTGGAATCCAGGTCTGTAAGAAGAGAAAATTCTAGAAGGAAATCTGATTGGTCCAGCCTGGGTCACCTTAATGACCAGATTATTTATCACCAGTCTAATCACTACTAGAATATGATAACTCATTAGTAATTGCTAACTAATTACTACTACTGATAAGAGAAACAGAGAATTCTAATTGACCAGCTTCAGAGTTTGGGTACTGGATGAGCAGTTTTCCTTAAAAAAGGACATGCTGTTTTCAGAAGTCTGGAAAATAGTTGCTGGGTCAACAGACACAATAGGTGCTCACTACCATGTAGCACGCATTCCTGAGCATAGAACTATTTGATGACCTCAAAGTAGTAGGTTGCAGTTGGGGGGCTTTCTTAAATTCACCTTGATACATACTAACATGTAAACTCTTGTTCCTGTAAAGCTAACCTATTCTCTTTGGACAGCATGGCATATTGTATATAACATGTAAAAGTACAATTTTGTTATATTTGAAAGTACTAGGAGAGTAGTCTTAAATGTTCTCACCACATGCACAAAAAGGTAACTATGTGAGATGATGGAAATGTTAACTAACCTTATTGTGGTCATCAGTTGATAACATGTTGTATATGAAACCATCACAGTGTACATGTTAAACTTAGTAAGTGTTCTCTATTAATTATATCTCAGTGAGGCTGAGGAAAATAAAGTGAAATTACTGACAACTGTTAAAAAAAAGAAATACCAGTTTTTACAGCTTGGTTTTCTTTTTCTTTTTTTTTTTAAGATTTTATTTATTTTATTTGACAGAGAGAGATCACAAGTAGGCAGAGAGGCAGGCAGAGAGAGCAGAGAGAGTGGGGGAAGCAGGCTCCCCGCTGAACAGAGAGCCTGATGTGGGGCTCAATCCCAGGACCCTGAGATCATGACTTGAGCCGAAGGCAGAGGTTTAACCCACTGAGCCACCCAGGCACCCCACAGCTTGGTTTTCTATTTGTGAAATTATTGCTGAGACTGTTTTATTTAAATGTTTCATGGCATCAAGCTTTGCGTGGTGGTGGTCTTGTAGCCAATCAGGTTTATCCAAGGTGTGATTATTGCTAATTGAAATGTTATATGGCATTAACATTTTCTTCTGTGTTCTATTTTAGGGTGACTGGGAATGTAAACAAGAATAAGCTGTTTCCTGATGGCTTTTAGTATATACTGACATACTATCTGTGATGGCGTCTGAGGCTGAGAAGACCCATGCTTTACTCCAGTCTTGTAGCACTGAGTCTCTTATTTCCAGCCTTGGTCTGGGGATGTTCTGCCTAGTAGCCGACAGACTTCTTCAGTTTTCCATAATTCAGCAAAATGACTGGCTTCGAGCCCTTTCGGATAACGCCATACATTGTGTGATTGGCATGTGGTTGTGGGCAATAGTCATTGGCGTCAAGAAGATGACTGACTTTGGAGAAATCATGTTAGCTGGATTTTTAGCCTCTGTTATTGATGTAGACCACTTTTTTCTAGCTGGATCTTTATCTTTAAAGGTAAGAAACATATATGTTTAATATTTCTGGTCTTTAATTTCTTTAGCACCGTTATATTGATCTTCATAGCATCCTTTTAGAGCTAGAGAAGATTATCCTTATTTTAAAATAAGGAAGCCCATTCATCCAGTTGTTTTTGTGAGCACTTAGTACTTCCCTGAAGGCAAACACAGACATGTTGCTAATCAAGTCATTGGCATCACCAAGTGCCAAGGATGCATACAGAGCTAAGGACTCAGTAAATGTACCTGAGGAGTTCTGTGCTGACTTTACAGAGGATGGTAAGTCTTGAAGGACACATTAATTAACTGGCTTAAAGTAATGGGGATCATTCTCAGGGCTCTCCTGGGTCTTTTTCCACTGTTCTCTCTTCAGGATCACACTTGTAATTTCCCCCTTATTCTTCATGTTTCACAGTTAGTATGTGGCTTCTTAGTGTTCCCTTACAGGAGAAGAGCTTTAAGATGATTCTTAGTCCTGGGGAATGACTTCCATGGATTCATTCCCCAGTCCCTTGTGGGGCCAAAGGTGTGCATTTCCATGGGCTGATTAGGGCACAGTCCCTGGTGGTGAACGTTGATGAGTTTCGATGAGGTGTTTAGCTATACGGTGACCTGTTGGCTTTGCAAATGAACTAAGCCTGAAATACAGTTCAGATAATATTCTCTAAGTGTCAACAGATTTTCCTGTCTTTTCTGTGTTTATGATCTGTAAACACTCACAGAGCAAGGACTTTGCTTTATTCACCACTGGCCTGGAACAGTGCCTGGCTCATCTAGTAGGCATCCAGTAGATACTAGTTGAATGAATGAGAAATGATCATTTCTTCCTTTTAGGTGTCACATACCAGGTATTTCTCAGAGGTTGTCTTACTTATTGAAAAACTTAATCAGTAAGGAATCAGTAATTCCTGATTAAAGACAAATTAATAACATGTATTTGAGATTGGAATCAGAAGATGTGAATTTGAATCCTAGTACGTGGTGTTAGCAGAGTGCTTTCTTCAAGTCTCAATGTCCTCATCTGTAAAGTGTGGGTTCTGTCATTACTTACCTCACAGGGCGCTCATGTGTGTTAAATGGGCATGTTAAAGGACAGACCCCGACAAATAGTTCACAGTCAATGTTAGTAGAGATTGGGATAAGCTATCACGCATCATAAAAAGTGTGGTTCATAAATGCATTAATCTAGAACTTAGTGTAATTAGAAAAAAAAATTTAGGCTCCTTACTGTATTTATTCTTTGATTCACTTAGAAGCAGTAGTGTTGAGAATATAAGCCAGAGAGACAAATTCAGTCTCCCCCTTACCCCCTGTACAACCTGGGGAAGCTACTTGGCCTCTGTGAGCCACAGCTTCCCCCTCTGTGAAATAATCCCTAACTCATACAACTGTTACAGGGATTAAATGAGATAGTGCATATTAGGGTAGCACAGTGCTGGTATTGATCCTTTTTTTTTTTTTTAATGAAATCTGAACATTTTTTCACCATAAGATTGTATGTGATCATTAGTAATAAATACCAAAACTAAAATAAGTATTTATGATACTAAGGTTTTTTTTTTAAGATTTTATTTGTTTATTTGACAGAGATCACAAGTAGGTGGAGAGGCAGGCAGAGAGAGAGGAGGAAGCAGGCTACCCAGTGAGCAGAGAGCCTGATGTGGGGCTCAATCCCAGAACCCTGAGATCAGGGCATGAGCCAAAGGCAGAGGCTTTAACCCACTGAGCCACCCAGGCGCCCCAATGATACTAAGTTTTAAGTGTCTGTTGTTCCTTCCATTTGTCAGTGATCTATTTTTACTTCCTTGATTTTATGATCATGTCCTTTTCTTCTTTCATTTTTCATTATTTTTCTATGAATGAAAAAATCTGGATTGAGATTTTACACATCAGCCAACAAACAGAAATTTCTTGTTTCTTCTTTAGCATCTATTAATTTAAATAGACTTCACAAATGAAAGTGTAAAGAGTCAGTGTAACTCCAAACATCCAGAACATAACTTCAACTTCAGACTGTTGCCCTCTTCCAAGTAGGGCTTACCACAGGCTTCCTCACCCTACCCTGCTATTGAGGAGCCTGGTTCAGTGTGGCTGTGCGAGGAAAAACCAAGGTGGAGAGAAGGTTGTGATAACAATATAGAAATGTGGGTGGTTCATGATCCCAGGGTCAAGGGATAGAGCCCCACATTGGGCTTCTTGCTCAGCGGGGAGCCTGCTTCTCCCTCTGCTGCTCCCTGTTTGTGCTCTCTCTCTCTCTGACAAATAAATCAAATCTTAGGAAAAAACCTAACAATGCAGAAATGTTATGTGTTCTGCCAAAGTAGAAATAAAACAGCTAAAAATAGGGAGAAGGAAGAGGAATGTAGCATAAACTCTTTGATATTCAGTCAGTAGGTGAGAGTTAAAGACACTGGTTTAAGGATTGTGTGACGGCACATGGTGGCAAGGTACAGTCTCTTTAATAGACAGATGCCTTGCATTTTAATGGTGGGAAGTTATGCCTCTAGTTTTTTTTTGTTGTTGTTTTTTAATAAGGACCTATTTTTTTTCTCTTCCTTTTCTTCTTTACCACCTAGTGTCCAGATGATTCCTCCCCCTTCATTTTTGCCATCTTCTCCCTCAGAACCAATGCCTTTTAAAGCCTTGAATTATGTACACTTTTAAGTCCTTGCTTTGTAGCCAGTGCTCTGATCAACTAGGACCCTTTCCAGTGTTTCTCTTTCCAGTGGTAATTATAGATCAGTCTTAGGTCCCTTCATCTTTCCTGGCTTGTAGTGGAAGTGTGAGAGAAAGTGCACTGATGTAGTCTGTATTTTAATACTTAAGAGTGTTTGAAGTTTTGGGCACCCTCTGACTTGTGTCTGTGCTGAGTGGGGTTTTGTATAGTTTTATTTGCCCTTGTCTGTAATGTTTTTGAGGATGTGTGGGGAGATTCGGTTTAGACAATCTTCACTGCCCTTAGCTTCCTTTTTATTTAAAAATTATCTTATTGAAAATTAGCCTTTAGAGTATGTGAGAACAAAACCTCACTCAAGAATCATTCAGGGAGTAACCCTGAAATTTTCATTTGTTTAGTTATTGATTACATTTTTTATAATGGTTTAACATTTTTACTGGAGTTTAACTCAACTTTATAATAATTTTTTAAAATAATAGACTCTTTCTGAATGTTATAAGTGCATTCTGAAAATATTCAAGGCTAGTATAAAATGGTTACAACAAAAACATTTCCCTTTCATGTCTTTATTAATAGAAGAATATTTTATTCACTTGTGAGATTTTTTTTCAATGTTTAGAGGCCCCAGATAATTCCCTAAAACCAAATTTACACAAACCACACATTTGGGATATAAATTACATTTGGGGGCGCCTGGGTGGCTCAGTGGGTTGAGCCTCTGCCTTCGGCTCAGGTCATGATCCCAGGTCCTGGGTTCGAGCCCCGCGTCGGGCTTTCTGCTCAGCAGGGAGCCTGCTTCCTCCTCTCTCTCTGCCTGCCTCTCTGCCTGCTTGTGGTTTCTCTCTGTCAAATAAATAAATAAAATCTTTAAAAAAAAAATAAATAAATTACATTTGTATTGTGACTTTTCTAAGCAAATAATAGGAAACTTTACAAAATTAATCACCATGTTCTTGAGATCTTCAGAGAATTTCCCACTCACTTTTCTTTGCTTTATAAGTAACTGACTTAATATATGTATTCAGAGGTGACACAGAAAATGTTTCCATTGTATTTCTAATAGACTCCTAGAAAATGTTTTAGAATGTTAAGAAGCATCTACCAAATTTTGTTTGCCAAGAAGGAAATGATGCTAGCTACTGCTCTCCCCTGCAGGCTGCTTTGACTCTCCCACGAAGACCTTTTCTTCACTGCTCTACTGTCATTCCAGTTGTGGTTCTGACCCTGAGGTTTACTATGCACCTTTTCAAGCTCAAGGACTCATGGTGCTTTCTTCCCTGGATGTTATTTATATCCTGGACTTCACATCATATCCGAGATGGAATTCGTCACGGCCTGTGGATATGCCCATTTGGAAAAACCTCTCCTTTGCCATTCTGGCTTTATGTTGTCATCACCTCCTCTTTACCTCACATCTGTTCATTCATTATGTATTTCACAGGGACCAGACAAATGATGTCTTCAAAACATGGGATCCATATCGATGTCTGAGCTAACCGTATGCCAGGCTTCAAGAAGCAGATGGTTCTGATAATGACAATTAAGGGTAGCTAACATTATCAAGTGAATTTTTAACAATATATTATATTAATTATTATAATTCCCGAATCCTCTTGCTCAGGAGGCATGTACACTTTTTTAAAAATTATATTAAATTATATATTTGCTGTAATTCTACTTCTCTCTTCTCTAACACTCTAGTACAATATGAGAGTTTGATTTATCCCATGAGAGATTTTGTTTGTTTCTTCTGTTTACCTGGCTCTACTAATAGATCCTAGTAGATTCAGATCCTGTTAAGTTTTTGGTATGCGTTTGAGGCAGTCCCTTTCAGGATGAAAAACAGATCAAATCATAGGGTGACTAATTTGCAAAAAGTCACATTTGTAGCCACATTTTCCTGAGATACTGCAACAGTGCAACAGCCAACATAAATGAGATCATGCATAAGATGTAGAGTGAACACTCCCATTTCTGTATTTCATGTATATTGGTCCTGATTATGGTGTGATTGGCCAGATACTTCAGCGTGTTGTGATTACTGCAGAATCCTTTTCCGTACCCTTGTGAGAAATCATTATAATATCCATACGAGATAGTAACTAACCATAGATCTAGATTATTGTTTCAGGAATCACTTTAGGAAATAATTATTGTAATATGTTGACTGTAGTAACATCCTGCTCAAGTATTATTTTTTTAGTATCTTTGTCCAAAAATCTCATGTGTTAGTTTTAACTGTTCTGAAAAAGTAACTAAATTTGACAAAATATTTGTTAAAAGTTAACAAAATACTGATACTTGGCTTATAACCATGTAATTTGAACTGACACAAAAAAGGACTTAACCAGTTTCTTCAAATGTAAAATCCTGAATGTGCCATTAAAATTGTTTTAGTTGCTGCCAGTTTGTTTACACACTATTTTAAAGTGTATCAGTTAAATAATTTTTAAAATACCTGCCTGATACTGAGAAACAAAACATAGGTTTTTCAAAATGAAGGATTTTTAGGAAATTTGCTTTTGCCTTCATTCTTGCAGGTTGATCTCTTAAAAATGATTAACCTTTATTAGAGAAAGAAAATTTAGTTGCTGTAAAATTTTACATTTTCAGTTTAATATTCCTTTGATATAAAAGTCAGTGTCCTAACAGCACTTGCTTTTTTTTTTTTTCAGTATCCTATGTACCATTTGCTGTCTTTAGATTTTCTTACACATTTGTGATTTGTAATGCTAGTGATTGTGTGCCTTATTCTCCGAGAAATGCTGAAGCAATGCCTTATCCAAAGCATATTTTTCTTATTTATTAAGTTAAACAGAGCTCTGTAAATTGTTGTAAAGGTTCACATTCTTTACTTTTTCTTTTTGTTGTTAACCAGTTAGTTGCAATCAATTATGTTTTAGAATCTATTAGATTCTAAATCTGTTATCTTTCATGAGCAATGATTGTATCAGTTTGTTTGGTATAATGAATATTATATAGTGGGGGTAAATTTGAATAAGGTAGAGATTTTTTAAGTATATAATTTCAGAAATCCATGGAAATAAAGCATATATCTTGTATCACCTTTTCTAAGTTATAAAACTCTACTTTTGTCTTTCTCCGTATCAAACCAGGGAATACCATTAAAATATAGGGCCTTATTTAAGAGTGTCACTCTGGCATTTTGGGGACTGTCCTCTAACTTTTTGTACTAGATGGGAATTCACTTTGCCCATGACTCCTTGCTCAAAACAATAACTACAGATTTTAAGTGTGGATTTATCCTTGTTCCTTCCTCTACCGTCAGAAATGCTCCTTGTCCTCTAAATGGTCTATAATAGCTGTGGTTGTATCCTCTAGAAATAGAACAGCCAATTTCCCATGCCACCATTTTGCTTTTTTTTTTTTTTTCTTATTTAAAAAGTTTGTGTCAATACAACATTGTATTGAAAATTGGATTCTATCTTGTTTGCATGTAGGTGTTTTCTCCAGCCACTAGATGTCCTCCATTCACTTAATGGAGGCTGGTCCACTGACCTGACCTTACAATCTACTATTTTCTTGAGGCATGTTAGCTATGCTAACTACTCAGAAGAACTTCCACCATTGAACTGTTTTCCACTCATCCTCAAGCCTAGTTTCCGTTAAGTGGTGGGCTGAGTTAAAACTCCTATGTATCCTCCCTCACAAGGTCTTCAACCTGGGCAGCTACCATCACTACCTCCAATCAGGCGGACACTCCCCGGCTCCTTTTCCTTTTGACAATTACTTAGTTTTTCCCATTTTCCCAACTAAAGAGGAGAGGAAAAAGGGGCTATTCTGGTCCTGGCTCACTGCTATCATGGCTAAACCTTTTATCCACCATAGGTATCAGTTTTCTTTCATTTGATATCCCAATATATTACTCATTCTCGAGCTTATCCTCACAGGCTACTCTCTCAGACTCACTTTCACTTTCTTTGATGATATGAGCAGTTGGATCTCTTTTTTCCTTTTATTCCAACCCTTGATTTTACCCTCAGTCATCAGATGACTCACCTAAAAATTCCCTTCTTCTTCTAACCACTGACTCATCACCGCATCACATCAGCCATGCACCAGTACAACAGTCCTCCGTACCTCTTTGGAGGACATTGCTAATTTCTGAGATCTCAGACGTTGACTTTTTCTAGGTCACTGGTTCTCAAACTCTAACATACATCAGAATCATCTGTAAGACTAGTTAGAACAGGAGTTCCTTGAGACCTTCGTCCAGAGTTTTGTCAGGGGGTTTTAAAATGCAGCCAGGAGTCCATTAAGGAGGTAGGTCTTTTGCACGTCCTTACTGGTGGAACCATGAACTTTTGAACTGGGCCAGACAGCAGATAGTCCAAGGACTCAGCCTGAACACCTGCAGCTTGCTATAGTAAGAGACTTTGCTTAGCGATAGCCTTAGTAACCAATTATATTGAGTTAAGAGTAGCTTTCTGCCCTCAAAACCAATAAATTCTTTGTAAACAACCTATACAAACTTTACTTTTTTCCTTTAAAAACCTGACTTTGCTCTCTAATGGGACACTATTTGGGTTACTTCCCAAATTTGTGTACCTCGAATTGTAATTATTTAATCCCAAATAAACATTCTTTCTTAATTATCGCCTCCTAACAATTTTAGGTTGACCGTAGAACGCTGCTGTTCAGGAACCACACTTTAAGTACCATGACTCTAGACCCATCCTGTTTCTTTTTTTTTTTTAAGATTTTATTTATTTATTTGACAGATCACAAGTAGGCAGAGAGGGAGAGAGGAGGAAACAGTCTTGCTGCTGAGCAGAGAGCCCGATATGGGGCTCGATCCCAGGACCCTGAGATCATGACCCGAGCTGAAGGCAGAGGCTTTAACCCACTGAACCACCCAGGTGCACCCCCATCCTGTTTCTTTAATTTCATTCCCTTTCTCCTCTTTCTTGAGCCAAGTCTTTGCCTTATCGTTACCTTTCATTTTTCCTAGACTTCTTTTGCCCCCAGGTCCGTCCAGTCCTGTGCTAGGTACATTTAACTGTGTTCCTGTCTTACCTACGCAGTGCTGGAGGTCACCGTTTACTGTTTCAACAGTCCAATGCCCAACTGTCCTCGTGCACTATCCAATTAGCCAATCCAGAATAATCCACATAGTCTGCTTTCCCTAGTTCTACTTCAGGCCGCACGTCTCTAAAGTTGTTACAAAACCCTGCTGACTCAGCCTGCTACCTAACTTCAGCCGTGGATTTAATAATACTTTGCTCACTAAGAACAATTTTTTTTTCAAATATGGACCAGAAGGGATGAGTCTCAGAATATCTACCCCTATTAGATCCAGCCCGAGCCAGGAAACACAGCATTCCACTGATCTGAGAAATTCTTATTGATAGTCAATCTCCACAGTTAATTTGCACTTTGCATAAACCCATGGCATTGCCACGTGTGTCCCCTTGACATTTCTTTACTTCCCAGGAATAATGATGCTAATTTAAGTGTTTCTGAGGCATTTTGCTCTTTGTCTGACCTTGCAAGTTTATTGGCTTACATACCCAGCAGCGCTAAGTAAGTTTGCTTCAACATCTGGCAACAAGAAGGGGATGTCAAATTCAAGCTCTAACATTCATTCGGATCCCCCTCAGTACTCTCTTAGATCTTTCAAAGAAAGCACCCATCTGAATTCACACACCCTTTCTCATTATTTATCTATTATTATGAATATTTGAGAATCGTTTCTCAAGTGTTCCTTTGACTTAATTCAAGCCCCGCCCAGGTTCCTAAGTCAGCAACATTGGTGCCATGCACATAACGTGGAAAGGAAGACAGAGAGGACATTTTCCTGAGCTCTCTGGGTGATGCTAAATCAAGTATAATACGTGGGCTAGTGGTTATGAAACTGACCGCATGCAGGTATAACATGCCTAAATGACACAGGGCATACCTTGCTACCCTCGGCTTTTGCCCACGGTCACAGGGAATGCTTGGAGCTTCTTAGAGTCCTCATGAGAGACCCTGCTATAAGGGCCTCCTTGTGTGCTCTAGAGGCCCTGCTCTTCTTAGAGACCTGCGTATAAATACCACCCTTCTGGCTTCCTGGACTGCCATGGCTGTTTGCCCAGAGTCTGCAACAATCGTCCCTCAGTGCTGGGCCTGGTCTCCTCGCCAGCAGCGACTCTAGGGTTTCTCTAGATGCTAAGCAGATTGGCACAGGACGGCTCTTTGTCAGTCTGGTTTCGTGAAGGGTGGCATGGAGCCCAGCCGAATCCTTCTGGAAAGGGCTCTGCCATTTCTCAGGTGTGGGACCCAGAGCTAATCCCTTTGTAAGCCCTCTGCTCCCATCTTCACCTATTGATCCGAGGGAGATGGGATTAAAGTAAACCTCAGGGGAACCTTCGAAAAGGTAAAAATACTACAAAAGAGTGAGAAGAAGGAATGGAAGAGAGATGGAAAGCCTGTCCACTCGGCCTGCTCAGGGTTTATAGGGTGCGTGCCTGTGTGTGTCCCGAATTAGTCTTCTTTTGCTGCTGTAACAAATTGCCATGAATTTAGTGACTAAGTGTATTATCTACAGTTCTGCATGTCAGAAATCCAAAACAGGCCTCCGTGGGTTAAAATCAAGGCATCAGCAGGGATGAGGTCCATCTGGGTTCCTAGGGAAGAATCCGTATCCTTGGATCCTTCAGCATCCAGATGGCCGCCTACAGCCCTTGGCTAGTGGCCCCCTTATTCCGTCTTCAAAGTCAGCAAGGTTAGGTCAGTTTTCTTCTTCACGTGTGTCTTTCTGATCATCTTTCCATTGTCACCTCTCTCTCAGGCCACAGCTGGGATGATTCTCCGATTTAGGGATGTGTGTGATTAGCTTGGTCCCAGCTGGATAATCCAGGCGACATACCCCATCTCAAGGTTCTTTATCACATTTGCAAAGCCTCTGCTGCCATGTAGCGTAAGGTCCATGTAGTCCATGTAGTCACAGGTCCCAGGGATTAGATGTGGAGATCTTTGGGGGCCATTCTTCTGCTTATCCCTAGAGATTTTTAACTATTGTTTTGTTTTTAACTATTGTATTGTTTTAACTATTGTTTTGTTAACTATTGTTTTGTTGCTTTAACTTTTGTTTTGTTTTATTGTTTTAACTATAGTTTTATAACTATTTTTAACTATTGTTTTATTGTATTAACTATTGTTTTTTGTTAAAAATTTTTTTAACTATTTTTTATGCTTTTGTTTAACATGAGCGGGCAGAACACCTCTCACATAGTTAAGACTGCTCTCCTGAATCCCGTGCACTGGACCAGAATCTAGCCTTGATGTCTTTGGACAAGTCCCATGTCCTTTTTGAGCCAATGAGAAATAGGCCAAATGCCTTCCAAGACTCTCTTCATGCTCTAACCTTCTATAATCCCAGCTTCTTGTACCAAAAATGGTGGGGCTCCTCCAGTTCTGGGAGATAGCCTCCAACTTGTCTCACCAGAGTTACATTTGTTCTTGGGAAAATAATGTCCCTTTTTCCTTTGCTATTGACACCATGGTTCTATTTGTCATCCATTTTCTCCATGTAGAACTGTTGAATCTTTGTACAAACTCTTTCTCTATTCTCCATGGAAAAAAAAAAAAAAGATTTAAATTTGTAAAAGCCTTGGCCAATTAAGCATCCCATAGTTCATTTGGGAGAAAATGGATACAGTACTTGCCCTCATACAACACTGGTTCAGTTGGTCCCTGAACAAGTGTTTAATGTTTCTACTCAATATCAGGCCTTGTATTAAAAAGTAATGTTCTGGTTGCCTGGGTGGCTCAGTGGGTTAAGCATCTGCTTTCATTTCTGGTCATGATCCCAGGGTCCTGGAATCAAGTCCCGCATCAGGCTCCTTGCTCAGCGGGGAGTCTGCTCGAGATTCTCTCTCTCCCTCTCCCTCTGCCCCTTGCCCTGCATGTTCTCTGTCTCTCAAATAAATAAGTGAATCTTAAAAAGTAAAACGAATTAGGACATATTTGGGCACTTACCACTTACAATCAGTTAAAGTAAAATGCTCAGCTGAGACAAGTGATAGCTTGGGATAGTAGCCCTAGGATATTGGTTATGGAGCACCCAGTGCAGAGATATGTTAATGGAAGGGATAGGACTGTCTCATCACACCAGCAGTTCAAATGGGAATTAATCTTTGGGTGCTGAACCACTTTGGCCCTTACCTTTCTTCCCCAACCTTACTGGTTGCTGAGTAGCAATACCTGGGCAGAGGAGGCAAGGACAGGGACGCAAATCTGCACATCACCACAAGGCATCTGTGAGGCTTGAGACATGATTATTTCTGTAGGAAGGTGCCAGAGCAGAGCATGGGGTGAAGGCATGCTATGGGGAGAAGGTTACCAAAAGGGAGGCAGA